GCGCGGCTGCGTGCTCTCCACCCGCGGCGGAGGCTTCATGCGCCTCGCGGCCCTCGGCCCGGCCTGCGGCGCCGGCTCGCGCCTCTTCCCCCGCATCGGCGGCGGCGGCGGGAGCTGCACGGGCTCGTGGCTCGGGCTCGACCGGATGCTCATCGCCGTCTGCGTCCCGCCCGTCGAGTCCTGCACCCCGCGCAGCGGCACGAACGTCCAGGGGTAGTACGCCGGGCCCGGGAACGGGGTCGACGGGGGCGAGAACGTCGAGTCGGACGGCGGCGCGAGCCCGTTGTTGAGCGCGTAGATCTGCATCTGCAGCGCGAGCTGCTCGCGGATCACCGCGGGGTTGTTCATGTCGTAGCTCGAGGACGGCGCGACGGGTGGCGCGGCGACGGTCGTGCGCCGGATGTGCGTGAACGGGTACGGGTACGGCGAGCCGATCTGGCGGTGCTCGACCTCGCTTTGCATGGCGGAGATGAGCGGCGAGGGGGACGGCGCGGCCGTTTGCGAGTGTGGTGTGGGTGGGATGGGGGCATTGGGCCGGGCGCCGGGCGTCTGCAGGTAGGAGCGGATGTACGCAGAGGTCGGGTCCTCGAGGGCACTTTGCCAGTCATCTGTGCTGACCAGCTGGGAAGGGTGGACCCCGGCGTAACCCATCCTAGGGTCTGCAAGACGACTGGAAGCGTACTGACGGGTTTCAGCCGCCTGCCGCGCAGCATCAAGATGAGCTTGAGCTTGCGCTTGTGCCTGAGACGTATGAGTTTGTTGTGGCTGAACAGGAAGTTGTGGAAGTGCGAGTGGCTGTCCTTGCCGCTGGCTGTTGACCGGAGAGTCCTGGCCATTGCCGCGAAGGCTGTCGACGGTGCGCTCGAACATCGTCGGGTCGAAGCTCCTTATGCCCAATTGGTCGGTCGTGCCCGAACGATGCTTGACTCGCACAGTCTTCTGGTACTCCGTGGTGGTCTGCGCAAAGTGGCTGTTGGACGGCGAGTATTGACCTCCTGCCTGTGCGTATTGTCCGTTCGCACTTGCGTACTGGGCCGGACGCTCAGGCAGGTTCACTGACGGTGATCGAGGCGTAAAGCCAGACCCCGACTCCGAATCCTCGCTGCTCTTAGCTTGCTTGCGTTGCTCATCCACCTCCTCGTTCAGCGTCTCCTCGTCATCCTCCGGATGCCTCAGCCCGCGAGCCTGTTCGTGGCGTGCATCGTATCGCGAACCGTGGGCGTCGGGGTATGCATCAGACGGCGTTGGCGAGTCGCGATGGCGATCCTCGTACTCAGGCTCGTGTTCGATATAGTGCCCGACGTCCTCTTCGGGCTCCTCCTGCACAGGCAGCGAGCGATCGGGGGGGCGAGCAGCCATAGCTTGCAAGGGCGGTGTATGGCTGGACGCAGCGAGCTTCGACGAGGCAGGCGGAGTCACACGCGAGGCAGTCGCGTCTATGGCAGGCACGGGTTTCCGAGTAGGGGGCGTGGGACCCTGCGTGGCCGTGGCCTGGACCTGGTAGCCCTCCGGAGCATATTGCGGATATGTAGCAGAACGCTCGCCTGGAGACGCCAACGGCGTCTGATACTGGGGCGATCCGCGGTACTCTGGGGTCCGCTGTGAGCTGTGGCCGTCGAGCGATGAGATTGAAGATACGGTCTGCGAGCGGTCCCGCGTGCGCGGGCTCTCGCGGATGTTCTGGGCGTCCTTCTCGCGCATGGGGCGTTTCGCGCTCTGCGAGCTGCTGCTATCTTCCTTGGGGCTCGCACGATCGCTAGCGCGGACCCGCTCGACGGCAGGATCCTTCGCCGTCGTTTGTACCGTCTCTCGCAGATGGCTGCCGATATTGCTAGATGCTGCGCCTCCAGCGTAAGCGACACCTGCCGTACCCGCCGGGTGTGAAAACTGGCCCTGCTGCATCTCCTCATATTCTGCTAACTCCTTCGACTTCGACGCACGCCAGGCATCTTCGCTCCCGGGGTATTCCGTGAGAAACATGGGGTGCGGAACACGGTTGATCGGGCGAGGCTGGTGTGGGTTCTGCGCGACTTGCGGGATGTTGGGTTGACTCTGCGTGTGCTGCGGGCCTGGCGGGGGCAGCGGGATCATATGTGGCACGACAGGCTGACTGTGTGCGTGCCCGAGAGGTGGCGGCGATTTCCGCTCAGGGCTGTGTTCACGGGCGAGAGCCGGAGCAGACATCTTCGATGTGGCGGGGGATATGCGCGATGTAGGCGGAGGTGATCTGCGAGACTGATGGGATGAGTTGGAGATCGTCGGGCTGGGCTGCTGTGCGTGCGGGTAGACGACCTGCTGATTCTGGTTGAGAATTTGATTGGCTGAGGGTACAATAGGCAGCGAATGGGACTTGGTTGCGCGCTGCCTGTCTCGGAAAGAAGGCGACGGTGTCGATTCGCGGGGAGAGATACCCTGCATCGGGCCTAAGTAGGGTCACGGAAGTATAAGTTTTCTGGACATCAAGCTTAAGCGTGAAGGATAGACGTAAGGATGCAGCCGCTCCAGGTGACAGCCGTTCTGATTGCTATGGGACGTAAGAGACTGTGCCATCGGATCTCCGCAGGCGAGAACATGACACTTAGGGGTAGCAGGGGCACAAGCGCATCGGTGAAAGAGAACAAAGGCGAAGGTCGAGGCGGGCTTTGTTACCGGAAGTAGCTCGGTTGTGCGGATCCTGATGAGAGAAGACGGAATAGACGATAGGACATACCCTGTGTACTTGCAAGCATGAGAGGCCTTCTGTTTCGCTGCGGTGAAGCAGACATGGTCGATGTCAGCACAAACTGAAAGAGAAGGACGAGCAGGAGGATCGTAGGAAAGGGACGAACTGTGTGAGTGGATAAGGCTTGGGCTCTCAGAGGTGATTCATTATACTCGCGGTTCCAACGTGGCTGCGGGTATGCAATGAGAGGGCCATCGCCCTGTTATACAACGAGGTAGATGGCCGTGTATGGAAGGTTGCCTCGAGGCAGATTACCGCTAGCGGACAAGATTCGGTCCGGAATGTGAGTGCTCTGCCCTGTTCTGACATTCTCGTGCACTTGATTACCTTCCGGTGTTCATGTCCGAAGCGCTAGACATATAGCGATATAATACACCGTTGGGGTCGACCAGAGAGATGGCGCTGTCGTCGCGCACAGGCACATGGGGCACCTCCGCCATTGTATTCTGCAGCCAGCCGCCCGGGGACGCCGGCGTTCCTAGACTTCATTTCGCAGCGTATCATGTGCATCCATGCGAGAGGAACGACGAGAAGCAGAAACGACGCAAGCCAGTCGTCAACGTTTTGACTTCGCCGATACACGAGGTCAAGAACCAAGCGACCTAGCGCTGTCTGTTTGGTGAGCGCTTAGCATGATTATTTGTTGTAACCCCCATCTTCAGACATATCCAAGCCACTTCTGGCACGAGCGAATCTCCAAATCTACCTCGCTTGCGGCTCCGTCCCCTCACCTCGAAGACCAGGTCCACATCATGGATCACAGCAGGCAGATATCTATGTTTGCAATCACGCAAGCCAATTCGAATGTCTGCGCCTGAAACAGCTAGGCATCGCTACGGCATGACATGCCACTAGCCCTTCGCGGCATCACCGTCTTCGTCGAATACTGGCATAGTCGCCGTTCGGTCCCGCCTACAGTGGTCTTAGCATTCGAAAGTACGTACGTAACGCACGTTCTTCTACTGCGTAATGTGCATTGCATCCATCATGAGGGCCTGATGTCCCAAACGATTTCATGGACCGCTTATTTGTCTGTCCACACGACCAAGACTCCATCATATTCGAGTACTTTTGTCAGTTTCCCTTCGTCTCGTGGGGCCAGGATCAGCTCTGTGTCTGTGGAGCCAATGACTTTCAAATCTGAGGCTGCCATCAAGCTGATCTTCGTGTGCATTGACTCCGTCTCTATGCCGGCGCGGCGCAGTCGCACCCTGTTGTGCGCATCAGTGCACGCTCTGGAATGATCACAGACTGTCATAACGCGCCAAAGGCCTTGCTTCTTGTTGCGCCCTGCCACGTTCGGGATATAGTGTGTGATGCACCACGGCCGTAGCACTCATGTCGACCAAACCGACTGATATCACAGGTGAGCCAGACGCAGAAAGAGACTATCAACGTTTCGGATCGGCACGGCAGCAAAGGGCAGCGCACGCGACTCACGATGCTCACCGTTGCGAACAGACGACGGTTTTGTCAAAACAGACCCGACCAGATGTCATGAAGAAATGATAACCAATAATAACTGCGGGGGGCGGACTGAGAGCTGCTATGCGTGCATTGCGTAATGTACGTATTGCGCTCTTAATCTGATCCAATTCAACGGCAAGAGCTTACCGCTGACTTGGTGCGTCCAGCCCCAAATCGAGATTAAACAGGAAGTGATTTCCCTCAGCGATGAGGAAGCGCTTCGGCTGCTCGAGATCGCAGGTTTGGCATATGTTCCCACCGATGCCCTTGAGACCATTCACAATGCGACGGTTACACGTAAGCCATCATGCGCCGCAGGAACCTCGATTCCCGAGACTGACGTTTCAAATGACGTCTGTAGTAGATCGCTGGTCGCGCAACGTCCAAAGACCATGGTCTCGTTAGTGCGTTTGCCACTAGTGAATGGCTGTACTGTGATTCGTATGAATGCACTGCGGCACTATCCTTCACCGCAGAGCAATAGAGCTGACATGCATCGAATGCTCGCGCGCCCGTCGGAAGAAGCAAAACAGCCTCGCCAACACCGACCTTTTTGCAGGTACGGAAGAATTGGTCTCAAGAAATGCACGTCATAGATTGGGAAAAATTTGTACATGGCAGCATCAGTATGAAGCGTTGACCGGGATGTGAGCTTACGCATGAGGAAATCGCTGCAGCAGCTCAGAACAAGATGAATTCAAAGATCTCGCTGCCCAAGACATCATACGACGCATGAGACGAGGCCTGAGGCTAGATGTCGGATCTGCTCCCTTTACACTTTCCCTGACACACGCGTTAATCTAGGTCATGGGTGTGTTATCGATAAGACGTGCGAGTTACGATGGGTAGTTCCAGCGCAACTTGACCAAAGGTGCAGGATAGAAGCGGGGATGATGAGCTCCACCATCATCGCGGGAAACGCGGGGTATAGTAGATTACCTTCATCATATACTGTTAATTTGCTACACACGTTCATAATTTACGATCGTCCAAAAGGACATGGAGCGAAGGCGAGAGACGAAAGCGAGAGACAGAAGTATTGCTACAAAACTGATTAATTAAGAGCCGGTGACAAACGATGTGTCCTTTCTCTTCAGTCAACGTCCTCAAGGCCGCCAGTACCGAGTCTAGAGGGTCCGGCGAACGGAATATGAGCGAAGAAAGAAGCCGGCAAACCCGACGGTGTCGGAGCCGTGGCAGAAGTGGTCGCCTCGGGAGAAGATGTTCCTGTACTTGGAGGTGTCTCGAGAGGTGGCGGTATGTCAGAAGCATCGTCCGCAGTAGGGTCCATCGCTGATATTGATACCAGCGTTGTGGACGAGGTAGCGGACGTCGACCGCATGACATCTCTTTGCCGCTGAAGAATTCGTGCATTATTCGCTTTCTTGCGCTGCCGTTGCACGAAATGTGATAGAGCGTCCAGCCCATCGCAAACATGATGTTTGTTTGGCTTGTCTGCGAGCCTACAGCCACGGCGAGGAATATATCAATCAGATTATGCAGTCAGGGAACCCGTACACACCTTCCGACCATCTCATCGACAATATCGCTCGCCCGTAGGAATGGCATCAGCTGCAGGGTCTCTCGGTATACCTGCTGCTGCAGCGCGGCTCCGCCCGTTATCGCCTGCGCAATCTCCGTCCACCCCTCGAACCGCTGCTTGAAGCGCGGCCGGAACTCCTCGCGCAGATCCTCTAAGTCTGGGTCGTGCGGGTCTAGGTCGAGGTAGCCCAGAGGGTCGGCATCCTCCATAGGGTCCATCCCGGGCACGAGTGGGACACCCATCATCATTGCCGCAAATGCTATTGGGTTCGGTCCATTCGTGCCTGGCGTTGCCACCGCATCAATCCAAGCCTCGACGCGGTTCTGCCGGCCGGCAGCACCGGAGCGCAGCTTGAGTATCTGCTGTAGCTCCTCCTTGTTCGCGGTGAGTTCAAGTTGCGAGAAGGATACGAGCAGCGCCGCGCGCAGAGCGCGTACAGTGTCCAGTAGCTCCTTCTCCACGACCTGTAGCGCGCGTGCGTTGTGCGTGTTGGTTTGCCCGAGGGTGAGTATAGCGTTCTGCAGTGCGGATGCGTCCCGTGGACGAAGGAGGTGCTGGTGAGTGTCGAGGATGCGGATAATCTCGTCTGGCAAGTCCTCCGTCGCGTAGATATCCAGCGCTGCGGCGAATGTCTCGGAAGAACTGACAGCGATTGACTTGAGGTAATGCTGGAGCTCATGGTCTGTCTCGAGGCGGTCCGGCCAGATCTGACAGAGAGCAGTGTAGAGCGGCTGCGAAGGCGCGACCTTGAAAACGGACATCATTGCGGTGTATATATGCTTCCGGAAGTTGTCCATCTGGTTGCTAACTCGAGAAGACCAGTGTCGAGCGTGCTGAGGTCCGGATTCCCCGTCATCGTCATAATAGTCTGCATCGCTATCGTCGTCTTCAATATCGGAGTTAGATTCAGAACCGTAGCCTTCGGCACCGGATACCTCGTCGAAGCAGTCGTCATGGGAGCCTGAATGTAGTGTGTGAGTAATCGACCTAACAGAGATTGTCTCAGGTAGGCCTTGTAGCACGACGCATGTCAAAAGAAATCATTGCATGTTGTATGATTATTTTCGAAGGAAATGGTCGAGTGTATGCAAAGATGCAGGTATTCATGTCACGCAAGCACCTGCTAGAGAGGATAGGGCTACGCCAAGGTCGTCTGGTGATACCGAAGGCAGGAGAATTGGCCACCAATCGTGCTGCGATTCTATCAGCCACATGTCCTTCGCCTGACCAAGGACCCGACAGAAGCACCCTGAGCTCTGCCAGAATCGCCAGACGTCCTTGCCGCTCGCTCTGCTGCCTTTACTGAATTGTCTCCATTTAACATGTGACGTCAGGAAGTGTCACCTGAGTGGGATCGTCCACGACTAATGGGATAGGCGCTGGGCGTGGAACTTCTGTGCGGTTCGCATGCGGTTGACCGAAGGTGTAGATTAGATGTCACTTACACTTTTTGCCCCCATAGAGGATACGTTCTAGTGCTGTCCAGCTCATGAGGTCTTCAATATCTTCCAGCATATCGGAGATCTGACTGATATGATGTTCGTTGCCAGCAGCAAGCATGCTCAGGAAGAGGTCGCGCCAGATAAAAAAGAGCACTTGTTCGATGTTTTGCGCACCGTTGATGTTGAATGCTTTGACATGCTTGCCTGACTTGCGCTTGATGGTCACGGTCACAAACATATTGTTGAACGTACACCGGCAGCTGCTAGGGGTCAAACATATAATGGACAAACTGGAGAGCGTGCGCACCTGGATCGACCGCTGGCAAGATGATCTAATATTCCAGCCACAAACATTAAGCACTTGTGAGCATGGATGAAGTTGACGTTGTGCTCATAGACCACACTCCAGATGTCGTTCAACCAATCAGTCAAGCTATCGATCGCTTCGCCGAGAAGCTCCTTCTTGTGCGAACGGTCCTTAACAAACGAGCGCTTAGCGTCCCTTTGGAGCTCGTCGAGCAGACCGTTGATTTCCATCCGCTTCGCTTTGAGGTTGAGTTCTGGCAGACCATCATGTCGTCTGTGAAGCTCAGAGGCATGCGCAAACGCCTTTTTGAACCGAACTTTTTCGACTTGGTTCAGCAGAGGGATAAGGTGTTTTTCTACCAACTCCTGCTGAGCATCAGCAGGTAGGGCATTGTAGATCGTGGTGAACCTAGATGGTACTCTGTTACTTGCGCTGTTCAATTCGGCGAACGGCGCACCTGGAACTAGGCAGTTTCGACGATACCCCCCCTCGTCCCAAGGAAGACATGATCAGAGAGTCAGGCTAAGCGTAGCTCCCCTTTGGCTTTGCAGTCAATTTATGTCAGGAAAGCCGGCGGGGATGAGCGGTAGCACAGAGCAAGACGCGATTGCCTAAATTGGTGATCCGTCGGCGCGCGCAGTGACATTGACGCGTAAGGTCACAGATGTGACAGACGTGTCGCTCGCGTGGCGCGCCTGTCTCGCGTAAGTTACGCATCGGAGGCCTCTGCTTCAACATTTCTTGTGAGGTTCAGAGCGTCGGGTTTCACTGATTCAAGGTCCATCTTGCCTTTGATAATTTCGGCTTGATATATCTTGGATAAGAAGGCGAAAGTTACCCAGAAACTCTGGCTGCGACGCCGCACTCCACTAAATTCAACCGACATCCTCCCAGCCACCTCAAACGGCGTGGACACTCTATTAGTTCTTCCGAAACCATACACATCGCTCTGCTTGTAGAGGATATTTCCAACTACTTCTCAACTAGCTTCTACTCTACCGACGCGTTGACGATATGGCCGGTATGAAACCGAAAGCTCCTCCCAAAGTTCAAGGCAAAGATATCAGAGGCTTTTTCAATGGAGGGAGTGGTCACACGACACCATCCGGCTCTCAGCGCTCTCACTTCTTTGTGAGTGCGATGTTAATGCAATTGGGACAATCTGTCACGCGAAGTTCCATGCGCAGCCTGCAGGAACTATCCAAGCGCAGCCGATAGAAATCAGTACGTTATTGAATATTTAATTCTCAGAGAGCGTGTTTGATCCTTGATTAGGTGACGAGGAAGTCACAAAGGCTAAGCCCAAAGCAGCTGAAGCGGTGAGCATGCTGGTTATTACTTGCGGGCTGCATAATGACTCTCATCTAAGATCAAGACTAAGAGCCAGCGGGTTATGGAGGAAGACGATGAGCCTGCACCACGTCCCGCACTTGAGCGCAAGAAGGCTGTCCTTCTTTCGAGCGATGACGAGGACGAAGATGTCAAAGTGTCACCGCCCAAGAAAAAACCGGCCGTAGCTTCATCGCCACCGAAGAAGCCTATCGCAACGTCGTCGTCGAGGGCCAGCGGCAGCTCAGCAGTACCGTCCGCCAGCAGTACCTCAAGGGTTGCTCCCAAGCGGACCAGCACAGCGAGCCGAAAGAAGAAAGATAGCGACTTTATCGCCCCGAGCTCCGAGGACGAGGACGAGGACGATGACTATGAGGACGAGGACGAGGAAGAGATGCCTAAGAAGACCAAGACCAAGGCCCCGTCGAAGAAAGCGCCTGCTGCCAAACCCCAGCCCACAAAGGCCAGCAGATCCGACAAAAAGGCTGCCACTATTGCCAAAGGTGATGACGAGCCTGAGGAAAAGCCGAAACCGAAGTTTAAGTGCGTGCGATAGTGTAGCTGAGGGTTCCGCATCTGATCGACCTGTATACAAAGCTGGGCGGCGGCAAAGGCGGCCAAGATGGCAGGCCCTGTCGCTCCAGGCTCGAAGCCCATTCCTCAAGCAGCAGCTCCAGATTGCCTAGCAGGGCTCACGTTTGTCTTTACAGGCGAACTCAGCAGCTTATCCCGCGATGAGGCGATCGAACTGGCCAAACGTCATGGCGGGTATGTCTACTCTCAGGATTCACACTCATGCAGAATCTCATCTGTGTGCGCTCTTATTCTCAGTCGTGTAACAGGCCAACCCTCTTCTAAAACGTCATTCGTCGTCCTCGGATCTGATGCTGGCCCAAGCAAGCTTGCCGCAATCAAGAAGAACAACCTCACGACGCTCGATGAGGACAGCTTCCTACAGCTGATCGCGACGCGTGTGCCCGACCCGAATAAATTGGACAATAAGACAAAAAAGAAGCAGGAGAAAGAGGAAGAGGCAATTCGTACCGCAGCGAAGGAGATGGAACGGCGCGAGAAACAAACTGCGCAAGGCGGCGGCGCGAAGGGTACGAGGTTGGTGCGACGCAGCGTCGCAACCTGTGGGCGACTGACACGATATTTTGCGTAGCGCGAATCCGGCAATCGCGAATCAACTATGGACAAATCGGTATGCACCACAGACGCTCAAAGAGATCTGCGGCAACAAGGGCCAGGTCGAGAAGTTGCAGCGGTGGTTGCACGACTGGTAGGTGAGCCTGCTTCGCGCTTCGTTGCGGGTATTGATGTGTTCGCCGCTATGCAGGCCGTCAAGCCTCAAGGCAAACTTCAAGAAGCCCGGCAAGGACGGGATGAATGTCTTCCGCGCTGTCTTGATCACGGGTCCTCCAGGCATCGGGAAGACGACAAGCGCTCACTTGTGTGCGAAACTTGAAGGGTTCACTCCCATCGAGTTGAATGCGAGTGATGCGAGAAGCAAGAAGCTCGTCGAGGTGGGCTCGTTTACTTGCTCGAGCGATGAGCGTGTCATTTGACAATCTCACAAACACGAAACAGAACAGCACCAATATCGCCAACACGTCACTGGATGGGTGGATGACCGGAGGCAACGTGCGTACGGATTCAAAACTTCATTGAAGCTCGTAGTGATATTGTGTATAGACGTCAAACGCAGTCGGTGTAACGATCACGGATAAGACATGTTTGATCATGGACGAGGTGGATGGCATGTCTGCTGGAGACAGAGGGGGTGTTGGTGCTCTCGCAGCCCTGATCCGCAAGACGAAGGTAAGAATACCCTTGTGTCTCGTATCATCCCTCTTATCCTCTATTTCCGAAAGATCCCGATCATATGTATTGCCAACGATCGAGGGGCTCCTAAAATGAAACCATTGTCCAACGCTGCGTACAATTTAACGTTCAGGCGGTAGGTATCGTATGCGACGCGTTTTCCGACGCTCATGCGCGATTTATAGACCAGAGGCGACCACCATTCGCTCGAGAATTCTCTCCATTGCCTTCAAGTAAGTACATGCGCTGTCTCCTGCACTACATTGCCCAATGAAGGATACACTATAGAGAGAAAATGAAGATTCCTGCCAATGTCATCGATCAACTAGTCGAAGGTGCCCAATCGGATATACGACAAGTCTTGAATATGCTCTCCACATGGAAGTTATCTAACGACACGATGGATTTCGACGAGGGCAAGGCTCTGTGAGTATACAAGGCTGTCAAAGGACCGAATCTGACGGTCGGCACAGTGCAAAGGCAAATGAGAAGTATGGAATCATGACACCGTTCAACATCATCCAGAAGATGTTGGGTCCATACATGTTCTCACCCACAGCCCGGGAGACTTTGAATGACAAGATGGAATTGTACTTCCACGATCACTCGTTTGTTCCTTTGTTCATTCAGGTACGTCAGATTGCCACGACTGCCTCATGCCGGATAGTGACGCCCGCAAAGGAGAATTACTTGAAAACCCAACCTGCCAAGATCCGGAATATCGACGGCCCTGAGAAGATACTGAAGCAACTACAGCTGATGGACAAGGCAGCCTCATCGATCTCTGATGGCGACCTCGTTGACTCTCTCATCCATGGGTACATCCGACATTCACTACCTAAAATATGTATATTGACATGGTGCTGCTAGCCCCGAACAGCATTGGTCGCTCATGCCACTACATGCTGTGTGCTCAACAGTTCGCCCAGCGTCCTTCCTGTATGGTATGGGAGCCGCATACGGTGGACCCAATGCGATGTCTTTCCCTCAGTAAGTCCTCATCTTACGCCGCTCGTCATATTTGTTGAGTTGTGTGCGTCAGATGGCTTGGCCAGAACTCCAAGCAGAACAAGTTAGTGCGGCAATTGACTGAGATCCAGGCGCGCATGCGTGTCAAGGTCTCTGGAGACAAAACCGAGATCCGACAATCATATACGCCTGCACTATTCCCGCACATCGTGAAGCCGCTCATGGATGAAGGCGCTGTGAGTTTCCTGTCTCCGTTTGATAAAAGCGAACAAGTACGTTGATTGCTCACAACTTGTCAGAGCGCTGTCGACGAAGTAATCGAACGCATGGACGATTACTTCCTCACGCGAGAAGACTGGGACACAATTGTAGAGCTGGGCCTCGACCATAACAAGGATGATATTGTCCTTAAGAAGATCTCAACTGCGACAAAGACATCATTCACAAAAAAGTACGTTATCTGACCTGAGTTGTGCACTGCCACTCACGAATGGCCTGGCTAGATACAACTCCAGAGACCATCCCATTCCCTTCTACAAGGCTCAAGACTTTGGCAAGGCACCCAAGAAACTGGCTGCTGGTCCACTGCCCGATCTCGAGGAGTTTCTCGATGTGAGTGATAGTTCGCGTTGCTTGTCTTTGAATGTCGTGGTAATTGTGGTGGATCTAGGTCGATGACGATGTGGAGGAAATTGCGGAGGACACTAACGAAACCTCCGACAACGATATCGAGCATGATCGCCTTATCAAGGCGCCGAAGAAAGGTAAGGGCAAGGGCGCTAGCACGAATACCTCAGCTACCAAACCCAAACCCAAACCCAAGCCAAAGAAGTAGTACTGCATATATTCATTTGTATTGTTTGATCGGGTTTCACTTGCAGCTTCACAATCCATGCAGACATGTGTATTTGTAGACTTATCATCGTGATTCCTCTCAGCAATGTCCTAGTCCAAATCAAACCCCTGACAGAAGCCGCTTCGCATAAAGGTGAGAGTTGCGAGTTCCTCCGTTAGTCTTGATCGGGATCCAGTGTCGGTTGCAGTGGATGACAACGCTATTTTGATCGTGACTAACATTTATAGGTGAGTGGTGGTCCAGATTAGAATGGATATACGTGCGCATCCGTGTATCCGCGGCCGTCTTGACTGACAGAGTACGGATGTACGGACGGCAAGAGCGCAGAGTGATAGTGTATCCGGCGAAGGGACGGACATAGACAGGCAAGTATGTGTATAAAAGGTGGGCACTCGATGTAATGCATCTCAGCTTAATTGCCTTCACTTTCATCTTTTTGAACATTTGACTTCGCTTTCAACCATGCATTTCTTCACTACCCTCACTTTCATATTCTTGCATCTTCTGCCTGCCTCTGCCTTCCCAGCGAAGGTTCCTCGTGGCACGAAAATTTCCCTCGCCAAACGCGCCACCTTGGCTGGCCCAGATGGCGCGGTTGACATCACTGCCGTGCAGAGGCACTTCGCCTATGCTACCTCGTGAGTCCTCCACACAGTGCTGTCGGCCATCGTGTCTGATCTCATGCAATAACAGGAAAATCCAAAGTGGCTTCGCCACCTACGAGCAAAACACGGGCGAGGCTCATCCACTCGCATCCGCACCTAGCCAGTACAAACGGGCGGACAGTGTCGTCCTGTATACGGACATGGATGGGCAAATGTGGCAGGGCGCCATCTCCGTCGGTACACCGCCGCAAAATTTCAGCGTCGACTTCGACACGGGGAGCAGCGACCTCGTGCTGCCCGGGCCGCTGTGCAACGAGAACTGCGAGGGCCACCAGTACTACCACCCTGACCAGAGCTCGACGTCGCACGACATATATCGTGCGTTCAACCTCTCTTACGGCGATGGATCGAATGCCCGGGGAGATATCTACCACGACACCATCCGTGTCGCCGGCCTGACTGTGAGTCCCTGTTCTGTCTGGCGCGCCATCGCAATAGTATTCACAGAACACAACCCGGTCTGCAGGCCCACACTGGCTCCGTCGGTTCTGCCGAGACATACTCGGACGGCTTCGCGCCCTGGAACTTCTACCCCGACGGCCTCATGGGCATGGCGTTCAGTGCTCTGTCCAAATTTGGGTCTGGATCTGAGTCTGTCTTCCAAACCCTGATGGACCAGCACCAGACCAAAGAGGGCGTCTTCGCCTTCAAGCTCATTGACAATGGCAACTCCGAGCTCTCGGTCGGCAGCATCGATCAATCCGCTGGCGCCGGCGATTTGACCTACACGCCAGTAACCCATCAGGTCAGTGTACCTCATAGCTCCGTGGTCCAGCGGATCGCAGTCGGGACTCATCAATCAATTTCATGGTCTAGGCATACTGGCAGGTCCAGATGGACGGTGTGGCTGTCGGCGGGAACAGCACGCTTGGCAACCTGTCTGCCATCATCGATACGGGCACCACACTGATCATCGGCGACGCCGCGAACGTGGGCAAGCTATATGCCTCCATTCCCGGTGCGAAAAACGCAACCAGCGCGGGTGCTGGCTTCTACACCGTGCCCTGCAACGCCATGCCTGACGTCAGCTTCACGTTCGGCGGAAAGCCGTTCCACATCTCGAAGGACTTGTTCAGCCTTGGCCCAGTCAGCCATGGCTCATCAGATTGCCTCGCCTCAGTGGTGGGAACAAGTGATCAAAAATTTTGGATTGTGGGAGACCGCTTCCTGCAAAACGTATATACTGTATTCGACATGCAAGGACTTCGAGTTGGTTTCGCTGAGCTATCATGAAACAACGGAGAGGTCATAGCCATATACCGTTTATACCACACTCGTGTACCAGAGTTATACCGCACCAATAACAAATACGTCAGAATCAGAATGTTGGAGCCATCGTTTATGATGGCTCTTGAGAATATGGGGTTCATCCACTATAATTAGTAGACAGCCAACGTGACATCGGCACTGACAATCTACTTTAACTCGCGCTGAGAGCATGAAAAGGACAAAAACTTGTAGCATGTCAGACGCGCGTGTTTCCAACAGCTCTGCTGAAGTTCTTGCATCTATTATGTACCCTATGCAGCAAAGAAGGTGGTCCCACAGGTGTTCATTGAGTCGGTGATAACGTGATTACGCACGAGCCGACTCACCTTCCTGATACAGCACTCTCTTTCCCTTTTCTGGTTCCTGACAGGAACGCTGATCTGGACAGGCTGATTGATCCTCTCCGCAGCCCAGTCTCTTTCGCATGCGAGCCGAGGTCTAGCCTCACGAGAGCCCCGACCGACGTCCATATAAGTAAAGGCGCCCTCCCTCGAATTCAAAACAATGGAGTCAAATCATGAAGATTACAGGGTGCTGCCACTTCTACCGTCAGTTCGCGCAGTGCAAGGTATCACCGGCTGTGGAGGCGGCAAGTAGCGCCGCAAGTAAGATGTTTCAGGTCGAGAACGCCAGGCGGACAATCGCCTGATTTGGATAACGCAACGCCGCATCTGTCGTTTCGCAACGCAGGCATCAGCGGGGCTGTGTCGGCTGGAGGACATCAAAAAGCGGAGACAGCTCAGCCGTGTGCCAGGGTCTCCTTCGTCTTCTCTTTTCCCTTCATCTTTCATTACGATTCTTCGTATTTATGGCCATCGTCAATCGTTCTAACAGCGTGCTGGCACGGGCAGGCCATGCGCACCTCCTACACAAGCGAGAAGTCCCCGCTTCCAGCGCAGTTGCCTCGCCCACACTCGTTTCGGAAGGTGTCGAAGCATCCCCGTCGCCCTCTGTCGCGGCTCACCACAGTGGTCCGACGAGCAAGGAGAAGGCGATCGCTGCTTCAATGGTGATCGTCGGAATCCTCATTATTGGTGCGTGATTGACATACTTCTTGATGCTTCCACACCAACTTCCCAATCAAAATTCAGGTATTGTTATATGGCAGATAGGCAGATGGCGCCGCAGAAAGGCGCGAGCAGCCGCCTCCAGCAAGTTCAACATCGCCTTCAACACGAATTCCATGTCGGACAAGCCCATCCCCCTCGACTTCGACATGGATGGTCGTGAGCTCGAGAAGCCGAGCACGGCGAATATCCTTCTCCCTATGACACCCGCGGCCAGCGTCAAACCCTCGCTCACGGGCAAGCCGTGGACGCACACCATCCCTGCTTCCGGCGACTTCCCATCCGACAAGCCGCCGTCTTACGCCGCCGTCAACGGCGCTCTCAACCAGAGCTACCGTGTCCCGCCGCCGGCGCTCGAGATTCCCCAGCGGCCCAAGTCAAGCGCAGTGGTCGTGCCAAGTCCACGCTCGTCCTCCTTCGGCGTCGACTCGCCACTCTTCCTAAAAGCTCAGCTCACCGCAGCGCTCAAAACGTCCCGGCTCGCGACGGCCAACAAGCCGCTGCCACGCGCGATGTTTGTCGAGAGCACGTTCAAGCCGTCGCTCTCCGACGAGCTGCTCGTCAAACCCGGCGAGACGGTGCGCATGCTTGAAGAGTACGAGGATGAGTGGTGCCTCGTCCAGCGTGGGAGCCCCGAGGACGGCCAGAAGGGCGTGGTGCCGCGCTTTTGCCTGCGGGAGCTGCCTTGAACGACTAGCAATATGAACATTCTGCCGCCTCGCCCCCCGGCACGCTATCACGAGCCATCACGAATCGGAATCTAACTTTGTGACAGACCCTTCAAGATACGATACCTCTTTTGTTGAGCTATATTAAATAAGCTCTGGCCATTCTTTCGCTTCGTACCATATTTATCCTTATTTTACGCCTCGCGTGAGTGTCACAGTGTCCACCTTACTTGTTGAGTTGCTCATCGTCCTCCAGGCATTATGCGTCGCTGGTTGTGCATTATTTATTGTATAACATTTGAAATGCAATGGGCTTCTGTGCATTATTTTTGTAAATTATAGCACGAACTCTGTCCTCGCAATACATACATGGACGTAAACATGCTTAGGGTATGAGGGTATTTACTATATGGGCTCCGAAGTAGATTTCAGGCAAATCCCAGCTACTTTTCGCGCCTTAGTCAGTCAGCGAGCAAGACCTAGGGAATGGCTCTAACCGAGGTAGCACATAGAATGAGTCCGAGTAGCCACATTTCCCAACAATACCATTGGATGGCTGCTGGGGAGCTGTGAGGTCCCGCTCTAGCCACGCGTCTTGCGTCTGTTCTCGGCTTGGGTCTGCTGAAAATCCGTCTTGGAATCTGTACTTTAAATACCCTTTCATTCGTCACGAAAGCCAATAGTCATGAGAATGAGAATGATGAATCTGTGCGAGATTTTCTCTAGAGTTCAAATCACATTGCGACAGTTACAATACACAAACAAGATTATGTAGGTCGCTACAACGTAGTAGTCCATGAGGGGGTATGTGTATGATACGGATACAGACATGTGAAGTGCATTGTGTCGACAGATACAGACAGGATTCGGATATACAGGTAAAGCCGGTGTCGCAGAGGGTACAGCTTGGCTACAAGAAACATCGTGATGTCATGAGTAGGCATTACCGTAATATGACAGCGAGAAATGAGCGTCTGCGAATCACGAATCACTTAATGGCCAAATGCAATGCGAACGGATTGCCACGTACGGTGATACTGCAAACGTGCTTCAGAGCTTGGGCGAGATCCTCAATCGGCCCCTCCCCTTCTCGATGCTGAGGAAATCGGCCTTCTCCGGGTCCCCCTCATCGCGTACGACGCCCGTGAGGCTCGCCATCCCCGGGCTCGCCAGCGCGTGTTCGCTGAGCCCTGTCAGGCCAAGACCCACCATCGACGCCGACCCGGCCCGCGACTCGCGCTCGCGCACCTCCTCCATCGCGTCCCGCCGCCCGCGCTCGCGCTCGTCGCGTACTTTGCCTCCGAGCATCTCCTCACGCATGCGCCGCCGCTCCCGTCGCGCGCCGTGGTACGAGCTGAACGTGCGGATGATCATCGCAAATTTAAATAGCCCCAGGGCAAACACGACCGTGATCGCCGTACGGACGCCGATGGCCTGGCGAGTGCTAAGAGGGGAGGGCGGCGTCTGGTTTGCGATGGATCCCGTGCGCCAGACATATGAAAGGATCGAAACGCAAAACGCGATCATGGACCAGGCAAGCCAGATGGCAGGAGCAGCGAGCAGTACCCAAATGTTCCACAGGATAGCCGTCTTTGTCCTTTGCGCTTCCTGTAGTCACCAGGCTTAATCAGGTGCGACCCAGGGAATGCTATCACTTACCTCTGCCCAACGAGATGCCCTGTCCATGGTCCGCATCGTTCCAAATTGGACAATGAACACGCAGCCGTAGCACAGACTCATAAGCGCAAAGACGAGTCCAAATAGCGCCGCCGACCGCGTCACCGGATCGTCCTCGGCATCGTCCACTTGGAACATCGTCAAGATTGCCCTGCAGCACAACATGCATGAGTAAAGAATTTGTCATTACACGGTCGCGCTCGAGACGAATGAAGAGCAAACCTCTTCTTCGGCGGCGCAGAGATGATCAGTACGCACGTGCACAACAAGGCGGACACCAGGTTGAGCGTCTTCCACTCGCGCAGGAGCGAGTCCACGAATTGCTCCCACGAATGCTTGAAGCGCACTAACGCGGGGGAGACCATTGGCGGATTCCATTCTTCTGGGAACGGCAATAGCACCGTGTGTCTGCTGGGCACGGAGCGGTCGCGGGTGCCCGGCACGCCTTCGGGGCCGCGGTCGTTCGGATCGCGGGTACACGCGTCGATCATGCGTTGCACGTCGGGCCTGCTGAGCTCGGCATCCTCGAAGACGCGTGTGACGCGTGACCAGTACAGCGCGGGCAGGCCCAGCAGGAGGATAAGATAGAACTGGCGCGGCAATGTGTCCGTGAGGAATGTGCGCGCGTCGCGAAACACATCCTTCCAGGAACCTCCCTCGCTCTCGCCATCTTTGGTCTTGCACGGCGACAGCACTGGGAGAGGCAGGCACCCGCCGAACGCGTCTTTGCATTCTATGTCATTGTCGCTATCGGGACGTTGCATAACCGATACCCGATCGCCCTTGCTGGCTGGGCCGAAAAAGCCAATGCGAAAAGGATCGACAGGTACGAAAGGCTCCTCGCGGGCGTGCACCCGATGCAAAGCCCATCCAAGGCGACGCAGTGGAGAGGCCGCACGCGACTGCGAGGGAGACCGAGAGGTGGGAGTATGAGGATCCCTTCCCAGGCGGGGCGAGAAGTTCTGTGCCGGATTGTGGCTTTGTTCCGATGCTGCTGGTTGGGTCGGAGTATGAGGGCCTCGCAAAGAGCCCTCCCCAGACAAAGGCGAGGGGGAGCGCGTCATAGAATGACTACGACGCACTCTTCTATTAGCAATAGCTGTCAAGAGTATGGTAAGCTTATTTATAGGACATTGAATTGGATTTACTTGCCATGCCGGATTCCCTGGAGAGTAGTGGGAAGAGACGCGCGATCACTCTCTAGGGAAGCCCTCTGCCTCGGAGTGTCTAGTCCAATTGATCCGTCAGATTCACTTGCATGGGTTGCTCGCGGAAGCTGATGAAGGGCCTGAAGACTGCCGGAGGGTGAGTCGACAGATGTCAGCGATCCGGACGTGTCTAGGCCGCGCCGTAGTAAGCGACTGGGCGAGCGAAAGCGCCCGCCAAGCGCGGGAGATGACTGAGTTGGAAGCTCAGATAACTTGTCCGAGCTCGTTCTGTCGGACGACGACGAAGTCGAATCTGTATGTCTCTAAGCTTAGCTGGGCAGAGCGTAATTACGCCAGGTGATCTCCGTACCAGGAATCGCGACCGGCGGCTGCTCGCTCTGGGAGGGAAAAGGAACTGAGTTCTGACCCGGTCGCGTATCTCTAGAGGTTGTATCTGAAGCGGAATCGTGCAACGCGTGGGTTGGTGTCATGGTTGATCTTTACGACTCGAAGTGTGAGGTATTAAGCGAAAGATGGATACCAGTGGGTAGTAGTGATAAACGAGGGGAGAGACTACGCGGAAATAATGTAGGTATGCCTCAGCAGGCCGGTGCCTCTTAAAGGGCGCGCTCCGGGGAGAAGAGAGTAGAGCAGCCTGAGCTCACCCATTCTGGTTCAACTAGGACAGTTGCCATATTTGGCTTCCTGAGCGTATCACGTGCATGATCGAACGGTAATTGGACGCGTCGGTGGCGGTGCCATCCCGCCACCACGGCTCAGCAGCAGCCTCTCCGGCATTCTCTGGATGCAATATGCATATTTCGAAGAGAATTAGACTTGCGTAATGATGATGAGGAACTATGGAGCGACTTGTGACTTCGAACCGTCAGGCGAGCACATGCATTGCATATTATGGACCGCGGTCTCTTCGTACTATTGGGTCCGCCCGCTCTGGTTTAGCTATTCGATTCTATCTTCTCTGCATTACGCATCAAAGCATATCCACTGCCACACAACTGCACGCGGAGCCTGCTGTATGACCACAGCATACCGGTGTCAGTACCTCCGTGTCCGGTCTGCTCGAAGCCAGGTAGATCCGCCGAGGCCAACTTGGCCTCATGCAAACGCCGTATAATGTGGCACCGCTTTTTTCCACGCGAGCCCTGTCAGAAGACAACGCGACTTGCTCGCGGCGGGTCTTCGTGTCGCCTGCGCAAGATGACACAAAACTCCCCAAACCTGTTGCGCGTTTCGATAGGAATTGCCAATATCACTGACAGAACTTCATCCAAGGCCGTCTTTTTTGTTTCGCTTGAATGGAGAGTAGTCCTCCGGACCGCTTTTCCCCACTGAGTGTCATACAATGGGACATACGATCCAGCGGCGCTCTTACGGCAATCACAATAACGACAGACGTCTCCTAGCAGATTATAGTCTGCAGTTGAGCTGGGGTAATCAGTGGGGCGAGCGCCGCGGCGACATAGAACCTCATACGGCCCTCGCAGCGACTTCGTCGCTCCATCGCGTAGTGCCTACATGCCTCCCGCGTCGGCCTGGCAAAGCCTGATGATGTGATGGAGATGAATCATTCTTTGCTTCTCCACCTGCCTGTGTCTCAGATCATACAGGAAGTCCTTAGTTATTGGGTTGTTGTAAACACGCTGAACGATAGTACAATTGCATCTACTCATACAACATTCGATACAGGACACGTCATCATAAAACTACAGAAATCGTACATAGTGATCACCACGAGACGCGCGGAAGTACTCGAACATCAAGACCGGATACAGCAATTACGCCACCAGCCATTCACCGAAGCTGCTGGGTCGCGGGCTTGCCGGTGGGGATGGGAGCGTGAGGGACCGGAGCATGGGGAACGCGAATCTTGAGGCCTGTTGCGACGTGTATTAACATTACTGCTGCCACTTCACGTGAAGCCGTACGCACCGAGTTCCTCAGCGATCAAGTCGGCACCCTTCTCGCCGACGAGCAAGGCAGACGAGTATGTGTTGGTGCCCAAGTTGTCCTGGCAATGGCATCAGTCTCCGCATACCGCACTGCCACGCAGACAGCACTCACCGGGCAGATGCTGAGGTCGACACACTTGAGGTTCTCCGTGCCGTAGACGCTCAGACGTTTGTCGACAACACCGCCTTGTTCGCGCGGCTTCATGGCGCATGTACCTGTCATGTCGTGTCAGGCGCCGCATCATGATCCGCCTCCGCACAAAGCAGCTACGTACCCAAAGAGTGCCAGGTCGTCTCGACGTGATCAGCGACCCAGTTGTCGATCGCCTCGTCGTCCTCCTTGGTGTACACGATATCATCATGCACCTTCTTCGGATCGTACGCGTCGCCGGGCTTGTGCCACGTGCCCATGTGGATCCCGACCGTCAAGCTGTTCGGGAGAAGCTCCTTTGCGGTCTTAAGGTCGATGTCGTGGCACGCCGCGGGAGAGTTCGGGTGGAAGTGCGGGTGATGCGAGGTGAGCTCACCGCGGAAGCCTGGAGCATCATGTGTTAACACAATACCGCAAGCAGTACGACCGCCTGCACTTACAGTCCATGCGGCGCGCAACCTCGCGCGTCTTCTTATAACTCCAGCGAATCGGCGCAAAGTCAGCCTTGTTGTTCAAGAAGCCACTGTCATAGAATGGCTCGACATATGGATTGGCGCTCTTGATGTGGATCTACAGAAATTTGGTATAAGCATGCAGTTTTCTTTTGACAGGTTGCGAAGCGGCTTGCTTTGCCACGGCTAGCCGGGTACTCAAGGTACTGGAACCTGTCGGTCACGTAATTAGGATATGCCTTCCGGAAACGATGTCTGAACTCACATCGTGATGTACTTGCCCGGGGGCAGGAGGGAGTGATCGGCGTAGGCGCCGCCAACAATGGAGCCGAACATCACCGGCTTGTCCGGCTTGTCCTTGAAGTAGCGGTTCCAAAGCTCGTTGAACTCCGGGCCCATCTCCTTGAGCTCCTCCTCAGTGGGACGGATCTGATGCCAGACGCTCTCAGCATTCTTGGCGGCTCATACACCGTGCCGGTCAGATTTACCTTAAAGCCGGCATCGATGGAGTTCGACGACAGGCGCGCCTTCTCAGGGCTTGTCTCCCACTCCTGGAATATCTCCTGCTGTGCTTCCTTAACTCCGCGGAGGAAGTCATCAGTGGTCTGGGTGTCGTTTGAGACACGGTAGACTGCGCTCAGGGGTTAGTTGACCAGTATAGCATCTAGATGAGGTAGTGCATACGCGACAAGGTGGTGTAGTGGTCCTGGTACTCCTCACTGAAAGAGGCGTTAGCTTGCGGACGTGGGTAAACCCCGGTATGGTTCCGCTTACCCGACACCCGGGAGATCACTGACGACCTTGATTCCGAGCTGGCTCAGGAGCTCAGCGTTGCCGACGCCAGAGCGTTCAAGGATTTGGGGCGTGCCAAGGGTGCCCGAGCTGAGGACGACCATCTTGCGTGCCTTGACGATGGTCTCGTGGACCTTGCCGCCTGACGTGCGGTTGCGCGACGGCACGTACGCGACTCCGACGGCCTTGTTGTTAGCGTCGAAGAGAACACGGTTGACACGCGCATTGCAGCGGAGGTACAAATTGTCCTGGACGTCCATGACGCTGTGCACATACGCTGGTGATGGCTCGCATTGGTGAGTTCATTCCCACAATGACGAGCAATGACATACCGGTCGCGGCGTCACTGCGGCGGCCAGTGTGACGGTTGATGTACTTCGCCCAGATCTCAGCACCATGAGCGGTGTTCAGATCTGGATAAAACATTAAGAATTTTCGCCGCGCAAGTGGGCTAAAGATCATTTACATACCCTGAATATCGTCTATATCAGAAAACAGCTATTAGTGAATTATCAATCTAGAAGTTCTGCTAAGTACACATACCGCTATACGGGATACCAATGGCGTGAGATGCGCGGAGGAAATCCTGGGCAACAGGCTGGATTTGTCCACCATTGCTGATAGCGATTGGGCCGTCGTATCCGTGCGTGTCATTGTTCGCCGGCTTCTGGTAGTTCTCGAGGCGCTTCATGAGCGGCACGAGGTCTGGGAATGTTATCAGTCTCAGAAATCTTCGACCCCTCTGCCGGAATCTTACCTTTGGCTGTCCACCCCTCGGTCTTGAAGTCATCTGCATATTTTCATGATGAGCTCGTAGTTCACCAACCGCGGTAGCACCAGCGTCACTGACCCCAGTCTGATGCAGAAGCCCGCGTGTACATCTGAGACGCCCTTAACGAAATGGATGATTGGAAGGTTGGAATAACCGTACCTGGAAGTTGATGCTGCTACCGCCACCTATCATGAGGGAAGAGCACAATGAGGCAGACTTCACAAGAAAGAACAAAAATGAACTAACCGAGAATATTCGCGCAGCTGTCCAGTATCGTGATCAGCATTGCTCGATGAACGATAGCGAAACACACATACGGGACAATGCTGCGACGGCCGCGGAGGTGAGAGGACTGCTGGGTGTCAGTGTAGAACGTGGCCTTGTCGTTTCTGACGAACAACAGGACTCATGAGGTGAGACATTGATAAGGCAGAATGGATACATACACGCCGTCGTTCTGCATGTTGCGAACATAGATACCAGGGCTTTTGCCGTTGTCAGAGCCCTGTACTAATCAAAGACGCACAAACAAGACTGACCGGTACACCCAAGGATCATCGCGGTTGTTGGCACCGCCTCCAGATTGTTTGTCAGCGGAGGGTTCCACGTCAAACTAATTGGGACAACACATACCTTCAATAAGCATAACCTTCAGCGTAGGGTCGGCATAGGCGAGACGCCCTGCGACAACGCTGCCGGCGGGGCCACCGCTATCAACGCAACCAGCGTGAGCTCCCCGACGTCGGCAGCAGGTACGGACAGCGAACAGACGCACCCACAGACGATGACGTCGACTTCCTCTGGGTGCATGATGACGAGTGAGCTGAGAAGAACTGTGGGTTCTGAGGGCAGAGCGGTCGAGAATGAAACTCGCTGCCTTGCCCCTGTCGTGTTCTCAGCAATTTATATTGTGTCCTCTCGGTGGGATGACCCCGAATGAGCGGTACAAGAAGCGCAGCGTCCGTTCTTGCAGTCATGGGCGCGTGCTTAGGCGGACGCGTTCTCATCAGCCAACCGTCAGCTGGACGAAATCACCATCAGCGGCTAGTGCACGGCGTAGCTTGTCCCGTGCTACCCCGCATTTCCCCACACTACCCCACACTCGCTGATCTGAGGAAACAAAGGAAAAAGCGTGGTGCCGTCAATCAGCTGTGCAGAGAAATCAAATATGACGGTCATGCAATATGTGTCTTGCCTGGCCAGCGTTAAGCGCTGTACCTACACAAGTCGCAGATTTGGCTCCGCAGGCACACGCTGTCGTTCGCTCCATGAGAGTCTTAGAACACAGCCGGCATCATTGTAATCGGGGGAGGTACGTTGGAAATGAATCATCACATCCACCCACATCTTCGTCCCACGAAGACGCTATAGCAGAAGCCCAAGCGTAAGTGGGGGGAAAGCCAACGGACTGCTGTGCGCACCTGATACAAGAAGTGGATCATGAGGCCGGCATCTGACTACAGCTTCAGAAGCCAATTCAATTGAGTCTGAAAAAGATAGAAGCTTGGATGCTTCAGGAAAGGGCTCGCCTACAGCGTCAGCGTGTAGCAAGCGTGTACGCTTGAGAGACAGACAAGCGCCCTCTGTGAAGCGTACGAGACTCGATTTTCAGTCGTCCATCGAAGTAAGCCTGCGCACGCTCAGGAGTATCTTTCGTACACATGACAAGCCGTGCATTTGTTAGGAGCGGCGCAGTGTCAAGTAGAATGATGCTGCGCGTGAACAGATGCTCCTCGTTCAGGCCGTGAGACGGTCATATGCTGCAGTTTAGGGGGGGAATGTGACAAGACTATGATGCAGGCCACTCACCAGCGATTTCATCGTACTAAGCCCTCTTGTGTAAGATATGTGGCTCACTCTGCTCCGACTGCAACAGACGACTTGAAAAAACCCGAACATCCCTGAGACCGCCCGGAGTGGTGATCAACCGCCGTCATTGTATGGTTGCTCAGAATCTGTATCTGCCTCAGCTTCGCCCTTGAAACATTGTCTATTGCTTTTGAACCCGTAAAGTACTGTAGACCGTGCACCTCGGCTCGAGGCGAGCAAACTTCGAATGCAGAAATGCTTATGCGACGAAAGGGGTTGCAGACAGAGACAAACTCGGTAGCGCTCATCGGTGTGAGAACCTGATCGGAGATCGATACTAATGTATTGGATCAGAGATCCCCCCGGGCCATTGGACTATTATTGAGACCTATTGAAACCATTCAAGAAAGGAATAGCTCAGCTATAACTCAATCACCCTCTTGCGCTGCGTCGCATTGGCCCAGGATTTGATACCCCTGTGCATATCTTCGTTCGGATAAATCGTGCGCGAGGACTCAGGATACCGCCACGAGTCAGCGCGACGGCCCCTGCCCATGACCATGAGGTATACAAGACATTGTGTGTAGGTGCTCCGGCATCAACACTGCATTGTATATCAGCACATGCAAATTTCTCTGAAACATTGACATAGGTCAACGCCGCGCTCGAGATCCAGCGAGCTCGCTAGCTTTGCAGTCAACCGCACGGATGTCACATGAATACGTGCCACCAAGAACAGGCCCGTCGACCGCAAATGCTGCTGATAGATGGCCCGTCAGGTGCATGTTTTGTCAGAGCTGATATGGCACGATGCTCGTCGCTGAGTGCCTCGGCCTCCTTTCTACCCGCCTATGCCAAACACCCGCCCCACTCAGTTTGCACAACGGCCGCCGTGTAAGGCTCCAGAAAAGCTGACAAGACGCGATATCTTTTTTCCCAAACAATGTCCCGGCAAAGATGCACTTTTGTCGTATCTTACCCGCCTCGGCACTATTCCACAGCTCTTCTGGCCAGACTGATCGACTGGTTTGCAAGAACATCTCGCCATATCTTCGGTGTTCGATTGCGCGACGAAATGAATGGTGCCTGTCTTCCTTTCACACAAAGCCGTCAATGTCTTTTGCGACGTTGCGTCGCCAAGGATTTGCATTGACTGTCGATGTGATCTAGACGAATTGACAGGCACTCTGAGCTGTGCCTTCAGCATTTGCAATGTCTCATATTTGGCTCCAATCTTCCATGGACATGGCAGCATGCGCTCTCCAAGGCTGCGTAACGGGAGACGGAGCCAGATTTATCAGGTTCAAAAGAAGCAGACTCGCGATGATGTCAATCCACGTACTTTTCATTTCCCTGTTCTTCGAGATGCGAAGCGTGTACTCTCGGTTAAGATGCATGTCCTCCACCCACCCACCATTCATGGTGACGTATCGGTGCGTAACCTGTATGTTGGGACGACCACGAATCACCTATTGATTCATGCCTCAAAGCCATATCACTCCACTTGACGGCCGCATAACATTAAAATCCCCATGTAAGAAGCAATACAAACTACTTGAAACAAGTTTTGATGTCAGCCAATGAGATGCACCTGCATTTCCCTGCAGCAATGAAGACCGAGATATCCGAGGAAACCTGAAGTAGTGGAGATCAATGAAAGGAAACACATCTACAACTTTTTCTCGTTGTACGAATCCGTCATCCAATGCCCATTCCTTTTTAGCTCCTTGCAGGTGTCCCAGCAAGCGCGACATACATACTGCCGAGAAGTTCCATTGGCCGCAGAAATGCCCCAAGCGTGTTTACCCGCGCCTAAAGAACATGGCTGCTTTCTCCCCTCACCCACAGGACTCTGGGGCTTGGTATTGGTGCTGATGTGCGTCGAAGGCTCTGGCGCCTCAGCGACGGGAGACATAGAAGTCGCCGCGGGAAGTGTTCGAACTGCCGGTGGAGAAGCGATAAGGGACCTGGGCAGACGGACGACATGCCCCACTGGGTCTCGAGAGTGAGAAGTGGGACCAGTACGAGGGTGGGAAGGAGTGGACGAGGCCGCCGAGGGGGCCCTGGATCTAGTAGTGAACCCGCTCAACCACGACAGGTTCAGCAGGGGGCTGAGTACAGACTGCGGCCCCGCTATTGTCGTGCTTTCCCCAGGTGACATTGCAGTGACGGAGCCCCGCACTGTGTCAGATGACGAAGGTAAGGGTTCATCGCGTGGGAGCGACACGCGAGAAGCGCCAGGTGGTATGTCAAGCGCATCCACAAACGTGCCATCAGAATGCAGAGAGCTCGTGTCCCCGTCGCCCATATCTGAGTGCTGATTGGTCCCGCGCGAGACCGCGCCCACGCTTGCAGAACTGGCCGAAGCAGTAAGTGTCTCTTGGCCAATGCCTTTGCGTGATCTGCCCGTGTCCACCTCCCAGAACCTCCCGACCTTACGTTCCTTCGCACACGCTCGGCACTTCTGACAGACGTAGGATCGCGTTGTCCCGTTGGCGGATACCCGCCACGCGTGTTCGCCCATATCGACGCACTGTGTTGGCTGTGAGGCGACTGGGTGGCTGGGCCTTGGGTTGAGCTCGACCGAGCGTAGTTCTTCGTATACGCTCAGACCAACCGGGCTCAGGGCCTCTTCTTGTGTTGTCGTCCGTGTCATAGATGGCACGGCGACCACCTCTGGCGAGAACGGAGGTGCCTTGCCACCTGGGGGCACCGAAGCGCCTACATAGAGCACAGGTCTTCCATGGTTCGTGTAATCTGCAGCGTCAAGATAGTCAGAGGCAATCTTGTCGTTTGTATTGAGCGGAAAAACTGACGTGCTCGGATCTCATTAAGATATCGTTCTCCAAGCCAAGCGAAAGCTCGTTTCTTCTGAGAGTAGCCGTAGCAATACCTGGCTCACTGATTTAAGTATCTGCCAAGGACTCATGCACAGGTGACGTACCAAGCAGATGCTCGTTTCCTCTGTCTTGCACACTCAACGAAGCTGCCGCCTAGAGTGCCATTAGTCTGCATGCACGTTGCATCATGGTTTATTGCGACGTACCGCCAAAATATCGCTCCTGATACTCTTGTGTCACGCGATTGGCTTGTCTCGGTGGTCGATCTCTGAAGTTGATTGGATTGCTATCCGAATCTGCTGCGACGTTGAAATCAATGCACGCAGACTAACGAAATCTATGGGGACGGTCTTACCACCAATCTCTTCGTCGTGCTTGATGGCTACGGACAAACTGCGGTTGAACGCTTTCATGGCCTCAGCAGCCTCCCGTACATCATCCTCCCATTGTTCAGGATCCTCATGCAAAATCAGCGAGGAATCGCAGTCAAAGCTAGACATCTGAATAGCCTTGCCGTGCGGAATGCGCTCGCGAAGAATTTTGAGAGGGCTCACATGCCCCCCGTATTCCTTTGAGGGTTCCCTGAATCGCCGCTTCAGCCCCTCAACCCTTTTGTCGATGTCGGCAGGGTCAGCTCCCGACTTGATACAGTCCTGTGCAATGTCAATGGAAAATCGATCAGTTCGTTCGGTTCATGTCATTAGGTAGAAGTCGCGTACCAGCGCTGACTCAATGATAGGAGCTAGCTCTTGTGCGTATGGGTAGTTGGCAAGGTGAGGGGTCGCATCAGCAACATCGAGCCACTTTTTGGCCGCGAACCGCAATGTCTTATTGTACTTGTGCCGTATGAAGGTATCCAGCGCGGCATCATTCATAGCATCTTCCGTGAGACGTCTAGGTGGTTTAGTGTTGGCGGTGGGTGTGCCTGCTCTATGCTGTGGCTCCGGCATGTCCCGTGGAATCAATCCGGGCTCCCAGGTCACGAAGTACTCATCCCCATCCAGATCCCTGCGGAAAGTAAGTGAACTCTGGTGATCGATTCCTAAAATATATCTCCACTAACCCCGATGCCATCGAGTCTGGGATAGAATGTGCCCCCTTTCTAGAAAAAACTAGGGACCATGCAGAGGTTCAATCACGCCCAGACACGGCTGTTTTGAAGTAATTTACCTACGCAGAAGGTCAAATGTTTCAAACATTCATAGTTAACTGCTCGAAATCTGCGTAGGTCTAATCATGATAGTAGCATCAGTAACGCGCAAGTCACGAGTATTATGTGCCAACCGCTTGGTAGGTAAGATGGATTCCTTGGATTTCATCAAGTCATGAGTGCATAACCCGTGAGGCACCTCAAGAGCTACAGACCTTCCTACGATAACATCTCTAGTGAGTACTCCAGTCCGCCCGGGAAGATTGAGAAACACCTCGTCTTCCTCGAGCACACCAGACTCGTCAATGACTCCGAACACGTAGCATGAGTCCTGAAGTTGGTTGAGTCAGCTAGCAGAACTTCTGTCAAGGCTCCCATACCTCTACTCGAAGATTTAGCTTTTTGTGAAGTAGGTTGCACTGTTGTTGTTGGAATTGGCGAAGCTTCCACTCAACGTAAGGTTCGTTCAAATCATGTTTCGCAAGTAAAATAGCGTATACTAGTGTGACAAGTTAGCAGAGAATACATGCAATGTGTTTGACACTCACAATCCTGATTGAACGCCGTTGTATTAGAGGCATCTAGTTCACCCTTGATGTACTTTTCGGCTTGATCTCTGTTGTGCAGTATGCAGCCAATTAGATCCAGCTGGTCTTGCAGCATTTTCTCGAAGATCTGACAGATCACTTCAACCTACAGCTCTCCTAATAGCCATACGCAGCGTTACCTTGAGTGGTATGTCAAGGGTGAGGAGAAGTAATATGAACTGGACATTGAGGCGTGCCGAACCGGGGTAACTGGACACGTCGTTAATCTCGAGTTGGGTCGGACCACCTTCGTATTTCAGCATCGACGGACGATATGCGATGACAGGATTGACGTCATGCGATCCAGCCTCGGAACATACTTTGTCGAATTGATTGTCTGGGTATCGTACAAGGAGGCCCTTGATCCCTCCGCGTCGAATCTGAAAGACTAGATGGGATCGGCGGGTGAGTCATTATAGTGCCAGATATGGGTTGCTTATCGCCCTAACAGGCTTAATCGACTCGGATACAACCTCGCGTGCCCAGAAGGCCGAGTCTTTCCGATTATATTCAGATCCTCTTGCGATCTCAGGTATAAATCGCTCAATTGTAGCATTCCAAGAGAGTGGTATTCATATTTTTCTCACTCCAAGTCGACAGTACCTGCAATCTCTTTGAAAATAAGAACACGTACCACAGGTATCAGGAGCAATGCCATTGTTTCTGCATACGTCCATGGCAAACGAGTGACGGATCAGTCCACAGCCATCGCTATGGAGTGACCCATCCCTCGCACGCCTGTCCGGTATCCTCGCAGCTTTCACAAAGGGTACCTGCGAAGCAATTATTCATGATGAGAATCGCAAACTAGATCTATACTCACATCCAGTGATTCAACAGTGGAAGAGAATGAAAGAGCAAGACGGGCCGCGTACTTCCCATACCCATAGGCCGAGTAAACATCACGGAGGTTGCCAATGTAGTCCATAAACCGTGCAACCGACCACGATGCATCTTCCCTGAAGAAGACGAGCTTCCCCTCCTTAACATGTCCATCAGTGAATCCCAGGAACGTGTAGCTGTAATTATCCCGTTGAGTAAAGAGAACCTCTTAGACAAAGACCACACTTACTGCTCGTCGCGCAACAGTAGGCCATCTCTCATCCACTGGGACAGGTACAGCCGCAAATCTTTGTCGGATAATTTGAGCTTGTCAGATATCGACAAGAACAAGAATCGAGTGCTATCATCGACAAATCGTGTAGCGCGCGACGTCGGGTGCTCTTGCCGTTTAGGCGAAGGCTCGACGGCGATGCCTCCATCGACTGGCACGACTCGCGCCGTCAACACAGTCGCGTAAGTCTTGTCAAGCATTTAACTGGCTCAAGCGTAGTGCGCTATGAAGCGGCTCAAGCTGTGCGTAGACCGTGGAAGTAAGAGGTAAAGAACAGAGTGGCCGCCGGTTGTCCGCCAAACGCTGAGCTCGCCAATGAAATGTCTCACCACCGGAGTGGTCCTGATGCACCATATTGCGATAATTGGAGAAACAAGTAGCATCCCGGCGGAACAACGTCTATGTCCGTTGCCTATTGAACTCAATATGTGTGTAAGCGGGGTTTGAGCGGGGATGAGCGGGTCCTGGAAACAACAGTGAACTGTGGCTGTGATTATGTTTTGCCGGATCCAGCCAGGTCGGGACCATAGTCCTGACCGTTGAATCTGAATTCCGCATCAACCCCTGGACCGCTTGCACACAAATATTCTCGCGGGGGTCTAATAGTATGAGATTGGCTGTCACTAGTCTTCTGAGAACAGACTTCGGTCAAACCTCCACAGGTTGTAGGTTTCCATATAATCACACGAGAGATATTCACAGTACGAATTCCAAGGCGATTCCTACTATGAACTACCTCAGTTACCCAGAGCACTGGACGTTCAATCTCATGCTGTCTCGAACCTGATATGTAGTTCGCAGGAGTCGACTTCCGACTCCCAAGCAAATGATACTGCGAATGCCACAGACATGAACTCAAAACATTACTACGCCAACTGCGATACGCATAACTGAAGAACTACTACTTAATATCGTCCACGACGTCCAGGTCCTTGATACGGACCATAATCAGGAGGTGGCCTTCCCCCTAATATTGGCCTTAGCGACATCCTAATAAGACAGATACTATGTTATGCTTACCTACGCGCGGCGGAGCTGGCGGCGGAGAACGCGGCCTCACTGCGCTCGTGCTGGATGGAATCACAGCATTCCTGAAGACTTGCATTAAATCGTCCGTCCTGAAGATAGGGCCTGGAGAAGTTCCACCACCATAGTTAGCTCCAGCAACCATAGCAACAGCAGACGAGAACATACCATCAAACGCGGCAGGAGCCGGCAGCATTCCGACGAACCATGACAGGACCGGGGGAAGTACGACAGGCTTCTCGTCCTCCCTATCCTCTTGTTTGAATCTCCGCGATGAGGGGCCGTCCCTGTCGCGTTCTCTCTCGCCCCAATGCGGTGGGCTGCCGTGACGTCTTCGGGGTGGCCCGTCCCACCTCTCGCGGTCTCTATCGCGAGGTGGCGGAGACCCTCGCTGGCGTTTTGCAGGTGGCCCATAGTCGGGCGCACGGCTATCCTCGCGTCTCCTATGGTCCGGGGACGATGGCCTTTTGGAAGAACCCGGCACTGCTTGCGGCTGGCTGGAAGGCTGCGAAGAGAGCAATGACATCTGCGTGTCCGTGCGCGCTAAAGCAGAAGTTCCATTCGTGCGGCCCTGAGTGCTGCCTTGGCGTGACAGCGTGAAGCCAAGGTCCCTCGCCGCAATTGCATCCGTGCCCAGGTATTTGTGGCGTTCTGCGAAGCGTTTGATTGGCGGATCTGTGGCGTACTGGGATCAGAAAAGAATAGGCAAAGGGATGTACTAAATCAAATCGACCTTGTGGGTAGACCTCGGTCATCCGCTTCTCCAGCTTCTGCGCCGCAGACAAATCGCCAAACTGGTATTCATAGCGCGCCCATCGCTCCCACAAGGGACGCGCACGTTCAGGGGGGAAAGTACCAATAACGCGCTCGAACAACGCACGGGCATCTATCCACTGTGGTTGAGCAGTCGCATCAGAGAAGCCAGAAGCTCACTCAACTATTCTCGTCGTTCACGGAAATCAGAAAGCCGAGGTATCTGAGGACGAACTCGACCTCCTCGCTAAATAGCTCCATGCCTTTTTCGAAGATCCGGCTGGCAACGTCCAGTGCTTTGGTGCAGTGGTACTCCATTAAGGCTGTAAGAAGACCATCGGTTCGGATCAGCGAGACCAAAAAATTTGACTATGCTCGCACCTGCCGCCTCGTAGACCTCCCATGGCGTCCAACGTTCTCGTCTCGCTCTGCCGAAAACTGCTCGCGAAGTCTTTAGGCCTTCCGCCCTCCGAGCAAACCTCATGTATACGATCCACGCAATACCGTACTCTGTGCGTCGTTCTGCCAATTCTTTCGACTTTGGAAGCTTCTCGTCCGATACCTGCGTATTGAATGAGGAGCTTTGCGACTGTGTGCCAGGAGTCGGGAGGCCGAACGCGAGCGCGGCTTCGGTCGGGTTCGCTGCCTCAGTAGCACCGGATGTGTTCGACGAAAAAGACGAGTTTGCGGACGAGACACGCGCCTCAATTTCCTCCAGGTCACGCCGCAAGACGTCGACGAATTTGTCAAATGTGGCATGCACTTCGGCAAAGTTTTGATTCAACTCCTGTGCCTCAGCATACGCGAAGTTAAGCACGAAACTAACGCGTAGTGTTAATACTATGCACTGATTTTTGTGTTAGATCTCTCACCTTGATGGGTTGGCATCGATGCCCCCCTTGAGGATCGTCAGAGCATCTTCCTGTTTACCATTAGCGTGGTTCCATGCGTACGCCATGTACCTGTCCACAGCAATAAGTAACCCCATGCATACCGCATATTTGTGACCACGCACCAAATCTCGGAGAAGAATCTCATCCGGACAACAGCTTTGCGGTACACACCCTGCATTCGCTGGACAAACGTGGCTTTCTCCTTCTCGTCAATCACGAGTGGGTTGCCCTCCTCCCACTTGAGATACATTCTCCAACGCCCTACTAGCGCCTTGTCCCCCGCGCTGAACGTGGGCTGACGCGGAAGCCAGATGGGCGGCCTCCCAGTCCTGGAAGGTGGAGGCGGCGGAAAGAGGACAGTGAGGTGCTCTTGCAACTGATTGAGGACGGTACGGGCTTGCATATGGTCCTCTTGGTGGTCAGATATAAACTTCTTTGCCTATCCATAGCTTCCAGCGTCCGAGATCTCACAGCGAAAGGCGACAAAGACGTACAGTGATCTTATTCAGACTATTTTCGAAGTCCTGATAGTCCTCCCAAAACTTCTTCAGATTGTCCATCGGAATCTTCACTGCCTTTTGGTATGTTTTGCGGACCAAATCCATCTGCTGCTGTTCTTCCCATGTGGTGGTAGTCTTCCAAGGGCCCTCAGAACACAGTGACGAGACACGATATGAAACTACTTGCCTCGCCAGCCTTGAGGAACTGGATGTAATCCATCCAAATGTCACTGCTGTCCTTGTCTTGTCCAACGTGGTTGAGTGCATACTCGTAGGATTTCCGGATGACCTCGCGTGCATTTGGTCCAGTGTTCACTCGCCTGCTACTACGTTCGACTCAAAGGTCACACAGATTGGAATGAAAGACTGACCTGACGTAGGTGAGATAGAACTTCCACAAATCAACAGCAGACGAGGCCCTCAGGTATCTCTTGAACAGCGTCTCGGCAAAAGTGAACGTCTCCGGGTCTTCCAAGAAGTGGCTAATGTACGCGATCTGGGCTGATGACTGAACAGCTGGTAAGACAAGGCTCAGACGTGCACACGAGAGATCTGCAAACAGTATTTGGGTACGCTTCCAAGAGAGCGTCGTATGTTGCCTTGATTTTCTCGATATCTTGCGAGTCTTCAGCGAGGTCGACTAACCTCAGCCACGCATCCGCGTCGTACGGCTTCTCACGCAACTGTGCGCGCAATTGGTCCCATTCTGACTGCGGAGTGGGAGTTGGTTGTTGCTTGACGGTGCTCAAGTCGCCGCCGTTTTGCACACCTAGTACCTGCGGGTTGATTTGACGAAGCGCGTTTAGTATCTCTTCCGTCGGTTGAGTCTGGTCATCTTCTGAGAATGGCGGTGTGTCTCCAGAATGCTCGAGGTCTGGAATTGGTGGTGGTTCAGACATCTCATGAACACGCCGGGGCACGTCGTTCAAGTTCGAGAGTGAAGTGGCTACTAACAAGCGCCGTAAATGTCGTCTGGGCGTTAGCTAAGTTTGGACATGTCTGTAAATGATGGAATTGCCGCAAATTTAGATTGAAATCATCGCCAGTTCAGCTCAAGCATACAACAGATTAAAGGAAAAGGGAAATATTGAGCCAGGGTTCTACAGATAAGTCATATATCGATTTAGGACTCAGGAGCGCACGTTGACAAGAGATAGGCTTGGGCAATCATAGGCAACCTATCGCCCGATCGAGTAAGCGTCATTCCAAAATTGGAAATGGACCGTACCTGCCCGTTGAAGTCAAATACTCTGCAGTACTGCTCATATACAAGTCTCGCGCCGCTACATTTATATGCGGAGAAGTTGTGAGAAGCCTCCAGTCACAAACAACAAACTCTGAAATCAACTAGAACCTCCATAAAGATATTAACTTGGACCGTAAAACCCTGCCAGTGATTGTCAGGGGCCTGTGGAGGTTAAGCAGTATGTATCAAATTGATCAAGGCGTAGTCCAGTATATTTCCTGGGTACCCACCTCTAAGGGAAATATTGATCAGGGCTCCGACTGCTAGGAGGTGCTGTAGGCAGTCGATGTACGATAAGATGAACTCGATGCGATCAGACTCCGCTCAGCCACTCAGACTCGAGCCGGCGTTAAGATACTCGCGCCATTATCCTTGCTAAGAACGTTCAAGCAGGATGCCTTTGAGAGGCTCAAATCACTCTCCTCGAGTACAAGACAAGGCCCCCTTTTTCGACACTCTTACTGAGCTAGATGACTGGGCTAGCAAACCTGCCAGGAGGCTCAATGGCGTTGTAGACTATCATCCGCGGCGACCGATTGAAGGGCGGTCTGCGGAACAACATGGAAAACTGCTGGTAATTAGTATCGTGCTATCGCAGCATCCCGTAGGAATAAGCTAACGGAGTCGATTTAGGTGTGTCATGACTACAAGGCCAGTTAGCTCGTAGAGATCTGCATTCGAAAAGGCTGACCCAGATACCAGGGCGGCTACACGGAGACGCCCTCAGGGCTCACATATACATTCAATTTCTGGTCGTACTGCGACACGTTTGTCTAGTGAGTGGGCCGGGGTGCGCATCACTGGATTCAATTCAAATACCGGCCAGCTTCTCTCACCACCGCATTACTGTGCCTCCGTCTGGCTGGACGAATGCCGCACATCGGCAAGGCGTCAAGATGCTTGGCACGCTGTAAGTTAAAGCGTCAGCATCGGCATCCATCATGGCCGTTATTCAGGGCTTGAGATTATAAGAAATTGACGCCCCATCCAGGATCTTTGAAGGGCAAGGGCAAGAGGACTGTCTCCGTCTTCTAGTAGGACGCTTGCCCCAATCAGGCACAGGACCCGCCATGCCCTCATCTGACATAGCTCTCCCTTTGTCTCCTCACTATGCCCACCTCCTCGCAGACTTAGCGCATCAGAGAGGCTTTGACGGTTACCTCTTGAATGTCGAGTGTCCATTAATCGGGAAAATCGAGCAGACAAGGGCGCTTTCGGCCTGGATCTCGATCCTAGAGAGCGAGCTGCAACGCAAGGTTGGATCGCACGCACAAGTGATATGGTTGGTTCTCCCGATACCCCAACACGGTTGCCTTTGGATGACACTCTATTATTAGGTACGATAGCGTGGTCGTCACAGGAGATTTGCGGTGGCAGGACCGTTTAAACACCTACAACCTCCCCTTCTTCATCCCCTCAACTGGATTCTTCACGAACTATACAGTACGTCAAGTCGCACCCGCGCGCCATTTGTAATTGATGAGGGTCTCTTCTCGATAGTGGCCTACTAGTTACCCCTCGCTTACCGCCCAATACTTCCTTAGCCTTGACTCATCCCTCATGCTTCGCCCTAAAAGCTTACGAGACATCTTCGTGGGTGTGGACGTCTGGGGCCGCGGGCAACATGGCGGCGGGGGATTCGGCTCGTACCGTGCGCTCTCCCACATCGACCCACAGTTCCTTGGGTTGAGTGCCGCGCTCTTCGGCCAAGCATGGACATGGGAAACAGAGCAAGACAAGCCCGGTTTCTCCTGGGAGACGTGGTGGGCGTACGAGCGCAGTCTGTGGCTCGGAGCGGCACAGGAAGGCCAGCATGTCGCCACCCCGCCGGAGACGCGTCGGCAGGGCGAGCCAGAGTGCGCCCATGGGCCCTTCAAACCGATTACATCGTTCTTCCGCAGGTTACCCCCGCCAAACCCGGCAGACTATCCGTTCTTGAGCTGGTTTTCCCCCGGCGCAGGTGGGGCATGGTTCGTCCGCGGCACCAAGGTCCTACAGACTGAGGCAGGATGGACCGATCTCGATAAAAATACGTCCCTCGGAGATCTCGCTTGGCCGCGCCCTGCCCTGCAATGGGAGGATGGGGGAGAGCCGCAACCGCTGCCCACAGCGTCTTCATCATTGTGTATGGACGACGCCTGGCTTGGCGGGAGTTCACTGGATCTCCTCATAACTGTGCCGGCATCTGATGCTGAGGACGCGTTCTTTCGGTGTATGTGGATCCCTGTACAGTCATTATCCATCACGTCTGAGCGACCGTACAAGATGACAATGGTCTTCAAAGTACAATCAAAGACGCCCGTCGACTTCGATATTGGACTGTCGATGAAGCTGCTTGCGGACGACCTCTACGGAGAATTTGAGGTCACGCCGGTATCCGAGCCAGCTTCCGAAGACCCACTCAATGGATGGACTCGCCTGGATGTCGAGTTCTCCCTTCCATCAGATTTCCCTATCGACATCTTGGCAGCGGCGGGTCTTATTGTGGGCTTTGCTGTCGAGGATCCTTCGCAGGACATTGACATCTCCGTTCGACTGGGCCTGCTCAGTGTCCATCCCAGTTCATCGACTCTGAACCTATCTGCTCATAGACCCAAGATACTTTGGGTGGACTATCATCGCGCAGACAATGCAGATAGTGGCAGTGTGGCTCCGGGAACCTTGACATGGGACATAGCGGCCTCTTTCGCGCCTATGTCCAACATAGTCATCCCTTCCGACCGCGAAGATCCTCATCCTCTCTGGCAGCTGGATCATCCCTTTCCCCCATTCGTATATTTCAATTTGTACGCCTTGGCTCATGCTGCGGAAGGTAGTGCTGCCAGACCTGAGGATGCAACCTTCATCGGCACTACAGGCTTGACTGGACAAGCCAGCCAGTTCTACGTCGATCCGGCGTGCCTGCCTCCGACTATCGCTGAGGCGAGCAATATGCGTTTCTACGTACAGGGGGTCACTGATCGTGGCCATGTGCTCGAGTGGGATCGTTGCGCGTTCGTGGATGTGCGAGTGCCTCCTCGATAGAGCAGAAGTACAGCTTGGACGATGAAGAGTATGCTATAGCCAAGGGCTTCGATTTAGTGTTGCTGTACAATTTATGTTGATCCTAGTCGTACAAGCCAATGAGAGCCGAAATGGGAACGTAAGTAATACAGCAGATGTATGATAACGAATTAAACAGGCATGCAAGTCTACAGATAGCACATTACTGAATCGCAAAACAAATGTCAAAGTGACTATGATTCCATCTCATCTAGTGAGACTTCGTGGACGAACTCTTGCACGATATGCATCAATTCATGTATGAGATTAGTCCGATCCCATTCCGTACGATGTCGCCAGACGCAGCTAAGGCAAGTAGCTCGTAGCTGTTCGAGCTCCTCCACATTCAATGCGGCAGTGCTATCGCACAAGCTATGCTTCAGAGTAGATAGCAATGCATCGTCGACGAAGAAGTCTGGGAGAGGTGTTGTTGGACGCGGATCTTCCATCGAAACGTCGGCAGCCTGTTCGAGTTGTTCTGTGGGTGATACCGGCGTCTGTTCCAACAGTGATGCGGGCGGTTCCGGCACTGGTAACCCCGGTGAGGGTATGGGTAAAACGAGCAATTGGGCGGCTTCTGGTACAGGCGGGAAGTTGAATTGCGGCTGGAATTGAGTCGTAACATCAGGTCCCTGTTCGGGTCTATACGGAAATGGTGAGAGGAATGGGTTGTGTTCTGCGTCGACTGCGATGGTGGATGGTCCAGCCATAGCAACCCCAGGAGAGGGAAGGGGATTCAGGAGGGATGGGTCGAAGCCACCATTTCGACGTAAGGGTTCAATCGAGGGCACGTTCTGCTCCGTTACGAGGATCTGGCCGTGTTGTGGTGGCGTGGGCGCACGTTCAACCTGATCAGCAAAACGTACTGAGCCTTGCCGCTCAGGAGACAATGCGGATCCAAGGAGATCCAGTGGATCATGCTCGTTATCCTCGCTCGCGAGTCTAGAACGCTTTTGTCCCCGTTCGCCTGACTCGTCGTCCGAAGGAGTGGCCGCAGCTGACGTGGACCGTTGCCTCTTGAGTTTACGCTCCAATTGCAGGGGATCAGTGATCGAGATCTCCGGTTGTTGACCGTTGTGACGAGCGCTGCGCCGCGTTCCAGGAGCGTAGACCTGCGAAGATGTACCATTTCGACCGTTCTCCGCAGCCGCTTTCATCTTCTCTTCCTCCTTCTTTTTCCGATATTCCTCCCTCCGTTTCCGCTCCCGAGATGCCATACGCTGGCATTCAAGCCTGAAAGATGGGTCGAAGTCATTGATGCTGACCTCAGCAGCGGTGAGCATGGCTTTTGCTCTGAATAGACGTTCTGGATCTTCATGCATTCGCACCTGAGCATTGTGAACGATTCGGCGAATATCATCGAGGAAGTCATCTGGTGTCAGATACTTGTTACGATACAGATCTACATGCATCCGCTCTAGATCGACGTCGAAGAGTTCCGGCTCAGGCGGCAGGGCAGGCGCTGGGGGCGGCTCTTGGTGACCATTGATGCCGTTGGGCTGTGGTTGTTCAACAACTTGCTCGGTATGTTGTTCCTGTTGCTGCTCCAATACTTCGATGACACCGTCAGCATCCGTTCGAACTTCCACACTGGTTGTCACGATGTCAACTTGACTGACTCCTCTCGGAGCATCGAAATCATAGTTGTACTCCTCCTGTAACAACCACATTAGAAGCCGTCAACGAAGAAGGTGGCCGATTACATACGACAGCCCTCTTCGTGAAACGTTTGAACTTCCGTTTCAGCTCCTGTAAGATCGGCCCCAAGCGATACTTGAGCAACGTAACCACTCGTTGATCATTGTCTTCCTGAACTGCAAGTTCTGCAGCCGTAGGTTGCCGAGGCTCCAAGGGAGGTGCGATCGGGAGCTCTTCCAAGACTCGCTTCCGGCGCTTAATACCATCAGGAAAATGATTCGGAGGTCGTCGAATATCACTCAGCAGCCCTTCGAAGAACTCTTCTCTCTGCGAGATTATGGGTCTCGGGATCTCAATGCGATTTTCACGTGTTGATCCAAACCAACCCCGGACGTCGCGTGGTAAAGAGCTAAAGGAACCATCGACAACGGCAAGGAGGAGAATCGGGTCAGTGGGAGCCAGTGTGTCGAGCATGGCCCGAACAGTTGTTCGTGTTGTCTCGGACACTGCAGCAGACCATCCAACCAGCGAAGGTATGTAGATCACCGATGGTTGGTGTCGTTTGGCTTCTACAAACAGCTGCACTATTGCTGCTTCCGTCGTCTAAGGCACGTTTCAGTCTGATAAGGGACGCGGTATGTCAGCTCTACGTACTCGTGTAGAATCACCCATCAGAGTGCCGAGGTCAAGACTTTGAACGTGGTAGCCTTCCAGGTGGTGTAGCACAGCAGCCGCAACGTACTCTTGGCCCATTCCTACAGAGCCGTACAAGACGACCCGAGGCCTGTAGACACGCAGTGTTTCCATCGCTGTTGCGGCGCATAAGAAAGGTGCATGACGATCAGGAAATTAGCTCACACTGCATCATTAATTCGCGTTCAAGAGCGCCCTCGTTGCTCTCGTCCTCCCATTCGGCTTCTTCCAGAGCTGTGCGCTTCTTGCTCACGGGAAGCACCTTCGCAATAGCATCTTTCGCCCTCTCATAAGGAGTTTGAAGCAGTGGCACAAGCTGTTGCGGGAGAGGGGAGGCAGCGGACGAAATGGATCGCGCGGATGAAGGCACCAACTCTATGACCGCCGGGGATAAACCTCGTCAGCACGTGGATAACGATGAATGTATGCACCGCAAGATACGCACTCTTGATCGCGATCATGAAGTCGCGAAGCTCCACCTCAATAGTTTCTGGCTTAAGCAAGAGCCGGTCGTTCGTCTTGTAGATCTGTGGGTACCGACGCTGCACCGCGTTCAATGCAGTTTCCGTGCACAAGGCCTTGGAAAAACATCATGATGAATTCTCCTTCCCTCACGAAGATCATGCCAAACGCAACGCACCCGCAAATCAGCACCACCATAGCCCTTGGTCAGTTTCGCCAGACCACGGACGTTCTCCTCGCCCTTCTCGCTCTCCCAACCAGCCCACTTCTTCGTCATGATCCGCAGGATGCGTTCCCTCGCTTCAAGGGTCGGCAGCGGGAAGTAGAACTCGCGGTCAAACCGTCCTGGACGGCGCAACGCAGGGTCAATGGCATCTGGACGGTTCGTTGCGCCAATGACAATGACCTGCCCACGTCCGTCCATGCCATCCATTAGCGCAAGTAGAGTCGACACAATCGATGCATGTATTTGATCTTGCTTGGATGACCGCACGGGGGCGAGGCCATCGATCTCGTCGAAGAAAATTATACTGGGCTGCTGGTTCCGGGCCTCCTCGAACAGCAGACGGAGCTGACGTTCAGCCTCGCCGACCCATTTGGAAAGACAGTCGGCCCCCTTACGCATAAAGAAAGCTGTGCAGTTATCAGAGGACATTCTGTACGTACATTGACTCGCTTACAGATGCTTTTTCCGTTCGACCGACAGCTTGCAGCCAAAGCTCGCGCAAGCAGAGTTTTACCCGTACCAGGTGGACCATGGAAGAGGACACCACGAGGTGGCGTCACACCAAACTGCTGGAATACTTCTGGATAGAGCAACGGTAAAAGGGTCATCTCCTTCAACGAGTTGATATCTAATGTGATTGGCAAGTACTGCCTTAGAGCGTAATAAACGTGAGTGAGATACAGGCAACTCACGGTCATCTAGACCACCAACTTCATCGAACGTCACATTCTGATTCACACCAAGAGGGTCTGCATCCGCAAGGACTGCAAGGAGCGACACGATATGTCAAAACCAGCAGGTACAACAAGGTGAAAGCCTCACTTGCATCCCCGACTTTGCCCAAGTTAGACGGCGTACCTGCAGCAGCAGCAAGGTCACTCGCAAAGAGGCCACCGCTAGCACCCGCGCCTCCAGCGAAGACACCACCCATTCCGCCTGTCGCGCCGAATGGCTTTCTAGGCGTACGTCCAACGTGATCGGAGTCCTGCGCAATTGTCACACCCACCGCCACATTAGACAAGTAACCGCAAATGCTCACCGAGTCGTCCCCACCACCGCCCATCCACCGACTCAGCTCTGCCCCCGTTGCGCTCCATCCAGGGACTTTACGTCCCCCGCCTCCAGTGCGCCCGCTTGCCCGTCCCCCACCTGACCGCGGCTTCGGTGGCTGAGGCATCTCTTCGAGTGGAGGAGGGATCGCATAGTTGATCTTCGCCCGCTGGCGCAGAGCATATGGCCGCCCGTCTTGTTCAGGCTCTGGCTCGAGATCGCCTTCGATGTCTGGCTCACCGTCCGCATCTATATCATCGTCTGGCTCAGGTTCAGAAGACGTGCGCACTGCATCGTCGAACGAACCATCTGCATCAACGGAGCCAGAGGACCCTTCGTCGACATATCCCTCCTCGTCGTGGGGCGTTTGCCCGTTTGATCGCGGCTTGCGTGCGCTCATGCGGCGTGTGACTCGCGAAGACGACGCCTGTGGACGAGTGCCCGAACGACGAGTGAGGCGACTATCATTGGCGATACCGTTCTGCATGGGAGCCGAGGACGTGTTCTTGCTGCGATTGCGCGTGTTATAGCGGCCGACGGTGGCGCCGCCCTCATCGTCGCTGACGATGAAGTTGCCCAACTTCGGCTGGGGGCGAGTAGTGCGGCTCCGGGTCCGGTAATGCGGAGCCTCGTCGTCCTCATCGTCGCCGAATGAGTCTTCGTGCTTCACCGGGGACGGCAGAACCTCTGTCGGGATAGGCTCGTCCTCGCTCGCCGACTCTTTGTAGCTCTTCGGCCGCGCAATTTTGCGTCCCCGCGATGTGACAGTGTATTTGACTTCCGGCTCTTCCGGCTCATTGTTCTCTGCTGGAGGCATCTCTGCGTCCGCGTCTTGAGAGGCATTGCTCTCGTGATACTCGGATCCAGAGGCGTTCGAGACGGTACGCTGGCGTGTTGACGAACGGGTATTAGGGGCCATAGCAGGGGCCTTCAAAGGGATTTTGATGCGCAAAGGAGGTAGTGGCTCGTCAGGCGCGTCGCGGAAGGCGTCAGGCGGCAGTAGAGGAGGATCCTGATTTGAAGGCCAGTCTTGTACGGATTCCCCAGGTTGCATGGGGGAATGGAAGGAACGAGAGTCGCAAGACAACTCTCCCCCTAGTCAGTGACGAATATCGGAGTAGCACAGGGGTAGCTTGTCCGAGAAGAATGGCGAGCAGAACGAGCAAGACACGGAACGCGTCGAGTTGCGCAGTGACCAACCAGATTCAGTCAAGGGGCGAAAGGGAGCAGGCTGTTTGGCGTTGTTTGTGATCTGTGGCGGTGTTTGGCCTGTATTTGTGCCTTATCGGCGCCTCATTGCACGACTCATCCTGCCCCGCTCGCAGCATTCGACGCAGGGCATGTCTACGCCGGATGGCCAAAGCGTCGCGGAATCTACAGACAAGGGGCAGGATGATGTAAGCTGCTGTAGAGCACAAGAGCATGAACAGGTAGACGTACGTGTGGTCCAGGAACTAAACCGCGAGCGACAGCACGCCTCGTGGACGATGTCGATGGCCGTCGAGGACTCGATATCATGGACGTTCGAGGGCAAGGACGTTTGAGGTCGTCGCCGACGATTCACTCGTCTGCAATTCGACTCGCTTACATCAGGCGCCTATCTAGTCTCCGCATTAAAATTGGCGAACAAGCTTCATCAGCGTGTAGCATAGCGCGGACTGCATGTATGTGGGTTCCCCCTCGTGAAAGCCTACTTATGCCCGCTTCATTCGATGTGGTCGTCAAGCGTTTTCAATCGTACAACGATGCGCATTAATTACCATTTACATGATGAACCGGCGCATACAGGGACTTTTCGAGCCTCTTAACCATCTTCTATCACCGGAGTGCTCACGGACTGAAGGGTTGACAGTGAATGGGTAGTTAGTGTCCAGTTCTATCAAAATCGTGTCGCTGGATTCCGAGAGGTTACGAAACAGTCGGGGGAGAGATGGGTGAATATGGATCCCCAACCTCCCTAGTCCTTTATGCGAAGATTTGCTTTAATCTGTGGTGTGAACCTGACGTCATGGTCAGGTTTGCGCAACCAAATGTCGACTGCAGATGGAGCAAAGTACATTTTCCATATCGGGTAACACCACTTCCCTTCCCGTCGACCTGATCTTAACAGACCTTCCATGAGTGAGTTAGATCCTTTCAATGAATAATATACAAACCACGCATATACAAGACCATCCGTCCGTTAGAACAACCTGCCCTATTGTGACTTTTAAAGACAAGTACCTCTTGCTATACCAGGTTGCTGTAGTGCACGACTACTTGTTCTTCGGCTCTCCCGCCACCATAGTTTTCTCTTGTACGTTTATAATACTTGCATTGGTACAACTCTACATGGTTGTGTTCAAGTTCATCTGTCATAGTACCGCAAGTCTAATTATCAGTTACGCAGTTCTTCGCACTCCGACGCTGCTATATATGGCATCCAGATGCTGCTGAGTCATCAGTCTATAAACGAGAATTGAGCGACTGGGAACGAGCCTGTCGCATACTGACGTGACCGCGGCCGGGGCTGTGAGTAGTTTTCTTCTCGACCACCATGTCTGACCTCGACGCGGACTTGTATGGAGGTCTGTGGCCAATTTTTATCATTCTGCGAGTACTCAACTCTGCCCAGACCTCTATGGCAACGACGAGAACGAGTATGCGGTGCCGACGGAGCACCCAGAAGAGGCAGGGCAGCCGCGGTCGCAAGAGCAGTTGCGAGCGGCGGAAGAGCCTATTAAACAGATAAAACCCGTTTCTGAGTCAACACCACCTGCAGCGATTAACTCTGTATCTCCAACGGACACCAAACCTCAGCCAATCCCCTCCCATACAGATCATACACATTCAACTATCTCCGCATACACGTCACCTCCAACACAGCAAATACCGACATATCAGGAACGTCAAGACTCTGATTATCGGGAGGTGCCTCCGCCTCGACAAGACTACAGTCCTGGTGGGTCTGCGGACCGTCCAGTACGGCCTTCGGAAATGAAGGAAGAAGGGTGAGTGACTTGTTCTGATCTGCCACTAATCCCTTGCAGGACGCTTGCTGTGCACCATGACTGGATTCTGGGCTGGTGGTCAACGCTAGGATGAAGGGACAAGGTCGCTTCTGTAGCATTGCCCCTGCGGTAGTCAGCCGTCGTCGCCTACGACTAGCTCTAGCACAACTCGGTTCCTAGGTCTAAGCTAGGCTAGCACCGCTTCGCTACAGTCACGCACAGTAGAGTCGTCCATCTCTCTGCATGACTGCTCTGTCCTAGGCTACCGATGCTAATATCAATGTTTTGCCATATCTACTTGCTCGATGCGATTCCCGCCTTCGCCCAATCGCTGCGCTGCCGACAACGTCGTCTTACATAGCAAAATGTTTATTGGTGGACTCAACTGGGATACCACAGATGGTGCATACATGTTCATAGTCTATTTATGGAGACCTGTAGCGCTAAATTATGTCGTACCAGAGGGCCTTCGCAAATACTTTTCACAGTTCGGAAAGGTCGAGGCATGCACAATTATGCGCGATGCTGCAGGCCGTTCCAGATGCTTTGCGTTCTTGACCTTTGAGGAGCCAGCGTCAGTCAATTCAGTGATGGTTCGCGAGCATTTCCTCGACGGCAAGATTGTACGTAATAGCGCATCATAAACCGTTCGACCCCATCACTGAGCTATTATTGTACAGATAGACCCCAAGCGCGCCATCCCCCGCCAGGAACATCAACGAGCGACTAAGCTGTTCATTGGAGGCCTCGCGGGAAGCGTGACCTCGGAGTCTATGCGGGAGTATTTCTCCCAATACGGCAAGGTTGTCGACGCGACGGTTATGTTGGACCGAGAGACCGGACGCAGCAAAGGCTTCGGGTTCGTCTCGTTCGAGAATGTAAACGTCGAACCGCTTCTGGGTTTCGGAAACCTCGAAATCGATGGCAAGCTGGTGCGCACGTTGTTTCCCTGAGTTACCGTCGTTGCTCACTATGTCTGGAATCTAGATTGACGTCAAACTGGCTCAACCTCGCTCGCAGCGGGAGAACTTCGCCGAGGGCGGTGCGGCATACAGCCGGGGTAGTGGTGGTGGTGGTGGTGGTGGTGGTGGTAGCGCGTACAATGGCCAGAGTGGGAATTTCGCTGCCGGGCCATCAGTCGCCGCGGGTTCGACGAGCGCGCCCTTCGACCCGCAAGCGCTCGCGTCGCTCTACACCCGCATGATGCAACAGATGGGCATGAATCCTATGATGAACGCAAGCATGATGGGCGGCATGGGTATGGGAGGGAGCCCGGGAATGGGCATGGGCATGGGTCGTGGAGGTCCTGGCATGGGCGGCATGGGCATGGGCGGCGCGCCCGGAATGGCCATGGGCCGCGGTGCACCAATCGGAGCTCCTACAGCGCCTGCGATGATGCAAGGCGGTGGGATGGGCCCTGGCCCGAACGTCCCTCGTGGTCCGAGAGGTGCATCTGGGGGTGCAGGCGCGGCAGGTGTCGGTCCCCAGCGCGCGGGGCAGCGCGGGCAACACAATTACCACCCGTATGCTCGGTGAGCGGGGGCCGTGTAGATGGTGGGGATACGGACAGCCAAGGACATATTCAGTAGTGTATACCTGATCATCATGCAGCTGTTGACAACGCGCACCCCCTCTCATAGAGCCGGTATGTTATATGTATTCTCTTATCGCCCGGCGAATGTGTCGTTAAGGTATTGTATGCTATTTCGTTTGCAAAATCGTTACACTACGTATGATACGCGTTATCTTACTCGTTATGCATGCTTGAAACGGACCTAGGCGAATCACTCCGAGTATCCGTTTGACTGCTAGGCCTTCATCCCCCTCTTGCACAGCAATCGGTTTAGCTACAGGCGGGCCTAGAACCTAGTACTACAAGTAACTAAGATGCATGATAATCGGATTGAACTTTTGCGATCTCGGACCGTGGACACACATTTCGAATCACAAAGATCATGCTCAATTCCAGATACGGTACATGCGGAATATGCAAGCGAACGAAGGGGAAAGAATAGGTCGGCCACTACAACATACGAAACAGAAAGCGTTAAGTGATCGTGATAGATAAATTGTATAGTCTCTTGCAACGCCCTCCAGCCTACTATTGTTTGACAACCATATGCCTAAGTCCGAGAGCACTAGAGTTAGTTAGGCCCAACTACAAACTGTTTCGTCTTCTTGAAGCTCGCGATGACCTCGTTGGAGAGATGCAAGTGCTCCTGCACAAGCACAGCGGGGGTCAAGGCCAACCACTGCCAATGCACGCTGTTAGAATAGATCCCCCGGCACCTTTCACCAAACAGCTTACCTGCTGAAGGCTGACATCCTGGAATATGTCTGCGTATGCACGTCTTAGAATGTGCATATTCCCAAGCATTTCTACACGACGTACCAGTGTTAAAGATCTCGAGGTAGTGTAGTGTCTCGTTGCCAGTGTTCTCGACATAGTGACCTAATCAGAGGCGTCAGATGTCGCGCGCAACGGTGTATCAAGAAGCCTACCGTATGCAGCGGGGACAAATCCGATGTCGCCAGCCTACGATCATATCGATTGATTGATTAGACAGTGTCTCGCTCATGACATATGCGTGTGCTCACCTGAAAGTCGAAGGTTTGCGCAACGGTGCTAGAAGCAAATTCGGTGACGCGCGCATAGCCAGAGCTAAACTTTATAAGCTGACAGCTGGATCCCATTTTACGCGGAACTCACATATAGTAAGTCCATTCATCCTGAGTGGGGTGCCACTGTCGGGACCGATGTCAAGCGGAGCGCTAGGCAGCGCGCACACGAAAACTTACGTGAAGCTCCCTGGCAGTGCTATCAGCGCGTCTTTTCGAAGACAAGGACAAATCAATCGCGCACCTCATTCCTCCGGGTTCGACCGTCACCTCAGCGACAGCAATAGTGGTTGATACAGTGAAATTCCTAGAATCCACGACCTTCACAGTTCCGCCAGGGAGTTGACGCGGCGTCATCTGAGACATCTTGTAAGTAAAGGGATTTGGGACTTGGCCCTGAGGGTCCTCGACTGCTTGCGCGTCTGGTGAAGGGTCCTCTGCGACACAGTCGGTATGAAATCACACACAGGACACATGTGACGTACGACCAGGGAAAATATAAAGTTGTTCTCCGGGGATGTTGTTCCAAGCAGATATGGCGGTCCCGAAGTTCTTTGCGATAACCTCCTTAGGTGTATGGGCCAACCAATCCGTCAACTGCACTGCCGTCAGACTGCGCAAATGTCATCTTCGGATGTAATGAGCTCACCAGGAACGTAGAATCGTCACTAAATGCGCCATTATCGAAGACCTGACCGGGAGCGCTTAGGATCAAAGGCGCCTGCGGAAGCAATGATGACCTACCAGAAGGAACTCTGCGCCATCAGGGTTCTGAGCGGTCGCCTGGAGACTGTGTGGCACGCCAGGTGGGAAATACCATAGATCACCTGGGCCCTGTACACGCATATGTACGTACACCAGGGCATCGATCGAAGCTAGTCGCCAGTGCTTACCACTGTGCCTAGATAGTTTCTGCCGTCCTGGTCGACGGCGGTCACTTGCATGTAGCCCTACGGTCTCGTTAGGTCGTTATATGGCCGGACCATCCGATAGACTTACGCTAAGGACATATGCCCACTATAGAGTTCACTTCAGTGGAGCGCTACATTGGAAATGTCAAAGTCACTTGCCTCTGAGGTCTTGTGCCAGTGCAGCTCACTATGACTCCGTGAGCGGGCCGCCGAGTCCGAAGTCAAAAAACATACCGGATAGCACCCGCTTCGAGGCGCATGTCGACACCTGCCATGGCTACAACGCGTTTCGTGAGTATATCTGGGACACCATTTGTCAACCTTAAACATACAGGTGGCGATGGGTAACTGATGGACTACAGGTGCGGCATCAGATCGTATCAGGTACATTCCACTACGATCGGACACATACTGTTCTGTTGACGGGCCCAACCCCCGGTCTGCAATCGGTTAGGGCTTAAGCTGAAAGGCCATTTGACGTTTCCGGCCTCACTGCAAGGGGCCACATAGTCATGTCAGTGGCGGCGCAGTGACGAATTACTAAATATGCACTGACATTGTGCCGTGATCGGTGGTCGGCGGTGCGAGAAGGTCAGGGTTCTGCCTCTGGAGCTCGACATTCTGTTCTGCCATGATCGTGCTTCCCAAGGAGCCGCGAATGGGCTGCGGGTCGCCGTTGGTCTCAGAGGCACTCCACAGGACGCCATTCGGGTTATCGCTGGCGAGGGGGACGGTCTCGCTGGGTTCTGCGGCCGAGGACGCATGGCTTGCTGTAGATGCGCCGCTAGTCGGTGCAGCAAGGCCCGGTGAACACAAGAGGATTGCACAGAGCACGAGAGAGGGAAGTAGGCCGACCATGTTCAGGAGGTGAGCAGACGACGCCTGTCTTTCTGCTGTCCTACCTCCCAGCTTTTATACACACACCGTGTGATGCTCCGGCCAGCAACCAAAGTAGAGTGACACAGTCACGTCTCAGGGCGTATCAACGTGCCAACCGTTGTGCTGCATTCTTGTGGTAGCCTGGTAGAGGGTGGCCAATTGCCCTTCCGGACCTGACCGGAAGCATCTCAGGGTGTGCCGTTTTGGTAAGTTTCGATAGCACGTTTCACGCACCAGTGCAAATGTAATTCGGGGTGCTATTTGGTGGGTATTTCGCATACCTGAGGCGTGTCATTTGGCGAGGTAGCTCGCGAGTGGCGTACCTAGGCCGCAGGTGACAGTCATGGAGTTAATGATCTCCCTGGACCTAGATCAAACACCGAACTGCCGGAAATATGTGCCCTCTCTCCCAAAACAAGACAGCAGACTTGTACCTGGCCGCAGAAGCGAGCATAGCGGCGGGACGGGCTCGGTGCTCCCAGTCGCGAAGACTGATGAGGTGCTCCACGCGCTGCATTCTGGTCATGGTAAACCCAATGTCCGGCGGGTAGAGCATCGTGGTGAGTCTGAATAGTCCGATGGTGACCGCGAAGCTGAGCTAAAAATAACCCATGCTTCTTCAGCCAAACGCACTGCCGTACTTGGTGATCCGTACTGCATTCTTGTTTCGTTCGATTATTCGGTCACGCAGCCCGGACATGCGAGGATGCCAGGGTCATCCGCCCTTCCGATTCTGTATTACGGATACTGGAAGGCGGGCCGAGGTCCACAATGAGCGGAACAGCCTCAAGTGCTCCACCACTCCAATAAAGGATCTGTAGGAAATACGCGTCGAGCGAAGAACTTTAACCCCCAAATTTGAAACTGCTATTTCAAGGGATGACAGCATTCTGAGACAGAATATGTCAGTACACATTCGACTGACGATATATCGGCCGTACTATAGTTTCCGCTTCTGCGCAGCGACATCGTTACTTTGGTAAAGCCAGAAATGCAGCGGGTCTCTGGCAGTTTGAAACATGTCGCGTCTACCACCGTTCCTTCAGATGGCGATTTAGACTTCGCCGAATGAACAAGTTTTATCTTGATCAGCGGGTGCGCGTGACTTCAGACCGAAGGTCGGACATCGTAGCTACCACTGGCGAGAGCTGGTTGACTGGCGTCAGAGGATGGATCACAAGAGCGAGTCCAACACGATCCCGAAACACCGTCACAATGGGACGCGTGCAGCAACTTCGGAATTCCACGCTACCGGGCACCATGGGTATACCGGACATAGACTAGTCATAAACGCGGTGACACAGTGACTTCTGTGAAAGGTCAGGTGAAGCGGTCGACAGTCGACACGTATGGCGTTGTTGTGTCTCTGCATACTAGTGTCAGTGCCTTACACTCGTGGTAGGATCATAGGGGCAGCTTGTCTACCTGGTGTTCGGAACTTGTCTCGGCACCGCAGCTTATGCCTGAGCACGGCGTAGGATGTTCGTGACACGCGGACCCTGTTAAGTCTTGTGGTCTAGAATTCGTGCTGCTGGTACACTGTGAGACTCGTAATTGCGGCCTCATACACACTATCAGAACACCTATGGCCGTCGTGGCGGACCCACTAAGATTAGCATCTTCCGCGTGCATAAATCGGGTGAATTATCATAGTGCCGTTAACAATGCCGACGGAAAGAAAGCTCACGAAGAGAAGCGAACTTGAGCTTCGACGTCGACGGCATCTTCGGTGTACATATGTAACTTTCTAACCGGGCGCACATATCACGAGAGCGTATGTTCGCCGGAGCCGATCCGACTGGGAAACCCAGGGAAAACAGGATCGCTGCTCTCTACGGAACATGAATCGTTCGGCAAGCACTATCTAAAAATAACCACAGATGCTCAGCCTTGTGAAGAGGAAAGACGATGAACAATTACCACATCAATTTACGTACCTGGGAAATGGGCGGTGATCTTCCAAATTAGACTCCTGTACAACGCCTCGTGTCTAACCTCGCGGAATGGCGATACTCGTACAAGGGAAAGTAGAGTCTGCGACCGGCCAATTATAAGGCATGTGACCCGGCGCTCATGGGAAGGTGTAGAACGCACATCGATTGGCAGAATCAGTCTCCACCCTGGAGCACATCTGGAGGAATTACCTTAACTTATTCGAGGACTTGTTCGTTCGGCATCGGTGTACACTTAAAGAGGCGGAGATAGTGACTGCTTAATAGGACCAGATGTCACGACACAAACTGCGATAGCGTGGATACCACTTGCCTTGTGCACATAATGATACATGCGCATCTGTACGTGACTCGTGCCTTCAGATTCATCACCCTCTGCTGCGATCTGGGGCTTTTGGAGATACGCCGATGTCAGAACCTACACCCCGACTTGTCATTAACGAGTTCCAGAGCTCGTGTGTTCATCATGGATTCGAATCTCGTGCAAACAAATAACAAATTTACGTACCCGCATGTTCACACATTGGGTTCTGTATCCGCAGCATGTCGCAATGAGGGCGGCCCGAAGCTCTCCGTCATGTGGAATAGCGCGCCGTCTTATTTACGAGATGCTTCCATTGTAAGCCTGCGACAGCGACATCTGTCTCGCAGTTACGCAAGCAAAACGCTCTCACCATCTAATTTTCAATAGTATTGTCTTCTCATGACTGAGCAGCCTGATTACACGAATACAGAATGTAGTGAGTAGGGAAACAGAAGGATGACTGTCTTCACGCGAGTGCTGTGCACAATTCAAGAGGGGGGATTGTTGACACTGATTGAGACATGTTGTGACAAGTTCCAACGCAAACGCGTGCGACTTGGAAGTTGTGTCCGAGGCTCAATACCTACGCGTCACGTGATTAGATTCCTGGATCTCGGATCTGTCGTTTGATCTCATTCAGTCACCGCGCTATTCAAGGAGCAGTAAATGCAGTATCTCAGATTTTTGCTTCTGCTACTGAAACATACAGACGATTACTGAAAATATTCTTCGGAATTCCGGACCCAATGTCACATTCTAGATAATTTGAGTTGTGTCTTCTACAGTCGCATAAATCGTTCAAGACGCAACCAATTGGAATATGTCAGTAACCCAAACCTCCATCAATCTAGATTTCAGGTTTCTGGATGACTGACGGGGCATATAGCATTTTGACTGAGACGCGGTCGGCCCGGACAACGCGCGCTGCTAAAATATTTCAGACAAGCTGCGCCAGTGCAACCGCCACGCATGGACTATTTGTAAGCCAGACGTCGGGAAATGCTGCACTCTCTAGGCCGGGGGAGGGGGGAGGCCATAATTATCGTCCCTGAGCGCCATGGATGCCGCCCGCGAACCGCCCGTGTGCCGCACGAAGTCAAGACTCGACAAAGTACCGACCAATGGTCATGCAAACATATGTTGGAATAGCTCGATCTCGGATCAATGGTCTTGATCTCAGGTCGTAATGTGGGAGGGATGTTGTGTACGTGGAAGACAAATGCATATGGCACTATTATTATTATGGTAGATTCGACGGTCGCGGCAGTCGATACCCAGTCGATCGTACAGTGACTATGCACTCGTGAGCTTTCCTGAGTACAGTTCTCGTATAATCAGCGCCACCGGTGTACTCGGTAGTTTCACGATGTGTCTTCTCTCACGAGAAGAGTCAGTATTGTTGACTGCAGTGTCCCAAATATACCTTGTCCGATACAGAACGCAAGGGCATTAGTCGCCTTGTAGCACCTTAACTCCGTGTGGGAGCTGAGCTGCTATGTGAGTCTGAGAAAACGCTCGAGATATTTCTCGAGAGTGGCGTTCCGGCACCGTTAGTCCAGGCTGTCGCCCCAGAGCGTTTGCAGTTCGTCATGAACATAGTTTTCTCCATGAGACTCCAAACGGCCATCTGCCGACGTCGCTACAGCCTATGTGCCTTTGTGTGGTGAAACAAGTGCTAACATTCTCGTGTCCTTGATTGATTAGATTTAATCGATTCGCTGACCATTTGGCCGCGTGCATATGCTTCCTACCCCACTTATTACACCATTTACTTCTACCGTCTAGTGCAACGCCAGCGTCGCGCCTCTCCACCACCTACTGCTCTGCCTCGACCTTCACAACTCCTTTTCGGAAAACCTGCCCGTTACATAGCTTCCTCCAGCTCTCAGGCGAGTGACAGAATCCACGCATGTTCACCGAGCTTGTCTGTCCCTGCATAGTGTGCAGCCGTTACTCCGGTTGCCTGGCGTGTGAGACGAATATCACGGACCCTGATACAGACGAAGCACCCCCGCGAGAGCGCGAGCAAGCCGCAGCTGCGCCTCTTCGTCGAAAAGGCGGAAGAATGAGGTGGCACGGAAGACGGGGACTTGTCTGAGAGGGGGGGGGGGGGTTAGGGCTGTCAGAGTGGAAAGGTTAGGTGCGAGTCCCTCAGACGATAAGTATCCCGGCGGGGCTGCCTTGCAGAATATCTCGTCGAAAGTGTCGCTGGGGATGAACGACACTGCGGATGTGTCTGGCGTAGACTTGAAGAAGAGATGGCGCAGCTCCCAAAATTCTGTCATAGCCGATGCGGCCAGATCAGACCGTCCGTACGATAGACAAGCCCGCTGGAAGCTACACCATGCAGAGGGAATCCGTCCACGACAGCTTCGCGGACGTCATTGTCGACTAATAGATGTGGTCAGTACCGCGGTCCGCACTACTAACTGGTCGGCGATTCATGATAGCCACAACAACAGCCAACATTGCGAAATATGGGTGCTTCGCGTTCTCTCCTTATCTGGCGTAGCTAATTGTGTGTTGGCTGACGAGATATTTTGAGCCTATTATGAACCCGGTTCTCTCACTGTCAGACTGAGAGGATCATCGGACGTTGTCACATGATACGCACTATGTGAACGCGCACTTGAGGCTAAATGCGTCTGGGTAGACCTGCGCGTCAGTTGCCGTGAGCTGGCTATCCGGCTCGTGAGATGACGTTGTACCTCATAACAGGCGTCCGCCTGGGCCCACACAATGCGTTGCTTAAGCTCATCCTCGTCTTGGATACCGGCTGGGGTCTGAAGTAGCTCTCGCCAAGCGTCATTCACCGGGACAGCGAGCGGATTTGAATCTATGACGACCATTTCTTCCGTTACACTTACCATCCCTCCAATAGATTGAGCCTATCAACTGGGATGTAACGGTGAAGACCAAACAAAGACGGCGTTCAACGCAAACTCCTCACGAGCGTTGACAGTGACGCTGGTCACAATCGCAATGAGGGGATAAAAATAGGATTTGGGCACGGATAGCCTAGTGCACTGCTCTCGGAATCAATCAATTCCGGCCAGTTTTGGAAATAGGATTGAAATCAGAAGCAATGGGCTGGATATAGATCCCGTTGCAGCACTGCAGTCGGTGGCAACAAATCTCGGTCACAATCTCGCTTGTGCAAACTCTGCATACATGGCTATATTGTTTTAGCTGTCTCCATATCGTCAGAACTATAGGAGCGGGGTTGATGCGGGGTTTGAAATACACAATTTGGGCCACAGCCCTGATGGGCCTGGCGGGACATCGTCACAGCCACAATTCACCAATATGAATCGTGATTCCAACGCACTTCAATAGATCCAACGGTAGGGAACCAGCTGCTAATGGGAGCTATAGCTCCGCTTATAATGGAACTTATTGACCGTAGAAATCGCCGCAAAGAATTAACACTGAATAATCCCGAAATGACACTTCGCAGAACTGTAATCCACGATGAAACATCGATGACCGGAGCTCATTGATATTTGATTGTCTCTGGTGCGGGTGGATCACATGCACGGTTGCACATGCAGCGCAACGCCGAAGATCTTCAGTCTCCAAATCTATGCCAACAGTTGAATCGATCAGAAGAGGAGTGAGGACACTCGCAGTCAACGCCATAATTCGCCCATGGGACCTGCGCCGTGCAGGTCACCCTGGCGGCCAAACATTTCCTCCAACACAGTTTTCGTGCCGTGCCGTGCACAGCTCGTCTCGTTGTCTCTCCTACGGAGACCTGTCTAACATACTCCTTCTAATCCTAATACACACACGGACATACATCTTCTACCGTCTATTCTTCCGCCACCTCCCACACCACCTCGGGGGCGATCTCGGCCCCTTTGAGAGCTATTCTCATCTGCCGTCTGCGGTCTCGCCAGCCGGAATAGACGGCAAGCCCGAGAGCAACACAACACGCGGCGATCGTTAGCTTTAGGCTGTCAGCATAGCACGTGCGACCCTCCAAACACTGTGACGTCGAAGGTAAGCCAGCGCGTTGCAGGAGCTGAACGAAATGCGCAGTCTCTGGGAGCGAAGTCACGTTTGCCACCGGAGATGAAGGCGGCGCGTGAGCGTCGAGGTTCCGGCCGAATGCGATGGAAAAGATGTTGCTTCCAATCATGGGCGACAGCGAGACGAACCCCCAATTTTCCGAGAAGTGCGCTGTACGAGGGTGTGAAAGCGATCAGCTTGCTGCCAAAAATATTGAGTAGAAATGAACGCACGTAGTCCGAACCATTCTATCACGATGGTAGGAAACAGGCCGAACATGGCACCATAAGCTGCCCCCAAAAGCGCACTGGCCTTCCACAAGGCACCGACATCCTCAACGTAGTAACACGTTATCTGGGAGATGATGAAGATGCACGCGATTAAGGGTAGGCAGAAGGATCGCGGAAGTTTGAGGAAGCTCTTAGTAAAGTCGGCGAGCATGCCTGAGTAGATAGAATCTCGGTGAATTTTCCAGAGTCACTACGAGACAGATCACTGACCAATGCTAACGCGCCCCAAGCAGTTCATGATGCTCACGATGGAAACCTGTGAGGCTTGCAGTTGCGCGGCCTTCCCTTCGTCGTAGTTCGGGTTGCCTTTTGCGAACAGTGCCTGAGAAATCGAGCCGACGTTATTTATATCTACAATGGGGAGAATAAGCTTCACGGAGACGTAATCTGCAACTGACGTACACATCAGTCCCGTTCCGCTCACTATGGAAGCAGTATTAGGTTTCCCGATGGACGAAAGACGAGGGAGCCGAAGCACGCACGTAATGCAGTGATTGTGAACAGCAGCCAGAAGTCTGCGCTCGCGAATAGAGCACGTCCAGAAATGTTCAGTACCCCATATCCTAGAGCGTGCGCGGGGCCTGGATGACGCAGGCTTTGACGCGACACGGAGAACGTGCTGCGGGATCGGTGCCGGCTGTGGCTGCGCGTGGGACTCAGTGCGACGGACTCTCCCACAGAAGGCACGAAGTAGTCAGAGACAACCGTAGTACGCGAAGGATGGTGCACATGAATCGCGGGGACTGTTTCCTCGAGGAGCGGGGGATCGGCCAGCTCCTCCTCATCGGCGTGAACATGCGGTGGATGTGGCGAGAGGAGATGTGTTTGGCTATCGTTCTCCCGTACGAAAAGAGAAGGAGAGGCGACGCCCACGCTGGTCTGAGAGTCGAATGCCTCTTCTAATGCCTCGTTTTCTGGGTCATGGCTTATTTCGGACTGCTGCAGTGGTATGGGCCTGACGAGGAAGAAACCTAGCAGCATCGGTATTGAGGTGCCGACGGCGAGCACCAATAAGAAGTCGGATGTGTTGCCAGGGAAGAATATATGAGCCATGGTGGAAAACAGAAAGGCTGACAGACCGAACCCGGAAATAACTATGCCATTTGCCGTAGCTCGCTGCAGGAGGATCCAGTAAACAAGAGATACTGAGGACCGATGCGAATGCACTCACTGCCCGGTCTGGCCAGCTCTTTGCAGTGGAGTTCATGGCACCTGCCAGGCCCCCATTGCCACCGATCCCGGTGAGGAAGCCAAACAACACTAGAACACTAATATCGAAAGTGCTCAATGTCGAGGTACCCTGAATGAGGCCTCTATCATAGTAGTGACGTATGCCAGAGTAGCCTATGATCAAGGTACAGAATGCCATAATGAGGAGCATGCGTGGGCCCCTGGTGTCGACAATACGGCCCCATAGCGGAGCTGAGCCGTACACACCGACTATGTACACAGGAAGCCCAGATTAAGCAGCGCGACCTTGTCGAAGATTCTCTGCAGTACGCACTATTTCCAGATAATCCTATCACATTCAACTGTGTATGTGATAGGCCAAGCCGCGACCCAAGTTGAGGAGCGTATGCTGTCCAATGCAGTTAGTCAGTTGTAGATGTTCATCCTCGGCCCGGTTTAATTGAACGTATGGAACAGTGAAATGTACTAATAAGTGCTTCTACATGCATTCCAGATACATGGATGTGAGCTGTAGAATCCTCGGGCTAACGCACAAGAACTGACGACTGCGACACTCTAGAGTTCCCACTCGCTCGAAAGATCTGCTACAGCTTTGTCTCATCGATCCAGAGTCAAGCTTCTTGCTCACTGATATATTTATGCTGCGCCATGTCTATGACAAGACGCTGTCAAGGAACGGCTCGTGTACACCGTATTGGCTGTACCCCTTAGGAACCCAGAAGACCAGCCACAGCGACTCCAAATTCAGACGACAGCGTGGCAGAAAGCGCCGTCCTGCGACTATAGATATCCTAGACGATTGAACGTACCAGAAAAGACCTGGTAGTGCCATCGCGAGTTGAATGATAATGATGTTCACCCTTAAAGCAATCACGCACATAGTTTGTACCAGACGCCAGCGCGACCAGCAGGCACGTTAGGAAGCTAGATATCCGCGTAAGACTGAACAAGGCAGGTGCATGTGCATGCGCATGCGCATGGGTCGTTGCAGACATGATTGGGTATAGGGCTCCGGGTGTGCCGCCAGAGTGCTAGGGAGAATAAGGTCGTCGTGCAGATTGTACGGAACAGCGCACACAGCCACCAGAGCGCTCTCGACGCTGTCGAAGATGGGGGTAAGAGTCAACGTAGGCGATGAACGGCGCTCCGGAGGCGGGGAGGGTGCATGACAGGTACATGACACAATTACGGCAAGATAACCACCGAATTAATGCCGCGTTGGCCTTAATAACGTTATCGCGCCGTCACATGATCGTGTACCATCAGACGCGATATTCGATCGTGTCGACCTGATTGTGTTTCACGGCGCAAGCGTCGTACCTCCTACCCATCAACAGCGGAGTACTCGGCTTTTCTGTGCCAGGGAGTAGTGCTATATCTCCCCACAGAACAATTTAATCTTCAAACCCTCCACGACAATGGGCGGGACTTGGCCTGCCACTGCCGGCAGCTGGCACATTGATAGGTTAGAGAAGACTTCACTACTATATTACAACTTGAAGTGCTTTACGCTAATTACAAACCTATACTTCCGGTATCATTCGTGTTTGAATACTGAAACATTTTCCAAGTTGGCAGCTGTCACATGTAGCTAGCCTTAGCAAATGAACAAAATCCTTCGGTCACCAAACACCAGTTGATGCAATGTCAGGCTATCACAGATCTTGTAGGGTGAGATGCCACGCAGAGTCTTTAACGGAGCTGCTATGTCTGTGACTTTGGCTCCGCGATTTGGATGTCAGCAGTACCAAGACAATCAAGCTTGGTAGCATAACCAATTACCGTAGTAGACTCGGTAGATTCGGTTTCCGGTTTATATTTGATTGTCTCAGTGTTCGGAACCCCTAATTCAACATCGTCCGTGCGGTTTCGAACATACTTGGGACTACTGGGGCTTACTGCATGCGAGTCAACGTGTCAGTACAAGTTTGAGGCTATAGAAGTCTCCTATTTTACTTCGCGAGCAGCGACTTCGCACATGCTTTCATAATGCAGCGAAACAGTATTGTGAGCGACGGCCGGCTCACCGCCTAACGTCATGCACCTTTTGCGATCAATACCTCAACAAAGAGTGTCTTGTTTCCCTTATCGTAATACTGTGCACGCAAGATGTCATGAGCGTCGGAATACGGTAAGCACAATTGATGCAGACGTACAGAGATTAGCGTTCCGAGGCATATAGACCTATCATGTGTTTATGTAAGAATAGAGGACATAGTACTAAGGCTACATACACTGGTACCAGTCCCGTTGTGATTTTATATCCTGAAAATGTACACTTACCTGAGCAGCCCCGTACGACTTTTGTACAGCTTTGGAGCAAATGGCGCCAATGATGAGAATGTCATTGGTAGAGATAATGTTTGCTGCCATATTGTTCCAACATATGGAACGAGCGAAATCTCAGCGATGAAAGCGACAAGGCTTCATCACCGCCGACAGAGGTTTCCGTGCCAACTGTAGACCATGACTCGTATCAACAAGGTAAAAAGAATCGCTTACATGAGAACAGCAATCACTATTACACAGGCCGTTCGGCATGTGAGCCATCATTGAAGCACAGCAGCCTCATGGTCATCAACGCCAAGGGCTAATGACGGCTATCAGGAAATCGCACAGTGTAATAGCTACGCACCTTCACAAGTTATGGACCGAATTGCCTGCAATCCACCTACTTGACTGCAGTGACAAGTCACACAGCCAACAAAATTGTTCAGAATATCCGGATTGATAGCCTAGACCGTGGGTTGGATACTGCTGTCTGCATCTCCTAGCGTCATGTCTTCAGATCTCGAGTGGTCTGACTAGGTTTTCCGACTTTTGGTATCTTCAAGCTCGGGTGAAAGCTTACGGCAATGATTATGCATTGTTTGATGGGTAACCGAAAACAGCATCGGGATGATTTCTGTGGTTGATGAGCTCAAACCCTATGAAAAACATATCTTTGAGTCACTGATAGTGGTGGCTGGTGGCTAAGGCTCAAGATCTGAGATCTTCAGCGTGCCATGACGTTGGCTTGGTGTGCAAGCGCTCAGATGGTTACCTCATCAGGCTGCTACGACACAACCGCTATATACATAAACCCACAAGCGTTGCAAAACCTTCGCGAAGTTTTACATTAAAAAGCCCCTACTGGCATGTCTGTCGCTCTATGGAAGAGCTTCGGTGTCGCGGGCACATACAGGAGTTTGGTAACAAGACATGCACCTCGGGTACGTCTTTGCATTATTAATTTGACTGTGAATCAGCCAGAGTCGCGCTTGAGTCGCTCATATGTTCACAGGCATTATGGGTGTCTTGTTCTTCTCGGTCACCACGTATCACTCCACGTGCGCATCGTCGACGACTGAGCATCCAAGGGCGATCTGTCTGATAATGCGAATCAGCCCATGTACCTACTTATCCACCTGTCTCTTACTTCAGCACACACCATTCTCTCGGACTATCGTCTACCTCCCAGAGGCTACAAGAGCGTGAAGACCTCCCAGTCCTAAAGAATCCCCCGCCAGAGACGATCTTTGAGCTCTACATGAATAGAGCAGCACTCTGTGCGGACGAACGAATCGTCTCAATGCTACTTGGAGACGATCCTACGCCGAAGGTCTACTATGATGCCTTCTTGCGCAATATGCAATTTGTCTTCCACTATGTCAACTCAGTCGGCTTGGAGGTATGGCATCGTCTCCGTGCTCTGCCCCAGAACGATAACAAATTATGCAACAGGACCTCAAAATGGCATCTGCTGAGCCTGACACCCCCTTGGCACGAGCAAGGTCGGCTTTGGTCGTATACGCGCGCCTTGCCGATCAATGGCTCTCGGCAGCGTTGCAGATCAAGGGCCCTCATCGCTCGGTGGAGGACCTCGCAAAGGCAACCGTATATGTCCATACGATGATTTCCTACGTGGACGCACACGAAGCCGAATTGGTCCCTTGGGACCAGCTCTGCGATGCTATCCTCACGTCCTTTCGCGTGGCGGTTGATCCGGTGATTCAGGCAGCTGGTGGTGTCCCGGAAGATTTCATAGAATACGACGAGCCGGAGGCCGATGATTCCCAAGGTTGATGAAATCATAATGCTGCGTCCAGTGCCTGTGAGCGCCCGTATAACAGCGTTGCGCACAGTTATGTACAATATCGCGTCGTTCGTGGCCTTGTATCGTACAAGTGTACACATATAGCATCCATCAATTCATGCTTGGTTACCTTCTATTGCTTGAGTATGTCTCGGACTAGCCTAGGTTGGAGGCCTCGAACAAGTCAGTGACTCGGCAGGAGGGGTTAGGGGCCTCCTGCCGAACGACCATGACGATGCTTTACGACTACACAGGCGACGATGTCCATATCTGCGCTCTCAACGACGGCGACGGCGACACCCTTTCTGCTAATGTCCACAATGCAGTACAAAGTTGACCCGAGCCCGACTATAATAGCATCCCGGATCCATACGGGGAGGCGTTATTGAGAGTGACTCGACGACCAGTACCCACTCGCTTTCATCGACCACCACCGACGTTGTCAGAGGCCATGTCGCAACCGAGGCGTTCTGAAGCAGTCACTGTAGGCATTCTTGGTACGTGCTGACTTTACCTCGTTATGATGTGGTGGTAGGGCACGCCGCTCATTGTGCCATCCTCCCAGCTCTCCAGGGGGCGTTCGTAGAGCATCAGGCGATCCTTCAAAAGCTGTCTCTGCGAACACGATTACATGTCGTGCTTGTACGTACGCCGGAGGACTTGCAGCAATGCGATGCTCTCATCATACCCGGAGGAGGTGAGTCTTCTGTAAAGCTCCTCGGCGCTGGCTTACCATCGCTCGTGTGCCACGTTAGAATCGACTACCATTGCGCTGCTCGCGCGCCTTGCTGGTTTGCTGGGGCCTCTAAGAGAGTTCGTGAGGGTGAAGCCGGTGTGGGGGACCTGCGCCGGTGCGATATTACTCGCGCAGTCCATAGAGGGCGCGAAAAAGGGCGGTCAGGAGCTACTGGGCGGGATCTCGGTGACGGTGCAGCGGAACGGCTGGGGATCACAAGTGCGTACATGCTCTTCTCTGGCCCTCAGCAGGTTGTGACCTTGATTCTGCGGTCCCACAGGTAGAGTCGTTCGAGGCACCCCTTGAGGTCGAGGGCATGCGCGATCACGAGCGGCCGTTCCATGGCGTCTTCATCCGTGCCCCTGTCATCCTTTCACTGCACCCCTCGCCGTCCGACCCGCCTATCCAGATCGTCTCACGCATATCAGCGTCTCTCCTCCCGCGCACGCAGACGCTCGTGCCGCTCGACGAGGACGACACAGACCCGCGCGACCCACGCACGATCGTTGCTCTGCGTCAGGGGCGCCATCTCCTCTCGACGTTCCACCCCGAGCTGACGAAGGATGACCGCTTCCACGAGTACTTCGTCCGCGAGTGTGTGCTGCCTTCGGTCGCGTGATCAGGTACCAAGTGCAGACATAGAAGATCTACCTGAATTGAGTATCGATGTCCCCGGAATAGATTGTATACAGCCTAGGTGTATCTGCCACATGTTGTTTGTACGCATCCGAACCATAGCCGTTAACATCGTATCATAGTATCTGCTACATAAAACAACCACCTGCCTCCAGCCACACATTAATCATCGCATTGCATGGACCCAACACAATATCTAAACTCCTTGTGGCGTTTTTTTTTTTCGAAATTGTGACAGGTCTACTTTGATCAAGCGGTAACGCATCTAGACTAATCCACCTGTTGTGGCTGCGGTGCAATTCTTTGTCCACGTCGCTTCGGTGGAAGAGGCCATACTTACAGACGCGATAAGAGCCTTCTTTCCGATCGCACGCCCACATGGTGAAGACGGGGCACACGGATCCCACATCCATATTTACGCCCCGGGTATAATATCCCCACCTTCCATAAACAAGGTGCTTCGCGATGAGACTCGGCACGACGGTGCATAAGTAGAGTCATACACGGACAGCCCGCAGCGCGTCTCTTCCGGACTTTTGCCGCTGAATCTCGTTATTGGAGGTGTGTCGCAGGATGTTGGCCAGCATCGTTGGAGTCGCTGTTGTGCTCCTTGCGTTGTTATCCAACCAGAACACCGGCGTACATGCCCGCCGCCAAATTACGAAGCAGGAGTTACGGATGCGCCAGGAAGAGGCGGCGAAGCGATGGGCGCCCCAGCGGCGCGCAAGCGGAGGTCCGGGTACTGTGCAGAACATTACCTTCACGAACCCACGGGCATCAGGTATTCCCATATACTCCTGCGCCGAATATTAGCTCAATACGCGGCGAAGAGTTCTATGTAGATGGCGCGAACATACCATTGGTCGACTTCGACGTCGGGCCAAGCTGGGCTGGCTTGCTCCCGATCAGTAACAAGGTGGACGAGACGAGACAGGTGCGTCCGCACTTCGCTTACTAAGGTCCCTGGATGTGTTGACACCACACTACTAGCTGTTCTTCTGGTTCTTTCCTCCCGGTCCAGAAGGGAGCCTCGACGACCTCATATTCTGGTGCGTGATTCCCCCACGCAGCTTATTATACAGAAATAGCACTATACGAGCGTCTTGACAGGACCAACGGTGGCCCAGGATGCTCGTCGCTCGAAGGATCGCTGCAAGAGAACGGTGTAAGTTCCGAAGCGCCCGCAGCCCGTGATCCTCGCCCTTCCTCGCCGCGCGCTTACACTGGCATAGCCGTTCAGTTGGTCGTGGGGACAAGCGAAGCCGACGCCGAACGAGTACAGCTGGACAAATCTGTCAAGCATTCTCTATGTCGAACAGCCAGTGGGTACGGGCTTCTCGCAGGGTGTGCCCAACATTCAGGTGCGTGTTGTGGGGTGCGTCTGAGGGAAGGCCCGTCTGACAATAAGAATAGAACGAGGACCAGCTCGCAGAACAGCTCGTCGGGTTCTTACAGCAGTTCTTTGAGGTATTCTCGGAATTAAACGGGAAGAATCTATACCTCACGGGCGAGAGTGTGAGTGAGCAAATCGAAAGAGACACTCAAATACCTCACAATTATATTGTAGTATGCGGGAACATACATTCCTTGTCAGTCAGAACTGGCAAAATATTCCGTTCAACGCACAAGGTTCTGATGCATTCTTTCTCTAGACATTGCCAACTATCTTTACGATAATCCGTACCTGTTGGACCTCCCATTAAAGGGATTCTGGATTTCCGATCGTAAGCATTATGGTCTACCGAGAAGTGTATGCGTGATGCCTACTTACGGCCATTTCCAGCATCGATATCATGGGACGTTGTCCAAGAAGAAATACCCGCGGTTGACTTTGTGCACAAGTACTTGAACGTGTTCTCCTTGAAGTAGGTGGACAGCAAAGTGTCTCTCGAGTTCCTTGGACCCACATGCACCTATAGCCAGACGTTCATGGAAGAGCTTGACGCGACCGCTGCGGTATGCAACTACACTGGCTATTACGAGAAGTACGTCACCTACCCGCCAACCGGGCTCCTACCCTTGCCTGGCGACTCTGTCGAGTTTGCGGATGGGTGTGATGTATGGGATGCAATCTTCAACGCGGCGCTACTCGTCAATCCAGCGTTTGATATCTATCGCATATTCGACACCGTGCGTCTGCCTCTTGAGATATTTCTGCCCCTCGGCTAATCATCTCCACATTCAGTGGCCTATCTTGTGGGACCCCCTCGGCTTCCCGTGCGTCCCTTCCACTTCCATTCTGTTCCCCACGCGTTCATCAACCACATCCACAGGGGCTCGTTCCCACAGACACAAGTCTCGCCGCTCTACTTCAACCGAGACGACGTCAAGGCGCATATTCACGCGCCGCTGGACGTCGACTGGACGGAGTGCTCGAACGTGAACGTGTTCCCGGACGGCGACGCAAGCCTGCCACCCGTGTTCACGGTGTTGCCGAGCGTCATCGAGCGCAGCGAGCGCGCGGTAATTGTGCATGGCCTCGCGGACTTCATCCTGATTGCGGAAGGGTGAGCCCACTTCTTCCTCCGCCAGGTACGCAGCGCGGCTGACTGCATACCCCAGGACAAGGATCGCCATTCAAAAGTGAGCGCGAGCATGAGTCATCAGATTTCGGCATGCTAACGCTCAGGGTCTGGGTGCTAGCATGACTTGTAAGCAGCTTTCTCCCGCATTGCCCTATTATAGTGATTGAGACCCGTCTATAGGGAATGGAATGCAAGGATTTCAGACGCCAATCCAAACCGACAGTTTCATTGTCGATGGCGTTGGGGCGCTCGGCACCACGCACACTGAGCGCGGCCTGACGTACTTTGAGGTCGAGCTCAGCGGACACATGTGAGAGTCGAACCCTTATGTGCTCGCATTACACTCACATTTTTCATTTCCGGCAGGATCCCTCAGTTCTCCCCGGTGGTTAGTGTGATTGACTTGGAGAATCCGTTTTGACATCTCACACGTTTCGGGCAGGCGGCTCTCCAGATCATGCAGTATCTAATGGGCTTCAGGGAGATCCCTTGATGGTGGATCACGACTCCCGCTCTATAGACGACCTAGAGAGCCGGGTTCATAGCCGGCTCCTTGTTTAGCGAGCGTTTAGTCAATGCATTTGTTACGGGCAGTGTGCGGTTGATGTGGATAGTGTCCTTTTGTAATTTCTACAAAAAAACGTTAAGACTCAGACACCACTGCAACGGGTGAGTCGGTAACACTTGTAACAGCCCCTCGTCGACCCTTGACGGGTTATGTGGTCTTGGGATACTGGTCCTAATACCCTGTAGTTTGAATTGTGCGTTGAAGATAACATCACGGAGCGGTTCTTGTATATTCTGCAGTGCATGAGAATGGATCGCTGGAAGCTTATGCTGAGGTGAAGGCTTCAGTTTCTGAGCCACATGGCGCCATCGCTGGACGCCGGGTAACCTCGTGCAACATCTGCATCGATGTTTTCTCCGCACACAGTCCACAGCGTTCGCCAAGCGGCACGAATTGGAGAACAGCATGCGTAGACTCGGGATGCGTGAGATCAAAATTACATTAGCAACAGCGGCCGGCTCGGTCGTATTTAAGCGATGCGGTCAGCCTCAAACGATGTTGTTAATCCCCCGAAGACCAATTAGCCAATATGCTCTTCTCGTCTATACGCAGAGCATCTCTCGGTGTACTCGCATTCATAGCAGCAACTGAGCACGGACTAGTGTCTGCAGTACGCAAGCACGCATCAACGCAGGAGCTACGCGCCCGCCATCTTCAGCACGCACAGAGCGCACTCGCTAACCAGCCCCAAGCGCGCGCGATATCCAGTGGCGGCCCTGGCACGGTGAAGAACATTACGTTCACCAACCCCCGCGCGTCAGGCAAGTGCTCACCCCTAACACCAACCGCCGTTTTTGGCTAAAGCAGCTGCAGAGTTTTATGTCGACGGCGCAACCATTCCACAAGTCGACTGGGATGTGGGACCTAGTTGGGCAGGACTGCTGCCCATAAGTGGGGCAGCGAATGAGACCAGGGAGGTGTGTATCCATAGGATGAGGGCCTCTTCCGGCAGCTCATCACCATGCAGCTATTCTTCTGGTTCTTCCCCCCTGGACCCGAGGGTAGCCTTGATGACCTGATCTTCTGGTAAGTCATAATATCTACCCGGGTGTATTCTTTGATTTCTCTAATCCAGAATGATAGGACAAACGGAGGCCCAGGCTGTTCGTCGATGGACGGATTGCTGCAAGAAAACGGAGTGAGCATAAGACGTGGGAAAAATGCCGATAAGCATTAACGGGCGTCTACAGCCGATTAGCTGGTTGTTGGGACAGGCAAAGGCCACACCCAACCAGTACAGCTGGACAAACCTTTCCAGCATATTGTACGTAGATCAGCCTGTCGGCACGGGCTACTCTCAGGGGGTACCAGATGTCACAGTATGTCGTCCCCTTAATCTACTAACTGCACTAACACTTATTTGTCCCAGAACGAGGATGAAGTCGCGGAACAGCTTGTCGGCTTCTTCCAGCAGTTCCTTGAAGTATTTTCGGAGCTGAAGGGAAAGAATTTCTACCTCTCTGGTGAAAGTGTAGGTACCTGTCCCTCTCTTCGGCGTGCAAATGTTCACTTCCTTTAGTACGCTGGAATGTATGTGCCATGTAGGTTACCACAGTTTCAAATTGTTGTCTTATTGCTTACTGATTTTTACTTTCAGACACCGCGAACTACATCTACGAGCATCCTAGCGCCTTGGACCTATCACTCAAGGGGTTCTGGATCTCTGATCGTAACGCTGTTTCCCTTTTAAAGAATCCTGAAACTATCGTTCTCACTCTGGTTTCATAGCTGTCCTGTCTTCCAACGCGATTCAGTCAGAAATCCCCGCGGTGGATTTCGTGCACAAGTACGAGAACGTGTTTGCCCTCAAGTATGTTTCAGTAGCCAAATCTGTCGAGCTCTCGTTCACTGATTCTATGGCCTATAGCCAGTCCTTCCTGGCAGAGATCGACGCGATCGCCGAACAATGCAACTACACCGGTTATTACAACACGTACGCGACATATCCGCCCGCCCCCGCCCCGTTCCCGTACTACGACAGCTGGGACACAGACGCTTGCGATGTCTGGGATGCCATCTTCGACGCTGCACTGGTCGTGAACCCTGGGTTTGACGTCTACCACATCTTCAGCACCGTGAGTTTGCCCCGGTGCTCACTCAGACTGCATTTTGAAATTTCGCGCCTGTGCAGTGGCCGCTCTTGTGGGATGTCCTGGGGTTCCCGTGCGCCGTCTTCTCCTCCCTCGCAGTTGTAAGCGACTGACTCAATATTCTGTACCACAGGACGCAGGTGTTCCAGACGCAAGTCGCGCCGCTCTACTTCAACCGCACCGACGTGAAGCAGGCGTTGCATGCGCCGCTCGACGTCGACTGGCAAATCTGCTCGAATGAGAACGTCTTCGTGGGCGATGGCGACACGAGCCTGCCGCCCGTGTTCACAGTGCTCCCGAGCATTATCGAGAAAAGCGAGCGTTCGGTGATCGTGAACGGCCTCGCTGACTTCTTGCTGATCGCTGAGGGGTGAGTAGTGATTGAAAGTGGGAACTGTCTCGAGCTAACGACGGCTGTGACATACAGTGCTCGCATCGCTATTCAGAAGTGAGTGCATATCCTTGGACTGCCAATGAGCCTCGCTGACGTTTGGACGATCGCAACAGCATGACATGTGAGTCTGCCGCTCAGTGTTCAGAAAGCGCCGCTTGCTCATGCTCCCGCTACCATTAGGGGGAGGACAACAGGGATTCCAGACACCGATCCTCAACGACAGCTTCGTCGTGGACGGGTTCGGAGCGCTCGGTACCACGCACACAGAACGCGGCCTGACATTCTACGAGGTGGAACTGAGTGGACACATGTGCGTAACGCGTCGATGCTTCTTATGGCGCCGCTGAGCTGACGCTCCGCGAACTCCGCAGGGTCCCGCAATATGCTCCCTGGGTGAGTGATGATCTGTTTTTCCCTCGAGTACATCCAGCTCATGACCGGATGTGCAGTCTGCGTTCCAGATCATGCAGTATTTGATGGGCTTCAGGGATACCCCGTGACCTATCTTGCGCAAGGACATTAACTTACGGCAGCTCTGAGTCACTTGGGGCACGATAGCTATTTATATACGGCACTGTCAGCTACTGATCAGGTCACTGCAATAGGCGTACGAATTAGATGTCTACAGACTACGACGCTTGTCAAACGATCCAGACTGCAAAATTTCAGTGATCATGAGGGTGACATAAACGCTGCAGTAATAACAATGCGTGACAAAAATGCGGACTCCTCTGATTCAGCTTGACTTCGATGAGCCTCGATTATGTCCCAATAGTAAGCTATCGATGTTAGGATCCAGACGGATCTCTGATTTGTGTATTGTGTGAAATTACATGAGATGTACTTGGCTGCACGACTCACATCTCAGACTCCCAGTCCAAACTCATGTTCGACCATGTCAGTCGATGCCTCTGGCTCCATCCTGGCTGCAATGGCTGCAATAAGATTGCGAATTGAAGGTGCTGATTTCCATTCTAATGGCGGGGTCATTGAACCATAGCCGGTTCAGTTCACCGGCAGCATGCGCGAGGAGATCAACATGTCATTACACGCATGATATTGTAGTGGCCATCTAGATCGTACCGGATATACGCACCAGGTATACGTGTGAGAGTAGCATACGGACTCACGCAGAAGAATTATCCTCTTTCACCATGTCTGAGCATTTCTCTGCGACAGCGACCGTCGCCGCAGCCAGATGCGTACTCAGAATATGCGGAAATACACTCGAATCCGCAACCCGGAGTCCACGCACACCGTGCACACGCAGACGGTCATCGACGACCCCGCCCATCGTCGAGCCGGGCACCTCGGGCGCCATGCGGCACGTCGACGAATAGTGGTACGTCGTCTGACTATACGCGCGCACGAATGCGTCGATGTCCTCGTCGGACTCGCTTGTGGGCACGAGGTATGGATGCGCAGGATAGTCCTGCGCGACGAGCTGTTCGTGCAGACGCAGAGTGAAGCGTATACCTTGCCGCAGGACGGCGCGGTCGTGCTCAGTCGCGTAATAGTTCGGATCGACCAGGGGGTCTGCAAGGGGGTCAGACGAGGCGAGGCGCACAGTCCCTGTGGACGTCGGGCGGAGGATAATGACGAGGAAGCCGAGACCACCGTCGCGTGTGGATGATTTTGACGTAGCCGCGTCGCTCCACGCAATCTGTCGGGGCCGCATGAGCTCGTCGAATTTGATCTAGCGGTAACGGCCCTTACCGGCATGACCTCAATATCCGGCATGTTCATAGGCAGTGCAGCGTCTTCGTCGGCGGGTGTTTGTGTCACCGTTTTGGAGTTGGAATCGAACAGTCGTGTCTGGACAAAGATCGAGAGTTCGAGGAACGGTGCGAGGAAGAGGCCCATGCCGAAGAGAATGTAGAGAAGTAACTCCTTCAGTATGATCCAAGGCTGCAGCTGTAACTTGGCTAACGAGTCTTTGAGCGGTACCCGATATTGCACAGCAATGCCGATATGATCTTGCTACAGATATAGCGTTAGGAGGGAAGACATTCACCGAGAGGGGAAGGCGCTTACGAGGTGTCTGCCGACGCTTGCAAGGCTCTTTACGATCGGTATCCCGTGTTCCTTCAACTGTTCGTCAGGACCGATGCCACTAGAGAAATATCAGCACACGTCAAAGAAGAGATGTGCTGTGAAGAAAATACCTAAGCATGAGGACTTGTGGAGAGCCAATAGGACCAGCAGAGAGTATCACCTCTTTGCGAGCGCGGACCAATCGCAAGCGTGTAGTATTCGCTTTGGTAGACTGTATATACACGCCGTTGGCTGTCATTCCGCCTTTCTCGTCACGCTGAATATCTATCCTAGTCACAGCTGCGTTGGTACATATATGCAAGTGCTGTCGACGCTGAATGACGAGCTTCTTTGGAAGAAAGGCTTCCAGAGTAGACGAGCGATAGCCCTTGGCGTCGATAGTATAGTGCATTTTCGCGCAGCCATGGGAGGAGTGTAGGGGAGAATTGAGGTCATCGACGTAAGGTATTCCAAGAGCCTTTGACGCTCGTATGATGCTGCGAGAACCGTCGTAGCGTGACGGGTGATGGTTGACCATGGAGAGCACTCACGGTGCAGTATGGCCCCAAAATGTTGTTTTATGCGACCTATTGCACCACTCCCCTACACCCCACACTTCAGCAGACCGCATTCGAGGGGTGATAACATGACCCGCCTTTGACCCCGTGAAAAGACGGAGGATTAGCTCGGTCTTGGTCGAGGTCAGTCTCCGAGCGGGTGAAGTACGGCTGGATCTCATCGTAGCTCCACCCGTCCCTCCCTGCCTGACTCCAGGAGTTGTATTCACCGGGAACCCCCCGTGTGTAGAGCATCACATTAACCTTCGAGGCCCCCCCGAGGCTATGGCCACCAGCCAGCTCGAAGACCCGATCATTCATGCCATTTTGAGGCACGGATTTCCAGATACGGGTCGAAAGCCCACCAAGAACGAATTGCATGGAGAGAAAGGGGATCCGGGTGATCCACCCATTGTTCACTCCCCCACGTTCAGTCACGAGCACGGACACGGAGGCATCCTGGCTGAGGCGATTCGCAAGCACGCATCCGGCCGTGCCGCCCCCTAGAACCGATGGACCTTTAAGATCTCTGGTCAGTGACAGATCAGGGGTACTCACCTACGACAATGTAGTCATAAGCATCTTCCAATTCATCCACAGATTGCCTTGGGTAGGCCCGAAACCACGTGCTCATGTTGTCAAACCGCATGAGGGGTATCTAGATACTAGTGACTAGAAAATAGGCAAGTCGGAGAAGGGGTATCTACAGCGGGACACTGCACTACGAGAAGGCAAAAAGAGTCCAGTAGCAATCCTGGTAAAGTCGCAGGGAAATCAACACGACGTGGCAGTGCAGTAGTCCAGCGCTGATAAGGCGTGGCCATACTAATCTAGATTCAATAGCCTGGGCTGCGGACAATTCAGACCGCGGAAGTTGTTAATTTGGTTTGGATGCGTACACAGGACCCTGAGCGGATGAGCGACCTAAAGCTGGGAGGATTCTGAGAGGTTTGACAGATCTAAGGGAGTATGGGTTCCGACTATTAGTATTCGATTACTAACCACTCCCGGACATGGATGGCAGTCGATCTATATATGGGTAACGGCCTGTGGGCGCTTTTCGTCTGCCAAACGGCACGGTTTGCATTTGCAAAAACATTCAGATCCTGCAGGAAGGTTCACTACCAGTTTTACAGCCAGTGCTTGCTCATTTGCTAGCGACTTTCACCAGCAGTTTTATCGTGTTCTGTACAAGAATCAACTGGAAGACCATAGTCACTATACTAAGCCTCGAGCTGGGAATGTGACGCTCCACTGTAACTGTTGCCAGTCTTGCCAAATGTTATCATGGTCCTATGGCTTCGCTTGCGGCGGCCCATCGCTTTTGAATTCAATTCGAAACATTGACATCTGTGATGTCAGTAGGCAAGACAGATATCAGTCATGTTCTGACGTTTTGCTAAGGTTCTCGTCAAGTCTTCTTGGCAGATCTTCTCTGGGAGAATGCATCGGTGTCGGCGAGCTGACCGACTCATGATGAAGTTTCAATAATAGTTTGCTTATCTAGTGCTCGGCTCGGAACTCGGTGAGTGAACATCATGATGTAGCTTTCAATTCAGTTAAGCCTCATATTTATTGTACAGGACCTTTGCTCAGTCTACTCGCCTCTCTTCTTACTTGCAGCCCTCTGATTGTCCTTCTATAATCTACTTAACATGTCCACACCCCAGGTCATACCCTCTTCAGCCCTTCCAAACATCGACCTCAATCCTACGATTGGAGCGCTCCTGATTGGATTGATTCTCGCATCTATGTCCGTATACTTTTGTCTGCCTAACAACTTGATACTAAGGCGTGGCTTCTTCGTCACAGTTTTGAAGGTATCACCACAATGCAAACTATTCACTACGTATGATCTTCCTCGTATGGATCATTCACGAAACTCACAGGACAATAGTATACGATATTTCCCGACGACAGCCTGTTTCTTAAACTGATGGCATGTCATAATTGATATATCTGTGAAGTGTTGGTTGCTTAAGTCGTATATCGGTGAACAGGTACTTTCCGTGTGGTGAGAACGCACGCATTTGATCATTCTTCTACTCTGACTTCAAGACAATATTGTTCTCAGGCTGCTGGATATGTTGTCCCTCGCCATGATCTCGCATGCGATTTATACATTCGTGATTTTGGATTTCATGGATCCGTTGGCGTTGATGAATGTACCATGGTGGGTTACTTGTGGCTCAGTGATTGTAGAAGCTATCCAAGATAACTAGCTGAACATTATTCACCTGCAGGAGTATTGGTGTAAGTTGCATGGCGTTCCTCCATCAATTTGACGATAAACTCAGTCATGGTGCCAGGCGGAACCAGCAGTATCGGTGCATAACTCACCACAAGAATCATTGATCTCGATGTCTGATGTCGTCTTACAGGCTACAATTGTCTTCATTGTACACCTGTCAGTGCATTCGCTTCATCTATGGCTCCGATATAACTTATGCCTCAAACATAGATTCCTCATCCATCGGATTTGGCAGTGTAAGATCTGGCCGTAATCATACATTCACTATCTAATACCTCGAGTTGATACAGTGAATCGCATGTGGCTGATTCCTGCGCTCATCCTGGTAAGGCTGAGCAATATCTGATTGTTTGCTTGCACCTCTGAATTAGCATAGGTGATCCTTTCGGTAGCTTGCGAAGGTGCGTAAATACAGGTGACAATGCGTGTAAATCCGCTAAACACCATGTATTCCACAGTTCTTGGTATTGGTGAGTATGTAGCAGTGCCTTGTCGACAATTATTGACATGTACAGCGGCACAGTATCTGCGGTATTGATGTAAGCATGGCGTATCTAGTTCCTGCTCAACAGTACTCATTGTAGCACAGCGTGAGGCACCATGAGTCGTGGACCAGTAGTGACACCGAGAATGCTGTGCGTAAAAGCAATGTGCTGTTTTCGTGGCCGTGACTGAAAGCTTATCCACCATGGTCTGTCAGTGGATGATTATGTCCACAAATATCATTTCAGCCGTTGTCGATGTCTTCATCACTTGCATCATATGCTTTCAGCTTCTGAAAAGTCGCACAGGTTTCCTGAGGTGAGTGTGTGAAAAATCAGGCTTAGCGACCTCCTCACTCTCGACTTGGTTTCAGGACGAACAGACTGATCAACCTCTTAACAACATATACAATTACCACGGGACTGATACCTACGTACGCAAGGCCAAGCAGTCTATTCTATAAGGCCTCTTACCCATTTGTCATCATGCATAAACTAACTTCGTACAGTTTAATATGTCTTGGGACTTTGATTGCGGTCAGTCTGATAAATCCGATCACTGGCGTTGGGATATATAGCTGACTTCGATGCATAGTATTATACCAAAAACAATAGGACCTTGGCGGTGGAAGTATTTGAGCTGGTGGTTTCAAAGGGTATGCACTGGACAATCTGCTGTTGCTTCACAAACAATTGTGATTGACATGCCGGGCAGCCTATGCGAATACACTACTGGCAAAGTGAGCTTTCCCCGCTCTTGTGTTGATTTGTACTGAGATAGATTGGGTCACAAGCCTGAACAGCCGTGAGCTCCTCCGAAATCGGGCAAATGAAGCCGAAGGCGCCTTGATCGGTAGTGGGACAGTCAAATTCGGACTAGGGACACGCCATTCCGAGACTACTGTGGTATGTGGGCGTATTGAGTGCACATACAAGAGACGAAGATTGTTTACAAAACGTGTCACAGGACGAGGAACATCCGCGCAGCGACACCCTCCATGGGTCAGCGTAATGGAAGAAGCCCTCACAATCGTGATGTCGGATTGCGGCGATTGTGGCGGGAGACGAAGCAATGAAGCTGGACGAACTGATCGGTCATGAACGAGGCTCACCGATGGAATGCAAAAATACAAGTCGCGACTCGCACGTTAACGTTCACGACTACTCTTGCGTCACAGCGATGTATTATGGTTATGAAGAACTGTACTTTCAAAACTTTCAAAATATGCTGAGATTGTTGCAGATGAGCGATTCATTTCGTGCATGTTGTAAGGCAGGCCTCGTCGTGACTAGGCGCTAACAGGCAAACAGGCATTTGCGATCTCCTTTGAGCCCGAATAGAAATCGGCCCAGTGAGGGCGTATAAGAAAGATTGTCCTAGTCTATGATGTGCGGCGAACACGTTAAGTCGCAGTTCAATAAAACTTCGATATTGCACATTTGAAGTCATGTTCCATTCGGTGGCGTCGGGAATCACAAAGATAGTTCTAACAGACTGACCATTGTAGCCCAAGACTTCAAACATTGTAATATTGCAGGATAAGGATGTCATACTAGATAGACTTTGAGACAATACGAGAATGTTTGCTACAATTTAGTACTCAAGAATCCATGTTTTACAGGGATAATCAAGTGTGGATCGAGCCAAATTGGTCTTCCACGTCACCAGTAAAGGAGACGAAGGCACGGAAAGCCATGTCCCTAGGCTAAAGCGAGTGGTTATGGAAAAAATGTCGAACAGTTGAGTAAAGGGTGATCAATCCCAAACGAAGCGAGTAATTGTAACATAGATTGAGATCATAGTGCCAAGCAGAAAATGCATACATTCGCGAGCTGCTTGATGGAGATGGAAGTAGTGCCGAAGGAGGGACTGGCAAAACTGCGGTGAGTTGGCGGACAACGTGAGGCCGCCTGCCCTGAATATCACGTGTCACGGCGCGTCGCGTTCGACAGCCCTGCTGTGGCCATTTCCCAACTCCCTCTCATAACATACCACCACGCCGAACTTGCACTTGCTCCACACATTCACCAGCTTTGATACTCACCTCAGCTATGGCAATGATCGTGAAATCATCTACTGCTCCTCCTTCCAGTTTTGCATCAGACCTGCCACCTGTCGCGTCGAACGCGGCGGCGCCCACAGCCGCAACACCACAATGCATGAAACCCGCCAGTCTAACACACATTCGGGACACTACTCCGGAGCAATATATTAAAGACCTTAGAATACCCTCAGTGCGTCTGGAGACGCCGTCGATTACGCACAAGATGGCGGCGACACTCGCTAGCTCGCTCCTTGGCCACGTTTTGTTCCTCAAGGGACAGGTTCCTTTGTGAGTCTTCCCTTAGCATCGAAAGTGATTTGGAGTACTGACCCTGCATCCCGAAGCCCTGTCGTCCAACTCGCACGCATGCCCGGCGGGCAGTCTAACTCGCGCGGGGCGCGCCGACGCCACGACCTCCTCGTCGCGTTCGACACGCTCTCGTCCCACCTGCAGACAACGTTCTCCGCACTCTCTGCTGCACTTGCGTTGCGGCGAGCCGGGGCGCCTTCAGATGCGAGCGCGCACCTCGCATTCGTGGTGGGGCCGAGTGTGGGTGCTGCCCGCGCACGCGTCATGTTCATCGTAGACGGGCTGGAAGTGCGCCCATGGGGTGAGCGAGACGCGGGCCCAAATGTTTTTACCGGAACCCGCGGGGAGGATGTGGAGAGTGAAGAAGACACAGATGAGGAAAGTGGTGAAGATGAGAGCGAAGACGACGAAACGGACGAGGAAAGCAACGACGACAGTGAAAAGGAAGAAAGCGAGAGCGAAGGAGACAACTCCGATGATGCTCAGAGTGTATATTTCTCGGAGGATGAATCAGAGCCACCACCCTCGCGCACGCCATCACCCTCCCCATTGTCTTCCAAAGATGTCTCTCGACCGCCTTCTCCTTCACTGTGCCACTCAGTAACAGCCCTACCTCCAACAAACAGTGCGATGTCTCATACATCAATGCAAAACACATACCCACAGCCTCAGACCTATGCAGAGGAGCAACAGACATTGCGCGCTGCGGAACGACTGCTATCGCGCACGCTCGCCAACGCATGCGCCGAAGAGGGCGGAGGAATGTCTGCCGAACTTGGTGCGTCTACCCTTTGTTCTCTTCTTTCGCGGCGCTCACTTACCGCAATCAGCCCCGACTCAAACGCATATTCTTCTTCGCGCGCCACGATGCTTCAAGCACCCAGCGTGGATCCCGCGTCAGAACCTGACGCGGTCGTTGGAGGGCGTATTGCAGGCGTTCCTTGAGGAATCAGGATGCGCGGAGAGATCGCCGAAGGGCAAGACAAAGGCCATCCGTGGCATCAAGACCGAAGGTGTGTACGTCGGGTGTCGAGGCTCCGCCGGTAAGGTGGACGATGGCTCGACAGCGGCGCCAGCCAGCGAGGACAAAGAAGATCAAGGGGAGGAAGAGGATGAGATGATCTGGTGGGTGTGGGATGGGAAGATTACGGGCTTCTCCGACTGGTGAGATGCACGCGCATGGAGTCAGGTTCTGGCTGCCCACCTGGACGTTTGCGGAGCAGGAATTTGTAGCAATAGCACCAGTCCGTATGTCGGGCGAAATGTACCATACTATAATCATACTAGCTGAATATCCTCTTTGACGTTGAAGGCATCATATCTCGCTGCGGCGTTTGATCAGTGAGATTGAAGTCGACTATTTCTAATCGGAGCCACCATAACGAACTCGACCCTACTCTGATCCTGCGAGTTCATAATCATCGAAATGAGCCGCAGCAACAATCACCTCTGAGGCTTGTTCTCTCAGACTCGGCCGCACAGTATCCTTATTCGCATGGACGACATGCGGCTCAGGGCCATCCCTCGACCGTCGTACCTCCGCTGATAGCTGTCGTGCACCAGAGGCGAGATGTCCGCGAATATCCAATGTCTGCGGGGAAGCCGAGACCTGGGAAAGTTCTGCAACATGCGGTATATTCCTGTGTAAAACGTACGACCCTGTCGCAGAGACTTGCTCGCCCTTCCCTAACCACCGCCCCTTCCTCAACCAGCGCGCCGCACCATGGGGCTCTCGTTCTCGCGGAGTTTCAAGCCTGAGGACCTGCCAGACATGACGGGCAAGGTCGTCCTCATCACCGGCGGCGCGTGAGTGGCCCGACTGCTGCTGTTCGTTGCCCGGCTCACGATGGTGCACCGCACAGGGCAGGCGTCGGCTTTGCCGTCGTGCAACACCTCGCACGGCGCGGCGCGACGGTCTACATCGCCGCACGCAGTCAGGACCGTGCGGAGGACGCCATCAAGCGGATCTGTGCGTCGGGTCTCGCGCCGGGCAACGGCCGCATCGACCACATCGAGCTCGACCTCGCCGACCCGCGCACCGCCAAGCGCGCGGCGGAGACGTTTCTGCAGAAGGAGGAGCGCCTGGACATACTGAGTGAGCGCTCTCCGTCGCGGACGCGCGTGCCGCTAACTGACGCGACGTGTTGTAGTCAACTGTGCGGCTATGTACGAACTCTCCGTGTCTACCCGTTGTACTCTGAGAGACTGACCCTGCCTGTAGCATCATCTGTCCATATGAGAAGACATACGATGGTAGGTCTTCCGTGCCACTGCGATCGACCGTTTTCTGAACCATGTTCCGTCAAATAGGCATACAGGACGTCGTCATGGTCAAGTATGGCTCTCGTTGATCCCATTTTGTACCCGACTGATCCCGATCCCAGCTATATCGGACACTTGGTATGGACGATGACGCTGCTTCCCTTGCTCAAGCGGACCGCGCGCGAGCCAAATAGCGATGTCCGGATCGTCGACGTGCGCCGCATGCTCCAAACAAGTCGTGAGATACGCCGCTGATGCGTCTTCTACAGGTGTCCTCTGACGGCTATGATGCCGTGCGGCATCCGGTACAGTTCAACTCGGTCGAGGACTTCAACTTGGAGTACAAGGACAACGTGTTCCCCTGGCCTGCGCTGATGCGGTATTGTGAGTGTCTGCAGTTCACTTGCCCGCTTAAGCCACTCTGACAGGCCCTCGTAGGCTACAGCAAGCTGCTTGTTATGTTGCGCGCTCAGGAACTGCAACGACGGCTCGACGCAGAGGGTGTCCCAATCATGGTGCTCACGACACACCCTGGCGCGATCAATTCCGGTACGGCCTTTTGTTCGCTCAGCGTTGTGTGCTTTCTCAGTGTCGCGTAGATGGGGTACGGAAATGGGTCGACTCTCTCGGGGACGGCCTGCTTGCCGCAGTTGTGATGTACTTGATCAACCTGTTCTTCACCATGCCGACGCATGGCGCATATAGCACAGTGTTTGCTGCCGCCGCGCCGCAAGTCCGCGCAGAGCAGCGCAAATATCATGCGGGGTACATACGGCCGCCAGGGAAGCTTGGGGAGGTGAACGCGAAGGCGCGTGACCCGCAGCTGGCGCAGGATCTGTGGGCGCTGACGGAGCGAGTGCTGGGAGATATCGGGGTGACGCTGTAGGTGCGCGGACTCAATCGCTATCTCCTATGTTTCAAATTACATTGCGTCATATACCGTAGCTTGAATATGCACCGTAGATCGTTCGAATTTGAATGGTCGCGAAACTAGCGCCCATCCACTGGGGTTGAATTTGATTGTCGTCGTGAGATCGCAAGGACAACCGTGACTGCGCAGCTCGACAACGACTTGGAACTTGAGAAATAGGCATAATTGTCACCTTCCAGTCCATGACGGCCAGATGAGGTCAACTATACAGACAGGTCAGTAAAAGTGTGTGCTGATATCTGGCAATAGATCTGCCAGTTGCACGGCAGCCAGTGGCATCACACAGCTAACTCCGTTATCGATAGACCTTCCCGAAAATATGTGTGCGTAAGCGGGGTTGATGTGGGTTTCGGAATCAATGCTTGGGGCCATGGTCCCGACCTGACTGGACCCGGCGAATCATCGTCACAGCCAAAGTAGGCCGTTGGCCCGCCTATTATAGAATCGGCTATCATATGCACACACACGCACACACATTGTAACGCATGCTTCAGGCGTAGAAAAGATACGTGATTCAGAGGCTCTGTTGCGACCTGCATGAGCTTTACGTTCTCTAAAAGCTTTACCCCCAATGAGCTCCCCGACCTGAGCGGCAAGGTCGTCGTTGTCACCGGCGGCAAGTGAGTGGTCTTTGAGCAGCGTCGCTGGCCGTGGGAGGATCAGGATCGGTGACTGATTGTGTGTTCTTCCTGCGCAGTTCTGGTGTCGGCTTTGCGACGATCTTGCATCTTGCGCGACATGGTGCGAAGGTGTACATGGCTGCGCGTAATGAACAGCGCGCCACCGCGGCTATCGAGCGGCTGCGCGCTGCAGGGCTGGGCCCCGGAAATGGCGAGGTGATTTGGCTTCCCCTCGACTATAGTGACCCGCGGCTGGCAAAAGCGGCCGCTGAAGAACTCATGGAGAAGGAGGACCGGCTGGATGTCATTGGTATGGGCTCTTCCTAGACCGTCAGTGTGCGTGCACTCACAAAGGCATGCGGCTTATTCGCAGTGAATAGTGCTGCCCTGTGAGTCTCCACGCTCTTCAGCCTACATAGCAACTTGGCCTGAGGCAGCTAAAAAGACTCCTTGTGCCGTACACGAAGACCCATGATGGTCAGCATCCAGTTCACATTCTCCAGCTGTTTCTGTCTGACATGGGTATTTTCAGACATACAAGATGTTGTGATGGTCAAGTCTGTTTTAGAATTTCCATCTTTAAGACACTCAAATCTGATCTTCACTACGCTAAAGCTACTTCAGCCCCGCTGTCTTCATCAAGTCGCTCCTGCCACTCATGAAGAAGACGGCAAGCGAGCCAAACAGCGACGTCCGCATCGTTGAGGTAATCCCGACCTGCCTCTGATACATTCATACTCACCATTGTCCTGATTGTGTCCAGGTGTCTTCTGCAGGTCATGCTATCGTGCCGAGCAACGTCTGTTTCAAAACCCGAGATGACCTCAACCGGGATTGCAAAGATACATTCTTCGACAAGTCCAACCGCTACAGTACGTCCCCCATAGTCGACCTCCATCCATCTTTGTAAACGGATATTTGCATTGATAGACTTGACGAAGTTCATGGGCATGCTGCACGTTAAGGAATTGCAGCGACGTCTCGACGCGGAGGGCGTACCCATCATCGTCATGGGAGTGCACCCCGGGATAGTCAACTCCGGTATGCCCGCATTCCTCCCCTCCACCTTTTGAACCTCATTGCGAGTATGCGCGCCGCATCTAGATGGCGTCCAGGCTTACGCCCACTCCGCCGGGCCCGTGCTCTCGCCTGTGTACACTTTTATTGCGAACATGTTCTTCACGCCGCCCGAAAAGGGCGCGTACAGCACTACGTTCGCCGCGGCGGCGCCTGCGGTGCGCACGGATCCAGAGACGTACCGTGGCGCATATATCGTGCCGCCGGGCAAGGTCGCGCCTGCAGGAAAGCAGGTACAGAATGCTGAGCTAGCGAAGGAACTGTGGGAGACCACTGAGAGGCTCATGGAAGAGATTGGTGTATAGGACGAGAACAGGGCGCGCCATGTGAGTAGGTGCCCAATTGACAATGATACGCGACTTTGGCCTAATTGTAGGATTCCTCTGAACTTGCATCTCATGTTGTTATCAATTTGCTTGCATACTACATGATGTTGTGTATAAATCCTAGGTCAAATATTCTGTATGGTCATCATCGTTACGCAACTATATCAATCGTTTGAGAATCAGCGCAGTCGCAAGGATGGTATGGCGAAGTCGATGGGTCTGAATACCATAATTTGTTCAATTATAATTGGCCATGGTCTTTTGGCAACATGCAAGCTACAGAGGCGCATATTCTATGCTAATTCCAGTCGCAAGTCTTGCATCTTAGTGAGACCAAAATATCGGAAATGTCTACTACCAGTCGCAATTGTTGTAGGACCACCAGACGAGCGTTGTAATAATCATAGCCATACAACAACATGATCCCCGCTCTTTCTTGCAGTTATACACAATGCTTTACAAGCCCCATAAATACAGCGCATGGACACGCTCGCTGAAACCTCAACCGCCCCTTGCTGATTATGACCATCACATTGCAGCAACCATCAAACCGCCGATTTTTCCATCCTCAACTGGCTAGAGACGGACTGTCAAAGGTTAGCCACAGGTAAGCTGGGCAGCCCTTGACTGACTCACGTTTGGCAAATCTGTGACACTATCAAGCTCAGTGGAGCTGTTGATCGTCGCTGAAGGCTCGTCGCCTCCTGCCCTGAATCGCATTGAACTGAACTTTGCTGAGATTTCTGTTTCCGCTCCCCGAGACCGGATCGACCCTCTGCTATTGAGCCTGATAGCGACACCTTTATCATTGCAGTCCGTACGCGACTTCATGAGGAGTCAGACTCACGTTGCGAGGAGTGTGTTCGCATAAGCTTTTATCACGATATTGAGCCGTGGAACCAGTCGAATAACACTGTTTACCGACCTTTTGAGACTAGGATGTTGAATACGAAGAATGCCATATTGTCGGGAGCGACTGAGTACTATCCGAGTGTCAGCGTGCGATTATACGAGCTGTGGACGTATTGCGAACCGCAATCAGATCCCCAAGGGATACTAGTCTGTTCCGATCATTTATAGATAATGTAGTGCACGACATACGCATGACTTACGTTGGGAGCAATCCAGTGGTAATGGTGTAGAGGATGATCAATTGGATCATGGCATCCGATCTGTCCACGAGGGTCAGTAATGCTGATGTTTATATCTCGTTGAATTTTCACTTTGCGAGCCCAGAACGACCTTGGTGTAACTGTACACAGATTGCACCCGCGATCAATATGTCCAGTACAGACGTCATTATATTTCCGGCGTCCGCAAGCGCCTATGACAAGCCATTGGTGAGTGTTAATAAAAACAGCCGCTGCAGCATACACACCTTAAAATCTGGCATATTCAACCAAGTCTCCGCTCCTCCGGATATACTAGGATATGGTTAAGGTGATCTACATAATTCATATCGAATACTCACGTTTTGATGGACGACACTATTCATCGAGATATCAGTAGCCTGACATGCTGATGGGTTAACGAACACACCCATCGCCATTGCTAGTCGCAGAACATGATACGTTCAAAATATGGTTCATGTAGAATATCAAGAGAACATACAGAACGGCGCGATCGCAAAGACAGCCTGTGGAGCAATCGGTTAATCAGTGGTTTCTTAGCAGGAACATGTCCTCTGACCAGAAATATAGCATACAAGCGCCATCTCTTGTTTACTATGCCGCAGTTAAGTTTACCGGCGGTGAGTTAGCGTAAAGACTCTTACACATCGCAATTCTATGAGATAGGAAACTATGATACATGCACTATTAGCACTCGAAACCATAATATATGTGTAGAAATGCTACTCACAAGTGGACGATTAAGGCGACGGCTCCCTAGACGATTTTGAGCATTGCAGACACAAGACAGAAATGATCACGCTTACCGATACGATGGGCTCTGTCTGCATTGGTCGAGATAAGAATATGTCATAGAGAACCTGGATTTATAATGCGTACCGAAAGGCTCCTAAAATGTGCCAAGGTCACCGAGTTGTCGAGAACCTGGTGGGAAGACTTACCAAGACATGTAGGCAAGCGCCAATGGATCCATGTAATCCGAAATGAGATAAACGTAGAGGCCGTGTGCAATCATTGCTAGAGAAAGGGTGTCGAGAATCCTAGTAGAGGAGCTGCCGACGTCGAAAACAATATGTGCAAAACGAAGGCTTACCATAACACAGCGACCTTCAGACTTTTGAATGAGTAAAGCGCCTCGAGAACCCGCTATCGGCTACTCACCAGAAGCTTCAAGAACACTTTGTCTTTAGTATATGTCGAATACTATTCGTGAAGGTACATTCAAAGCTTGTGTGAGGGATATGCAACAGGAACTGACATATGAGATAGTCTGCAATGTAGTAATCCCGTAGAAACTAGAAATACGCCGAGTCGGTCACATTATGAGAACAGAGGATATGAAAGAAGCCGCTCACATAGAACCAAGAAGTATACCAACGAACAAGGCACCCATGGTGGGGTTCAAGTCAATATGGATAAGCGGAAGAGTAGACATGACAGCCGCGTTGGTGAGTGAATGCGGCAGCAGATGCTTGCCAGACTTTTTATATGTACGCCAGGCTGAAGAACTAAAGTTCTGATTGCAATCGTTATTCAGAGCGCGAGGGTGGTATGATGCTGTCGAGAAACTACATAGACATAGCCATGACGAGCTTGTAAGTGTACATGCGCTGCCTGAGTCCTCCATCCTAGATCTCAATGTTGATCAGCTTCACAGGCATCCTATAGCCCAAGTAGACTGACCGAATCATTCGTTGACAGATGATCCGCTAGCTGTCTCACCGTGCTGTGCTATTGCATGCCGTGCATGGGAAGGGCACACTCTGGATAGACATGTGGAACAGGCAAGCACCTTTCCCGACTGCTACATGATGGATATGTGTGGTGCGAATTTCAGATTGAACGCCACCCTTAACCTCCTACGCCTCCCAAAAGCATCTGACAGATGGGATTTACTGCTGAGGCTCAGGGTCGTGCCGGCCCAACTCTGCCACTGGCAGTACTACTTGCTTGATCTGAGAGCGAAAGAGATCTTCTTGAGGGGAAGTATGCGCGCCAGACTGGGGCGGCGCATCAGCAAAACATCGCCGCTCTGAATTCTGTCTGAAACATCTGAATCAGATCATTCAGACGACCCAGGCACCCAGATAGCCGTCTGAAGCAAGGAGGTTCATTTCTGACCCAGACTCACCAGTCTGGATCAAAGCGGTATCAGACGCACTCAGCGGTCACCAGACGGCATTCAGGCACCTTCCAGCTATCGCAGTGTTAAAGTACGTCCGGGACCGAGAACTATCAACGAAGATACATCGCGTTTGTCTGAGCTCTGCCAAACGCGTAAGGAACGTACAGAGCGGCTCGCGCAAAGTCCGCGAGGGACTACAAACAATGCCAAATACGGTGGCATGCGCTCGCCACAATCCCAAGTTCCAACACGCAGACAATAGGTATATGTTCTGTAATGTCAAATACAGACCTCGCGCGCGCGTGTCGAGACTCGATGAATGTGGTACAACTGCAACAGATTGGCGCTGTCAGCGCCACATCTCGCCATCTGCATCAAGATCGAGGCCCGGACTCGGTTTCACACTGAAGGCTTACACCGTCGCAGTGAAGTGACTTATTCGGTGCTCAAGCCACCGTCGAAAGCACTGCGCTGAAGCGCTCAGGCTGATCCCAGATCAATGGCAGCCAGAACCCGGTAAGTTCATTGATTCCTTCAGGGACTACCGTGTGTCGTACTCTAAATACGGCAGACCCTCTACCCTATTATGCAGGCGTCGTTCATTTCTCAACTTCGCTGGTCAGGTACGCTTTGTTGATTCATCCAAAGCTTCTCCTGGCGTCAATGGGCATCTGCCAGCTCACCAGCTTCCTGTTTTCCACTGCCTACCCTCAACCTGTGCCTTGACGGCATCGCTCAGCTCGCCTTCTACTTTGATTTGCAACGTTCTTAAAGGCTCTTGAGAGAGACACGCTTTCCTTGGATACTAGTATCGTGTTTCTCATCAACACAAGGATGTGGTTTCGGTCTTACCCTACGCGATCTGTCAATGAATTGGACGATACTTACGATTATATCATCGTAGGTGAGTATTCTCAGTCGTTCATGAACTGTAGATATACAGGCTACCACCGCGTCTCAGGTGGCGGGACAGCAGGATGTGTGTTAGCCAATCGCCTCAGCCAGGACCCCTCCGTGTCCGTGCTCGTGATCGAACGCGGAGGAGTCAACAATGGGTGGATCACGCGGATCCCCTTCCTCTCCATGCAGTTCGTTTTTGGAGGCTCTTCGACCAGGATTTGGAAATCCTCTCCTCAAAAGCACATGGACGATCGCGTCTTTGAGCTAGCTGGAGGCCACAGTCTTGGAGGGGCCTCGAAAATCAACGTCATGCTTTATACACGCGGTGTCCCCGGGGATTACAACGCTTGGAGTCACGCTGGTAGAGAGGGATGGAGCTACGATGACATGCAGCCATACTTCATACGCTCTGAGACCGACCTTGACCAGGACCCACAAGAGCACCCAGATTTCCACGGCGTGAAAGGTGCGATGTACTTGATTTGCTTGCATGTAGCTCGCTTAACGACGTGGAATGTAGGGGAATGGCATAACAGGTCGCATAAGGTGACATTCTGGGGACATACTAATCCGTGAGTCTTCCTGCGTGCAGACATGATGCGGTGCACCGACATAACGGTCTTAGGATCATCAAAGCCTCGGAAGCACTAGGGATACCCTACGTTAAAGATCTCAATTCACCCCTTCACCCCACTTACGGCTGCGCGAAGATGCACTTCGCCGTCGACGCCAAAGGCTACCGCTCGTCTACTCTGGAAGCCTTCCTTCCAAAATGCCTGGCTATTGAGCGTATGCGACACTTACACGTGTGTACAAACGCCGCCGTGACCAAGATTTGTATGGAGAACGACGAGAAAGACACGCCTACGGCAAGAGGGGTGTATGTGCGATCCACTAAGTCAAAAGATCCACGCCCGCGCCTGGTGCGTGCCCGCAAGGAGGTGATACTCTCTGCAGGTCCAATTGGCTCCCCGCAAGTTCTTATGCTCAGGTATCTGCTCTGGTTCATCTCGCGACTCTAGTGCTCTGACATATCGGTAGCGGCATCGGCCCTGAGGACCACTTGAAAGAATATGGGATACCGGTGTTGAAGGATCTCACCAGCGTTGGCACACATCTTGTGAGCACAATTTGGCTCTCTAGCCGCTGTAACCATAACCATCCCTCATGCTACCTGCAGCAAGACCACATCGGCATTGCGCTGCAATACCGTGTACCCCTCAAGGACTCGCTGGCGAAGCTACAGCTGCAACCTTGGATCATATTGAAAGAACTGATGCTTTACCTTCTCTTCGGGATGGGGCTCTTCCTTGCACCGTTTCTCGAGCTCTCGATCTTTCTCCAGACGCGGCTTTTCGATTCCGAATACAAGACCGTTGCGCCGACCCCCGAAGATAAGGACGCCGCCCTGCCCATGAACGTGCCCGACATCGAAGTCATGCCGGTAAGCATAGACACTCCCAGAGGAGGCTCAACGTGCTCATCGGATATTGACAGATTGCATGGAGCGACGCGGCTGTGTCAAAATCATCCACGCGTGACGGCGGCCTCGGCTTCCTCGTCGTCATCCTCCGCCCGACGTCGACAGGGACTGTGCGCCTCGCTTCTCGCGACCCGCTTGCTGATCCTGACGTCGACCCAAACTGGTACGCGACGGGGCACGACCGCGCCGTCATGCGGAAGGGCGTGCGGTTCACGCTGCGTCTGCACGAACAGCTCGTCGCGCAGGACTATCCTGCGCATCCATACCTCGCGCCCGCAAGCGAGTCCGACGAGGACATCGACGCGTTCGTGCGCGCGTACAGTCAGACGACGTACCACTACTCGTCGACGTGCCGCATGGCGCCCGAGGTGCCCGGCTCGCCGATGGGCGGGGTTGTCGACGACCGTCTGCGTGTGCACGGCGTGCGTGGACTCCGTGTTGCAGATTCGAGCGTGTTTCCGCATATTCTGAGCACGCATCTGGCTGCGGCGACGGTTGCTGTCGCGGAGAAATGCTCAGACATGGTGAAAGAGGATAATTCCTGAGTCACCATGCCACTCTCCTACGTGTCCAGTACGATCCAGATGATTGCTAGAAACATACGTACAATGACATGTGTGTCTCCCTCCGCATATCGCCAATTATCTAGCTTTGAATCAAGGATCCAGACTGTGTGTAGTCCAAATGAGAACGACATACTACACCATGCGGGGGGGGGGGGGGCTCATAAGCGCGAACATCCCGGTCTACCGCATGGGTTGTAAATTATACGGTGATTTATGCGTCATATCGATCTTGTGTAAGGCTTGAACAAGCAGGCTATGTCCATGCCCTCTTCGCTTACCCCTGTTCTGTAACGCGGCACCGATAATGAATGTGTGGTGTACTGAAGATTTACTCCACGTATTACATTTAGAATGACATCTCTATTATTCCAGTGTGGATGGTGCCAAATTCCGATAAGAACTCTCTGCTGAGGTTTGTTTGAGACCCGAGGCAACAGGGTATATCGTATTTGTCTGAGCTCTGTCAGATGCACTCTTTACAGTAAACTTGGTGGTGTAGTACTGACTTATGCTCACTGCAGACCGCGATGTCTATGTATCTGACCCGAAGGCGCCGCTGCACACGATGCGCTCTGTGGACGATCCATTGTCAGCTGTATTTGAATGAAAGCATCGGCATTCGTAGTCATGGGATGCACCACGGAAAGTCTGCGGCGTGGATAGACCTGCAGGCTGCGTCCGAGTGACCGAGTCTCTGAGACGCTGTGGAGGCGCAGGACATTCGGCAAAGAGAAACACTGCCACCTGAAACACAAATTGCAAATGACTGCATGCGGTAACAATCAATGTATCCAATCATAAGCGGTTGATGGACTCGCATGACAAAGATGCGTACATGCGGTGCCTCATAGCTTTGCGTGCTAACCAGTGCAGAATCGGGAGCTCGCCGCTCGAAACCTCCATAAAACATGCGTTGTAAATGCTATGCCATCGAAGCCCAAAAGCCTGAGCGCTGATGGATCTGGCGCCCATAATCGTTTCACGTTCATGAATGCGTGGAGTTTCCGCTACCGACGCTATTGGCGAGCTCATAGCTGGCATGGCTAAACTTGTATATATACAACAATCTACCCACCTATCGCATTTTCCGAGCCAAGTTAGTCCCCTTGTGGCTACCTCACGATATGACGGCGCCGATCCCTCTTCTGTGAGTGCATGTGACCTACGCGTTCCAACATACGGACGTTGATCCCGTCGATACGCAGCGCAGGACCTTCAGTGAGCACTCAATCATTTCGGCTTCGTGCGATGGTGTCTGAACGACAGGCCTGATACCAGCTCCTGGCGATATGTCTGAATTGGGCATTACTAGGGACATTGAACATGCAGGCATGTGAGTAGCGTTGGTTGAACCCCGATTCTAGGTCTCTCATCGTTGTCTTTCATCAGACAATTATCATGAGAGTTTCCCTTCGGATCCTTTGCACCTCAAATTATTAGGTAGAACTTTTCCTGCGTAGGTGTGGCCATCTTGATTAATTGCAGAACCAATGGGCTTAGTATGCGGTGTCCTTGTGCATGAGTGGATTCAGACTGCGCTCTCCACTATAAGCGCAATGGACAAGTTCGTGTACGATTATGGAGACTCCTCTTCTCTGGGCCAATTTCACGCCGGGTGGTTCTCGGTAACGATCATGACTGGCATGATTTCAATGGTCGTGCAAACCTTTTTCGCTTGGCGGATATGCAAGCTATCTACGTCTCGGCTCTGGGGAGGCTGCATTGTTTTGGTAAGATATCACAATGCGACTTGAACCGTATACTCATTACCGGACACATAGCTAGCCGCCGTTCAGTGTGTCGCTGCCTTTGTGTGCGGAGCTATGGTGGGCTCCTGATCGTTTTCGACATAGGCTTTCCAATTACTAATGGGAGATGTCAGCAACGTTTCACCGAATTTGCATACGCCATCCAGGGAAAGTTGTTGATCGTCTCTGCCGTAGGTCTTTGTGTAATTGTGATGACTGTGATTATTGAAGCGCCACAGGTCTGGCTCACAGGAAGCCTCATAGTGGATATTGTGATCGCGATATCGATGTCTATCCTAGTGTGTGGTATAATGTGTTGATATGAGTCGTCACTGACTGAAGACCGACACTTGTAGCTCCTCCGAAGCAGAACTGGTGTTCCGCGGACGGATGCCCTGATTAACTGGGTAGTATGTCTTGTCGTGGAAACTGGAATGTTGACAGGTGCGGATGCGGATGCGGACATGACTTGGTTTCGAGATGCTAATACGTCTCCGTCAGCAAGTATGGCGGTCCTTGTTTTGATTCTCGCGGAGGTACATCCTGTACGTACCGCTGTGATGTACACCGTGAGGTAATCCCTTAATAAACGTAACAGCTACGCCAAACAACCATCTATGAGACAATGTAAGTCCATTTGAAATGTGCTGAGGATATCCTTCCATTCTCAAACATGCTGCAGCGTCCAAAATCTGACTAAGTTGTGAGTCGTGCTTCTATGATATATACGATCCTTCATCAAGCCTTTCACGACTCTCAGCTACGCCGTCACGTTCTTGACAAATATCAACAGTCGGGCACGTTTCAGAAAGCACATGGAAGATAATCTCGTAGTGGAACTCTTTCCTATGAGCTTCAAATGCGCTACTACACCAGCCAATGAGCCCAGCTTGGAGACTCTGCGCTACACGGAGGAAGATCTAGCTGTCGCTACCTCACTAGGACAGGTATGTTGTTGGTTGCGTGGTTCTAAGTTCGCACGAACGGCGAATAACGTGTGGCGCACAGCGCCAAAGGAGAAACACAATAGTGTAGAAACATGCATTAACTGGTGAGTCATACTATCCTATTCAACCTTAGTAGTTTAAGCTCAATGATTGAAGTGCCAGATCTGTGGCAGAAGTTGACGACCACGGAAATACTTGTATCAGATGCCTGCGAGGAGTCACAGACCAGGGCTTGGGAAGGTCGAGTGTGATTCCTGGCATGGCCGCTACTAGGGAGGGTTCGAGACGACAAACTCTCATCATACACATATATCATTACTGCAATATGTATATTATAGAATTAATGCACGAGGAGAACTGGGAAGTCAGGATTCCCAAGCACGCGACGGCCCCACGAGTCAGACCCGAATCGTGCTCGGACTAAGGCGCAGAAGAACCTCACCAGTGGCGACAATCACTGGCAGCTCAACTCGGCTTGCGGTCATAGGCCCTGCCAGCGGCAGTATGAGCCCCATCCGAAAGGTCTTTGCTGTAGTTCTTTCACATAGGCCGATGAATTGAAGTATGCTCGTGCTACAATGAAGCCACTCGCGATGTTTGCTGGCTTGCATTCTGCTGTCATTCGTTAGTAGTACACCATTGTGTCTCTCGTGTCTCTCGCCTTCGAAGCTCACCGGACGACTCGTGTTCAGTGCATTATCATCATCGTCCACTCACTTTGTCCCAGGACATATCCCTTGACGGCACTGACGTAGTCAGTGGCACCAGTGGGCGAAGTTATATAGCGGCAGTGGGTTGTGGATTGCACCATATCCGCACACCTCCCCGCTCGAACGCCGCCTATTTCGACATGTCTCCACCTACCTGCCTCTGTGAACCGAATAGCCGTGCACTTCTGATCTACATTTACCCAAACGCTGTCTGTCCTCGCCGCCGAACCGCAGGCCGCCAGCAGAACCACATAGGTACCTGCGCGTGACCTGTGGCAAGGGATAGCGACGCCCTACAAGAGCGATGTTGTCGTCAAACGCTCTGGCCGCGGGACGCTCACCGAACGACGTCTTAGCGAACATAAAGCACGTATGGCCAAGCCTTGTGTCGCATGCCGCCGTGTTGTCTACACACCTGCTCTCCCGACTGCGAAGCGATCTGACCAGGCGGGTGTCGGTGGCTTGGCGCCCCGCCCACGAGCTCACCGCACTCGAATTCAACGGTGCAGCACCAAGCATTGCCACTGACTCTGTGGCAAGTACACACCCTCATACTTTGAGTACGTCCTGGTCCGCCTTGCATTAGATTGGCGCACAGTGCTAAAATCCTCACCACGTACGATTAGCTCTGAAGGTGTGTCAGCGATTGACGGCGTCACCTTGGCCGGCGACACCGAGCGCAGCTGCAACGCCTGCGGCTGCCCACAATATGCGTATGCTGCCACACTGCGTCGGGTCGACGATCCAGCTGATGTGGCCGCACTGCAGACTGACGCACCACATCGTCTTGCTAGTCTTCCGAAGCTGGACGAGGCGGCATCTCATCCCAGCACCACTAGCATCACTGCATGGGCGCAAGATGGTATAGGCGCGTGAATTGTCAGCGCTGGCCAGAGGGCGACGAAGGCGGGTGCACCTCATCGCCTAGAGCCACTCCAACAAGCGCAGTCTAGGCAAGACATCGGGAAGGATGAATGGAGAGGGTATTCATCCGCGGTCGTGGTCAACTGATGGGCAGCGAGAGGTGGCGGGATCGACGCGACCAGCCAGCCAGCGTCCAAGGACTATCAAGAGGGAGAGAAGACCTCGAACCCTCAAAATCCTCGAACTATATGCAGGAGGCCATACCACGATCGCGATGTTCCACCGGATGCAAAGCCAGCTTACCACAATTGTCCACATTGTGACTGATCGGACGTTTTCGCCGGACGGTGTATACGGTTATGCACCGTTATTCCGCTGCTATGCCATCCAGAATCTCAAACCCCTCGTTCTCGAAGATGTGCAAGACGGCAGAGAGCGAGAGAACCGGGTCTCGAAATCCATGCTACTCTCCAGCGCGTCTTTCTCCATGGCGTTATGCGGATGAGACGAGCATAGCGCAGTCGGTGGCACATCGACCAAACGCAGCCACGAACCATGCATCCAAAAGGGGATGAGAGGCGCGGGTCCTTACAACGCACCGTGTCCGGATGCTGCGGGATCCATGTATCGCGCCCGCCGCCTCGAATCCCCGAGTTTAAACAGCTGTAGCGACCCGGTGGCCGTGTTCACGCAGTCCGCAGGCGCTGAAATACGGAAGAGATGGGTGTCAGATGGGCCGAAGAAGAGTGGCTCACTCTGGCGGTCTTCTTCCGGCAGACAAGCTTCCTGCGGACCAATGTCAAAGCAGTGGTCTCCGAGACCAGGAGGAGCTGACCAAACTTCTCAACGCACATTAGCACAAGAATACAGACGTCTCGTCACAAAAGGAGACGCATTACGTATGCACAATACCTTGTTCACATTAAACCACGAATAACATAATAGAACCGTCCTTTATGGAGATATGCACATGCAAGTGTTTCTCGCCACTGTTATATTGTAGTCACTTCGCGGTCACGACACATTACGCGCAGAAAGATACTAGGCATTGCGAAAAGAGCAGACAGAGGATGAGAAAGCCGTAACGTAGCGTAAAGAGTGCATCTACATTGAAATTCATTATTCCTTCTTCCGTCGTCCCAACGCTTAGAAGCACTCTGTGGGAAACGCATGAGAGACGAGTGATGGAAAAACGATGGACGGAATACGCACTGCGGTGGACAATGCCAGGGCCAGACTCGTCGTACTCCTGCTTCGAGCACCAGAGGTTCTGGAAGGTGGACAGCGAAGCCAGGATGGAGCCACCGATCCAGACCGAGTACTTCCGCTCCGGGGGCGCAACAATCTTGACCTGTGGGGCCCATCAGATCAGATCAAACCAGATCAGATTCAGCGGTGACTCGACTTGCCTTCATGCTCGACGGCGCGAGCGCGGTCAGCTCCTTCTGCATACGGTCCGCAATACCCGGGAACATGGTGGTACCACCGGAGAGGACAATGTTACCGTACAGATCACGACGGATATCGAGATCACACTTGTAGATGGAGTTGTAGCTGTAGAGTGCATGTCAACCCTTGAACGGCGGACTGCGGGCGGTGCAAACGTACGCAGTCTCGTGGATACCCGCAGCTTCAAGGCCGAGGAATGCGGGCTGGAAGAGCGCCTCCGGAGCACGGAATCTGATCAGACGTCATCATGAGCGGGTACCCCACAATGCAGAAATGACAGATGCGAACCGCTCGTTTCCGATGGTGATGACCTGACCGTCGGGCAGCTCGTAGCTCTTCTCGAGGGCAGACGAGTGCGCGGCAGTCTGGAGCTCCTGCTCGAAGTCGAGCGCGACATAGCACAGCTTCTCCTTGATGTCACGGACGATTTCACGCTCGGCAGTCGTGTGGAATTGGTACCCACGCTCCGTCAAGTTCTTGATGAGGAACTCCGTGAGGTCGCGACCGGCAAGATCGATACGGAGGATGGCGTGCGGGAGCGAGAAACCCTCGTAGATGGGCACCGTGTGTGTGACACCGTCACCGGAGTCGAGCACAATACCAGTCGTACGACCAGACGCGTAGAGCGAGAGCACGGCCTGAATCGCGACGTAGAACGCGGGAGCGTTGAAGGTCTCAAACATGATCTGCGTCATCTTTTCACGGTTCGCCTTGGGGTTGAGCGGCGCCTCCGTGAGCAGGACGGGGTGCTCCTCTGGCGCGACACGGAGCTCGTTGTAGAACGTGTGGTGCCAAATCTTCTCCATGTCGTCCCAGTTGGTGACAATACCGTGCTCGATGGGGTATTTGAGCGTGAGGACACCACGCTTCGACTGGGCCTCATCACTAGCCCCTATGTTAGGTGGACAAGGCGAGCAGGAAACGATCGGCGTACCCAACGTATGAGTCCTTCTGACCCATACCGACCATCACACCTTGGTGACGGGGACGGCCGACAATGGACCTATGACGCGCCGATCAGTGCCAGCGTGCATGGGTCAGAAACATGGGACGTACGGGAACACGGCACGAGGGGCATCATCGCCTGCAGGTTGTGTTCAGTACGGTACGGATATATGGCTATTACCACTGGTGTAACGCACCGGCAACTGCAGATGCGAGAGTCAGCTACGCGACACGGACAGCACAGAGTAGGGACTTACAGCCAGCCTTGCACATGCCGGAACCATTGTCAATGACCTATGCAGATTACGACTGCGATGAGGACTGGATCACGGCTAGAAGTAGTAGGTGGTACGCACGAGAGCAGCTACCTCATCCTCCATTTTGGCTAGTTGGTGCGATTAAGATAAGAAAGTGGTTGTGAGGAGACGCTGTTCGGGCGCGAAATATATATGCGGCGCGGGCGTTAGAGGAGGCGATGAGAGAGATGGTGAGCGCTGCGGACTGCGAACGACAGCACTCAATAGACTGACCTGTACGACGTGGAATCTGGTCAAGAGGCGATGCGGTGTTACTCCTCAATGCCTTATCCGATCAACTTCAGGGCAGGCCATGGTAACCCCGCCTATTTCCTTATTTAGACCCTTGTCTTGGCCGCAGACGGTGCTGACGCTGCTCTGGCGCGGTTCCTGCGCCCACAGTACAGGGTCTGACAAGCTGCGCGGGTGTGTCCATGCTCGCCATCGCCCAGCACAGCAGCGACGCCCGGCATATCCAGTCGGCCTACCCGTTTAGGCATGGTCACGTGCAGCGTGCGTCCATACTCCCGACGCGTCAGCGTGAAGTCGCGTCGACCATACACGACCACCGCTCCCCACCATGCCGCTCGAAGCTACCCTGTTGATCATTGATAATTCCGAGTACATGCGCAATGGCGACTACACTCCCTCCCGTCTCGATGCACAGGCCGACGCCGTCAACACCATCTTCCAGGCCAAGATCGACTCCAACCCCGAGAACACGGCCGGCGTCCTGACCATGGCGGGCAAGGGGTATGTCGTGCGTTCACGCCGCTGCGTCCCTTTTGCGTGCTCATAGACGCTGCGCGGCAGCCCAGAGGTGCTCGTCACCCACTCCAAGGACCTCGGCCAGATCCTGCAAGCACTACACGCGACCCAGGACAAGATCGCCGGCGTCGCAGACATTCCCACCGCGATCAACGTCGCGACCCTCGCCCTCAAGCACCGGCAAAATAAGAACCTGCGGCAGCGCATCATCCTTTTTCTCGGCTCCCCGCTTGAGGGGCAGGGCGCGGACGAAAAGGCCATGGTCCGCCTGGCCAAGAAGCTCAAGAAGAACAACGTCGCCGTAGACGTTATTACATTCGGCGATGGCATCGAGGAAGGCGAGCGGAGTATCCTGAGGACATTCGTCAAGGAGACGTCGAGCAATGATAACTCGTGAGCGGCTGGCTGTGCTGTGTGTTGGAGATGCTAATGCGCGGGCCCCTGCAGACACTATCTAGCAGTACCACCAGGCCCACATCTACTGTCGGACGTGGTCCTCTCCTCATCAATACTGGCGGGAGACCGTGGTATCCCAGAAGAGGCCATGGGCGAAGCGGCCTCCGGTTCCGCCGCAGGTGCTGCGAACGACTTTGCGTTCGGTGTCGACCCAAGCTTGGATCCCGAGCTGGCACTGGTGAGCACCCACTATCCATTGCGCAGGCGTTCTTGCTGACTAGACTACGTGATCACAGGCACTGCGCATGTCCATGGAGGAGGAGCAGGCCCGCCAAGCCGCAGTCGCACAAGCGCAGACGTCCGCCACACCAGCCGCCGCACCTGCAGCGACAGTGCCCGCCGAGTCGCCGGACGATGAGGAGGAGGCGATGTTGAAGCAGGCGCTGGCGATGTCGGAGGGGCACGACGTGGAGATGTCGGAGCACGGGGGCAACGAAGACGAGTTGTCGGAGGAGGAGCAGATTGCGCGGGCGATCGAGATGAGCATGAAGCAGGAGCAAGAGCAAGAGAAGAAGTAGCGCGAGGGAGACGTGGTTTTGCTGTTGCTACGCTATCCATTTTTGCATCGTACTACATGAAATGCGTTTCGCCTCGGACACTCTGTAACACTTGGTTCCATTAATATCAATGCGCACGATGGATTGGGCGGAAGCTCTGTGTTGGCACTTGTCCTCTGAAAGCACGCCGGGAATTTCCGTACCGATCACTGTGCGTTGCAGCGAACTCGCTCACTGCACACCACCCTGCACTCAGACATGACATCCTCGACGACCGCTTCGCAAGAAGAGCTCAAGCAGGCCAAGATCCCGCTGGCGTGGCGCGACCAGTGCTCTGCGTGCGTACTCGACTCGAATACTATTGAAGGTTGTCCAACGTACTCTGTTGATGCAGCATGCTCCTCCCGTTGAATGTGTGCCGGAAAGACAAATACTACCTCCCATGGGAGTGCGAGAACGAGCGGCATGCGTATGAGAAGTGAGTCCTGGGTGAACTCGCTGGGCGCTCTGTTGCTCACGGCGTAATGACATTACCAGGTGCCAGTACGAGGAGTGAGTGCATGTACTGCTCTGTGGTTCGCCAGCTACTGACAGAATTGTCGTCAGCTACGTACGGCGGATGAAGCTCCTGTCGAAACAGAAGGTTGCTGCCCTAGAGGAGGAGGAATGATCGCTTTCATGTCTACCACGTCGTTGTGCTAATTCAGTCGGGCGCTGCTCATCCACGGACATCCAACCAAGGCCGGTATTGCGAATCAAGTATGAGTTGGGTGGGATACATGCGTGCATTATATGACGATACAGTATGGCTCTGCCGCAGCATCCGTTGTACTACACCTTCCGCCCCGTGTGCGCCTCCCACGCGGCAATCTCCTTCTGCACGCGCGCAACGACGTCCTCCACAGTGCTCGCCTTGCCGAACGCGTCGACGAAGCGCCCCGCGGGGTCCATGAAGTAGAAGAAGATCGAGTGGTCCACGAGGTAGTCGTCGTCCGCCTTGGCGTCCGGCGGCGTCGAGAAGTACACGCGATACGCCTTGCACGTCGCCTTGACCGCGCCGTATTCGCCCGTGAGCCCGACCAGCCGCGGGTGGAAGTCGGCGACGTAGCGCGCGACCTGGGCGACCGAGTCGCGCGCGGGGTCGACGGAGATGAATATGGGCTGCACGATGGGGCCGTGCTGCTTGTCTGTGCCGAGGTGTGAGATAGCTGAGAGCAGGGAGAGACGGCGAGGGAGTGCGCTCACCGAGCTCGTCAACCGCTGCGCTCATTTTGTCCAGCTCTTCTGGGCAGATGTCCGGGCAGTTTGTGAAGCCGAAGTAGATGAGGCTCCATTTGCCGAGGAGGTCCTTCTCGGTGAAGGGCGTGTTTTTGTGTGTGGTCAGCGTGAAGGGGCCACCGACGTTTGGTCTACCGACTTCCTTGTCCTCGAGCTCCTTCTCTGGAGGATCATGAGTATAAAGTAGCGTACGGTGGAGGGTACGGTGCACGCACGCCGCTGTTCCTGGAGCTTGGTCTTCTCGTAGCGGAAATAAAAGAACAAGCCAAGGCCGGTTCCGACAAAGAGAGCTGCTGCTTTGGGAGTAAAGACCTGCGGCGGCATACAAGCAAGTGAGGCTCCTGTTCGAGCTAAAGGTGTGCATAGGTGCTCACTCCCACTGCGGACCTATCTCGCTCTCCTGTCGAGGTTTGGTGACTTGGTTGAGAGTAGCATCTCGTCTGCCGCAGTGGTCGTTGGAAGGAGACACGAAACGGAGATGCAGAGCGAGCGCAAAGCCTTGATGCTGCACAAGACCGACAGGCTCCAGTCATTAGAGACATAGCGTCTTGCCGCAAGCAATTATGCCACCGAGTGTATTGTCAGAAGCTTCCTAGTGTCCGATGGCCAGACGTTCTCGGTCTAGTCTGTACGCCTCCACAATGTTTCCTACCTCACAAACTCGGTGCGACCAGAGTTCCAAGGCGTACTTAGCGCCCATAATCAAAATGACTGAGTTACGAGTTCCAGCTCTGCAGATGCAGCTGTCCGTGCGGTAAATCCGCTTGTTCTCTCACTATGTCGACTTTGAAGCGACTCGATTGGCAAAGTAGAGAAATAGAACATGTAAAGATGGTACACGGGAGCCACGGGCCCCATTTTACCAGCACCGGCGTGCTAGCAGCGCTGCAAGAATACAAACCATTGGTGGTCTCCAGATTAGAAGCCCCTGCCTCGTCCCCGTCCTCTGCCTCGCCCGCGTGCCCGGTCGCCTCCCCTTGCGCCGCGCCCGCGACCCCGCGCATCGTCCTTTTTCCTGTTCTTAGGCTTCGGTGCGTCGTCGACGAGGAGGGTGTCTAGGGGTATGGCATCTGGTAGGACGAAGTAGCGGATGGTGTTGCCGCGGATTGTCAGGGTCTCGTGAGCCATGGGTTCCCGATTGCGCGCGGTCAGCTTCACGGTCTTCAAGTGGGTGTTCATTTGCATGTCGACGCCTGAGGAGGGATGGTGAGATCTGCGCTCCATCGCTCGAGCACACAGCACGCACCTGTGATCGTCCCATGCACGACGGAGCCGTTCTTGAGCTCGATTGTCACCGTCTCATTGTTCAGTTTCATCAAAAATCTAGGGGGGAAGAGGGATATTAGGATCGGTATAACTGACCGAGTGTACAAGGTGAACGGGGCCTCGTGCACAAAAAAGACTGCGGTCTTGCGCGGAAACTTGTAGACAATTAAACAAATGCAGCTTACACACCTTACGAGCTTCATGATGGCGATATGCAGGACGACGCACCTGAAGGACGACTTGAGGCGGCATCTGAGCGCCAGTGATCTTGGAGGAGATGGGCACGTGATGAACGCAATCAGAGGCGGGATAAGCCGGGAGATGGGATAAAATGGCAACAAATATTAATTGGCGTAGCGAGGACAGGCCGTGCCGGTCTCGTACGTCCCCTTCTCCCCATCCTCAGCCCACCCTGGCTCCCCTCCTCCCGCTCAACAGCGGCCACCTCTGAAGCCGTAAGGCTCAAAACATCCTTGGCAACACACCATGCTGCCCAAGGTTGCCAACCAGCTCCTACACCACACCACGCGTGCAGTCGCGGCCGTCCAGAACCAGACTGGTCACACTATCCGTAATGTCCTCCAACTCCAGTCGTCCTCAGGACCGTCCTCGTCCAACTCGGGACGCAGCGGAGGCGGGACAGGTTCTGGTGGTGCCAAGTATCATACCGGCAGTCGTTCATATCATGGTTACAATGTGAGCGCCTCGTTAAACAGTCACAATAGTTTTATAACTTTTTTCATGCAGGGCGCAGGTCGAGCCGTCACGCAGGTCGAGTCTCTCACGTCGAATGATGTAGGCCAAGGCCGCAACGACGACTCAGACGAGTCAAAGACCGCTAGGGCCGGTTTTTCCGCTAGACGCAAGAGCATTTCTTTGGGTATCCAGGACCGCAAGAAGCACAACTCTAGCGTCTTCAAGGTGGTCCAAACTCATGCCCTCACGCGTCGCGCGTTCAACGACCGACACAAGGGGGAGCCAGCCAGCGGTACCTCTGTTCTGTCGTCTACTGGAGCGGTGTCGTCCTTGCAAGTCGCACCCACTCGGCCTGCGCTTGTCCGCCATGAATCGACCAATTCTACTCAGCTAGCGGTAGGTGAATCCCCGGACGCGCTCATCATGACTATTCCCCATCTTTCCACCACGGCTAAATCACTCCCGGAGGACTCACCGGAAGCTCGACTTGCGCAGGAGCCCGTATCGCCCGCCGAATCTGCGGACACCGAGTACGAGCTTGAGGCATACAATGCAATCAATTCGGCCGTACGATCTGGTGATGCGGTTGCGCTCTTAGACGTATTGCGCAAAATACGCTCTAGCCCCCGGACTCCCTCTCCATCGTTGTACAACAGTGTCTTGTCTGCGCTGTACAGGGTTCGTCAGCCTGGCGAGCCACTCCAGAACATCTTGCAGATCTACAACGAGATGCTCGCGCGGTCTGTGCTACCAAACTTTCGGACGTACACGACATTGATCCGTGCACTGACTGAGCGCGACGCTGAGATTACCTCCATTGTTGAGGGCATCCAGCTGCGCATGCGGAAGCGAACGGCATTCGGTATTGTGGACAAGGACGCTCAGGAGGCCGATGAACGGCGTATCGAGGCTCTTCGTTCCGAAAACAATTTCCGCTCAGCAATGACACTGTTCCAGTCGGTATGCGCGATTCCAAAGTCGAAGATAGCCAGTGATATCTATGGCATGTTATTACGGTCGTGCGCGCAGCACGCGAACGTCGACGCGGCAATCCACGTTTTCGCGCATAACGAACGCCGGTCGGACTTGCACCCTACCGCGGTGGTCTATCAGCACCTAATCAGGGTATACTCGAGCACCGGTGATTTGCAGGGCGCCAGGGAGGTATTCCAAGAGTTCCTGAATGCATGCGAGTCCGGACGGTTGTGGTCGGGTGACGAGACATCGTCGCAGGAGCAGTCGGCGCGCATGGAGAACCGGAGCGCAAAGATTCGCGTATGGAATGGGATGATCGACGCATATATCCGTGGTGGGCAGCACCCAGCGGCATTAGCACTCCTCGAGCAGATGTTGGACACGAAGGCGGGCGACGCGCTGGACACTGCGGACATTCCTCCGCCGACCCAGGTTACATTCCACCGCATTATCCAGGCTTTCTGTGCTACCGGCGATGTTTCCACAGCCCTGTCATGGTTTAACCGGTTATTGCAGCAGGATGCCAGACCAAGCGAGGAGCCGTCGGTTACTCCCACCCGCCCCATCTACAGCATCTACGTTGCCCTTCTGGACGCGTTAGCCTTTGATAGACGCATCGATGATCTTAATAAGGTGTACGCTGGTCTCGTGGAATGCGCCGAACGCGACGGTCTGGAGATACGGGAGATGCAGCGTCTTACGGTCCTCCATGCAAACTACCATTATCTGTACACGCAAACTGGACTCGAGCCTTCCCGCGTCACGTCCATTGTAGATTTCCTGGCAGACACCGTTTTGGGACACCACGTCAAGGCTCTGCGTTATACGCTCTATAAACGCGAGGAAGATACTACTGTACGGCCCAACAGCTATCGGATTGCTCAATTTTACATCGCAGCTGGTCGTCTTGACAAGGCTGTTGACTACGTCGAACGGTATGTCGCTATCGAACAACAGGCCATGGAGTCGGAGGAGAATGCTGGACAGGCCAACTTAGCTATCGCGCGCTCCCGGTACTTGGTCAGGCACCTCATGCCCTTGTTTGCTGAAATTCCTGCGGCAGAACTCTCACTCGATCTGCTGTTCAGGCTCGGGCGGGTGAGCAATCGGTTGGGTGTTCCGATACCACAGGCTATGGCTTTGCGTACTGTGGAAATCTATCGTGCGTCTAAGGACATGGCTGCTGCTGTCTCAGCGCAAGCTGACTGGGATGCGCTGGTCACGATTGCCATGGCTGCTGACAAGCAGTTGGATATCGCGGTTGACATTTTGTGTGACATGGCTCAACAAGGAATGAAGTTTGGCGACATCCACCGTCCGGTCCTGGTTCAGCTCGCACAGAATATCATCGACAGACGCGGTCCTGAGGATGCCAAGGTCCTGCTTGCCAGTATCGCCCCCGAGTTGGTGGAGGTTTTGGATGGTCTCGGTATCACGACAGCTTCGGTAAACGTCGCAACAAAACCAGTCCGAATCGACCCCGCTCATAGCGCATATGTGGACGCCTACGCCAGCAACAGCAACAAAACAACGCATTTGGCAGCGTATGATCGCCTCGAGGCCGGTGCAGCAGAGGGCGTATATCCGGAACCAGATGTCATTGCTCGTCTGATCAGCACGATCGGCCGACTTGGTCACTTCGACAAGATGCACAAGCTATATCAGACGGCGCAGCGTGTTCTGGCCTCCATGGAGCTGGACAAGGAACGGCAGTCTGCAGGCTGGTTCCAGGTTGAGGACCACATGATTATCGGTTTGGCGCACGCAGGTAGTATCGACGCCGCGCATGTACACCGTCTGCGTATTCTCGAGAATGGCGGTGTGCCATCAGCGGATGCATACGGCGCCCTCGTCCACCACGTTAAGGACACCACCGACGATGCCCAGAACGCTATGGCTCTCTTCCAAGAAGCGCGCGATCACGGTGTGCAGCCAAACCTGTACTTGTACAACACCATCATCTCAAAGCTCGCAAGGGCCAGGCGCGCCGACGATGCGCTCGCGCTGTTCCAGGAGATGAAGGCGCAGCGCTTGTGGCCATCGTCAGTGACCTATGGTGCTATCATTGCTGCTTGTTGTCGCGTCGGCGACGCTACGTCTGCGGAGCTCTTATTCCAGGAGATGGCCTCGCAGCGTAACTTCAAGCCGCGGATACCGCCGTACAACACTATGATGCAGCTCTACACGCACACCAAGCCGGATCGACCACGTGTTCTTCATTACTACAACGCCATGCTGGCTGCGAGAGTTCAGCCCACTGCGCACACGTACAAGGTTAGTTTGTTATCTTAAGTAAGGCTGATGGCGCATCTAATTCGTGTCGTAGCTGCTCATCGATGCATATGGATCTATCGAGCCGGTAGACGTGGATGCAATGGAAAATATCTTTGTCCATGTCACAAGTGGCCCTCACCCTCTCGTGCAAGGTACACATTGGGCAGCTCTCATAAATGCTTGGGGCTGTGTGAAGAAGGACTTAGAGCGCGCCACTTCGATTTTCGACTCTATCGCCGACCACCCTTCGACGAAGGCGACCGGACAAACTCTTCCGGATGCAGTCGTATTTGAGGCGTTAATCAATGTTCTAATCACCCTTCGCCGCACTGATCTCCTGTCGACATATGTGGACCGTCTGTCATCACAGGGCATCCACATGACCGCATACATAGCCAATCTACTCATCAAGGGCTATGCAAGCGTCGGTGATATCGAGCGCGCACGTGGAGTATTCGAAAATCTGGTCGATCCTCCTGAGGGTATCGCTGCACCTTTCAACCACGCCCCACACGACGGCGATTCCAGCGCTCCCCAGGCACCAGCCCATGTGCCCGTTTACCGTGAGGTATGTCGTTATTGGCAAAGTCAGGTCGTAGAGCATGACTAACAGAGTGCCGTAGCCCTCAACATGGGAGGCCATGGTACGCGCAGAGCTAGGAAACAGTCAGCGCGATCGTGCTGTGGCCCTCCTAGAACGTGCGCAAGCAAGGTACGTGTCGAGCACTGCCTCACGAGCTACTTGATATTCACTGCTTGCCCTTAGAAAATTCCCGCCTGCAGTTTACGGTCGCATCAGCGGAATCATGCTGGGTGACGAGCCTGCATCACCATGGGCTACGCCCTCGCCATCATCATCCCAAGCATGAAAAACCGTCTATCCTGTCCTCTGTCGGAAGATCTGCTGTTGCATCTGCTGTCGATCATTGTATACTTGCACGCTCCCGAACTTGTAGCATACACATGGTAATCCCAGTGCTTATTGTAAATTCCTATTATATAGATGTCGTACGTAGTACATGATATCCCAGGATCCAGTTACGGCAACGAAACTCCCTGACGTAGGTGTGTTAGGCCTACTGTTAATCTATTCGGTCTGCCTTGCGCATGCCGTTGCCATAAGGATAGTCACTGCCCTCTGGATAGTCAAACACCAATCTCTTTAAAACATAGAAAATGACAGCGAGTGTCGTTGTGACAAAAAACACGGTACGCCAAGGGTACGTTGTAACATAGACCTCTGCAGAAGTCAGCTTGCCGTTCAAATACTAGGAAGAAATGTTAGGATGGCGACCCAACAAGAGGAGCGTAAACGTACTCTTGCCATCCGCTCCACTGCGTTCTCTGAGTGCTTGTATGGGATCGTTGCACTCATAGCCCCGGCGATGGTAGAGAATATACTCGTCGACGTCAGCTGGATGGGTTGCCCAAACTGGTCTACGTTGTAGTATACGAGACGCTGCAGCTAATGGTCGGCACGTAACGCAAGCCAGCGATCGAATTCACGTACCGAATGGTTCGCGACGACAACGCTTGGCATGTCCTTCGCTTTGACGCCGTACATGCTCTTCAGCCAGTCGGCCCACTTGTCCGCGTCCATCCAGACGAAGGTGATGCCCGCATCACCCTTACTGTCGCGCCATTGCCTCGCAATCTTCTGTACCGCGCCCGCGGTCACGGCGAGCTGCGCCTTGGGTGCGGCTGCGAGTACGACGAGCGGTTTGTGGGGCGCGTTCATGACTTCTTGGAACGTGTCAGAGTCGAGCTCCATGCTCGCGGGAAGGCGGTTGCGCAGGAACTGGAGGTAAGTATATGCATCAGTCCATGGCTATGACACGCAAGATTGCGAAATTAGGCTCACCCAGTTCACGAGGGCTTCGTGCTGGTTAGTAGACGCAATTGTGTAAACGGCTGCGGGTGCAGGGTCATGGTCCTTTAGAGCGAGGACGACCGAAGAACCCGGCTGTACGCTGAAATAATCATAGAACAGACTGGAGTCGGAGGTATACACTGGTGGAGAACCGAATAGGACTTGCGAGGCCTTCAGTACCTGATTCTACACGAGGTTGAGCATATTTTGCAACAAGTCTGAAGACTCTTACCACCGAACGGGTATCAGACGGGGCGTGCAAGAACAGATACAGCACGGAATGCTCGGCAACACGGTCAGCAAATTCAGCAAACTCCATCGTCTGCACAACACTGCAATAGGGTATATGTATGTGTTAGTGTAGTCATGAGGTAGCCCAGTGATTACTTACGGCCCAGAAACCTTGTCTGCAAACGCCTTCAGCTGGTCGAGCTTGCGGGCGTTAGTATATTCGGTCTTCCCGCCGCCATTGCCAGCGTAGTAAACGAGCTGCGGGAAGCCTGCGACACCTTCGGCATGACACAGCGCATTATGCGCGTCGCAATCCACCTCTGCGATCGTGAGCTTGTGCTGCATCTTCGCCGCGAGCTGCTTCCAGATTGGCGCCAGCTTCTTGCAGTGCCCGCACCTTCACACACAGATCAGATCGCATGAACGAGAATACTGGTGATCACAACATGTACTCACCAGGGGGCGAAGAACTTGACGAATACCTTGCCCTCGTCGACTGCTGCTTTGAATGTCTTGGGGTTCAATGAAAGTACTGCACCATTCGGGTTGAGATCCTTCTCCGGTTGGCCCAAGGGAGCTGGATCCCTGATTTCGGGGGCCGTGTTCACTTGTAGAATGGGTGTGGGTGTCGGGGCCGGTGCGGGCTCGGGCTCAGGTATCGAGGTTGGCTCAGCATATTTAGAAAGGTATGCAGTGAGGAGGTCGTACGCCCGAGACTCCTTGTACGTCTCGACGTACTTCCCGTCCTTATATAGGTTCATTTGAGGGTAGCCGTCGACGCCATGTTGCTTGCAGAGGTCTGGTGTCGGGGATAGTCAACGCACGCGCCGAGGAGAGGAGGAGAGCTGGCTGTACCACCGTCAACGGCGCAATTAACCTGGGCCAGGTGTATACCTGGGTCCGTCTGATTTTGAACATTGTCGACGAGCTGTGTCCACGTTGGCAAGAAGTTGCGACAGTGCCCGCAGTACGGTGAGAAGTGTTCGACGAACCTGTCATCCGGCTTGGGGTTTAGCTCCACGAGGATAGGAACAAGGATTGAATGAATGGATCCATATAATACTTACCACACACCCTTGGCTACGGTCGAATCAAAGTTGTCGGGGTTGAGAACGAGAAGCTCGGTGGACTCGACCGGGAGTGCCGAGACGGTCAGGGCTAGCGCAGCAACGAGCAGCGAAGACGGTAGCTGCATGAAGCATACTGATATCTTCATGCCAAAACAAAAGTGAATAAGTCAAGCAGGATATCGCCAGGACAGAGAGGGAGTTGAGGGGAAAGAGAGGAGGCAGCGCTTGTCTCTCACCGCCACCCATCATGCAGACTTTCCGCTACGATCACTTTCCGCTCGACGTCTCCTGCGTCCACGTTGGCCTTTTTACAAATGTTACCAATGCGGCACAGCTGCGCGCCCGTCTCATACAGGCCAGTCTCATCCAGGGCGAAGCAGGCGACGTCGAGCGCGAAGCCGTCAACTTTGCCTTCGTTGAAGCTCGCCTAGTCAGTCCTCGCTCGCTTGCCCGATTCCGGTTCCCGCTCAGCCAGTCGCATCAAGATATCTAGCATATTGCATCTCCAGACAGCTGTTGTCCACGCAATTTTAGCACAAGCGCAAGGATCATTGCGAACAAAGACCGTGCACTCGGAAATACTATGGGCCCTCAGCCCCAATAACAATGCGAGTGTTTCCCTCCCTGACTATATACGAGTACCTCATCTTCTACTTAGATTACGGAGGCCATAAGGCGCTTTGGTATATCGGACGAAACAACGGCGCTTTTAGCCATTCGAATCTCCTCGCCCGACCTGACCGATGTTGAGGGGCGCATGCGAGCCGTCGTATCTGGAGACCTGTCAAATCTGAATGAACTTCGTCAAGTCACAGATTGGACGAACATTCGAAAGGTAGGCAGAAACTATCACGATATCCCGCCGTGCCCAATGAGCTCTCTTGCAGTACTACAAGCTGAATCAAGATCCGGCACTGAAAACACCAGGCCTGGAGGAAGCCCGGCAGCATGTCATCGCTGACGAGATTGTTGTAAGTACTGTAGCCATGAAGAGTGTCCTTGCATGAGTGGGCGAGAAGCATATAAACATATCCACCAATGTACAGATAGATGTCGATCATAGCCTGTCAAGGTACTGTATTGCTCTAAATTATCCTAATTTCGTGACCTTATCGCAGCAGAGACGAGATAAACAGTATGTTTACACTCAAACGTTATACAGAAATACTCCAATCTACTCATCGGAACTGTGATCCTGCCTGATCATGTCTGCGCACTTCTCCGCAACAGCCACTGTTGCCGCGGCCAAATGTGTGCTCAATATATGCGGGAACACGCTTGAGTCTGCAATACGTAAACCCTGCACACCGTGCACGCGTAGCCGATCGTCGACTACCCCACCCATGGTTGAGCCCTCCACTTCCGGGGCCATGCGGCACGTTGAAGAGTAATGGTACGTCGTTTGCGCCTCGTCCCGCACGAAGCGGTCCATATCCTCGTCGCCCTCGCTTGGCGGGATGAGATGCGGCGCAATGGGGTAACCCTGCGCAGCGGTCTGCTCGCCGAGTCGCAGGCCAAAGCGTAAGCCCTGCCGCAGGACGGCGCGGTCGTGCGTGGAGGAGAGATAGGCTGGGTCGACAAGTGGGTCCGCACGCGGGTCGGAGGACGCGAGGCGGACGGTACCGGTAGATTCTGGCCGCAGAATGACCACGAGGAAGGCGAGACCGCCGTTACGTTTGGCCTTGGCTGTTGCAGCGTCGCTCCAGGCGATCTACAGCGCCGGACGTCAATCAAGTGACCAGGCTGTGCGGAGGACTATTGCAAATATGGCTGAAACTCACCGGCATAATCTCGATGTCTGGAAGGTTCATGGGCAGCGAGGAATCTTCATCGGTGGGCGTGGGTGTCACAGTGCGGAAATTGGAGTCGAAGAGCCGTGTCTGGACGAAGACCGACAACTCGAGAACAGGCCCGAGCAGCAGGCCCATCCCAAAGAACAGCCAGAGGAAGAATTCCTTGATAATGGACCATGGCTGTGCTTGAAGCCTAGCCACTGAGTCATGCAAGGGAACCCGGTACTGGAGGGCGACGCCGAGATGATCTTGCTGCCAAAGGAGATAACAACACTCCCCATCGGAATATGAGGAAAAACCTACCAGGTGCGAACCGACATTAGGGAGGTCTTTCATGACTGGAATGTCATGTTCTTTCAGGTGTTCGGCAGGTCCGACGCCACTGAGCCGATCGTTAACCTACCTATGTATACAGTCAAGTTTAATTCCTCACCTCAGCATGAGCATTTGCGGCGAAATTATTGGACCTGCCGATAAGATCACCTCCCGCCGTGCACGAATGAACCGTGACGGCGAGTGAGCATTGTGTTCTCGGGATTGAATAGTGACACCCTCAGCCTTCAAACCTTTTTCACCACGCTGTATGTCAATCCGAAGCACCACGGTGTTCGTGCAAACGTGCAGATGCCGCTGACGCTGAGTCACGAGGTCGGGAGGCAGGAAGCCTGTCAGTGCGGACGAGCGCCGTCCAGAAGCATCTATGTTGAAATGCATCTTCGCACACCCGTGTGAGGGGTGCAGCGGGGAGTTGAGGTCATCAACATACGGAACGCCAAGAGCTTTCGAGGCCTCAATAATTCTGTCGAGGAGGCTCGTGAGGCTGTCCAGGATGGCCAGCACAGCATCTACTCACGGTGCAGTGTGCCCCCAATAGGCCTTGCCGTACGACCTATTCTTCCATGGCCCTGGTGATGCTCTCAGTCCACCTATGTAATAAGTTTGCTGCTGTCCTTACCAGCAACGCCATGAATACTTTGAGAAGCTTGCGGATCTTGATCCAGGTCCGTCTCTGACTTGATAAAATACGGCTGGATCTCGCCGTAGCTCCAGCCTTCGCGTCCGGCCTGGCTCCATGCGTTGTATTCGCCGGGGAGACCACGCGTGTAGAGCATCGCGTTGATTTTGGACGCGCCGCCGAGAGAGTTCCCACCTGCGATCGGGAAGGACCGTCCGTTGACATGCTCCTGCGGCGTGGAAGTGACTATGCGGGTGCTCGAGCCATCCGAAGCAAAGTGCGAGGACAGGAGAGGGATGCGGCTGAGCCATCCCGCCTTGAGAGACCCGCGCTCAACGAGGAGAACGGAGACGGAGGCGTCCTCGGTGAGGCGACTTGCGAGTACACACCCCGCCGTGCCACCCCCTGGAATCGTGCTGCTGGTCAACTTCGCCAGTAATAGTAGCAGGGGCAAGAAAAGTAGTACATACCTACAATGATATAGTCATATTCGTCTCGTATGTCCTGAACGGACCGCTCGGGATACGAACTGAACCACGGCATGCGTGTCTAGCGTGTAGATTCGCTGCTTGAATGGACTTAGGTCAGTCAAAGCGGGTGCAGCCGGCGAGAGGTTGAGGTGAACACTGCCACAGTATGCACCGCCAATATATACTTGCAGACTATTTCATTGATGGCATCAACAACATAAAGGGGAACGTATACATGATCGGCGGCCTCAAGAGTCCAGCTACTACTTATTCAGGCACGCTAATCAAGGGAGTTCAGCAGTCCCATATATATCTGATAAATACACTGGCCGACGCAAGATATATGAAAGGGTAGACGTAATGAAAGCGGCAAGACATCGAACGCCGGGCCAGTGTCAAGTAAACAACTCAACGCACAATAAGTTATAGTCAAAGGGGTACGGTAGAATGAAGCTACTGTTACACAAAATACACGATCCGCTGTATACACTCAAGTAGACACGGTTGGTAGTACATAAAGGAATGTTAAACACGGACCTGGCCCAGGGCCCGACAGCAGCAAGATAGAAGTAGCAGCAAAAGGAGTGGGGTTCTCGCGAGCAGAACAGCTTGGTCAAGTGGATGTCGGACACGCTCACATTCTCACGGAGTCCTTGCGAATCTGAATCACGTCGGGCAGCGGCTTGTCCTTGATGCTAGAGTACGTCTCGGACTCCAGCGACTTGGGAGACTACGCACGGCTGCGTGAGCGAGCAGAACACTCGCCAGGATTATTTTTCATCACGTACTAGGGACAATTCAATGTCGCCACGTGCCGCGCTCGCCATCGTCGTCGAGCCCGCGAGCCCAGAACTATACTCCATCGGCGCGGTGTTTGCGGTTGCAGTCCATCCGCGGATGGACTGCCTGCTATTAAGACTGAAACCCGTATCAGCCGACACTGTTCCTTGAGTAATCGTCTAGTTCTTACGTAGCGAGGAACGTGTTGGCGTAGGCTGCGAGAACAGCAATGAGTCAGATAGTCATGGACGTCAGGTAATGAGTATACCTTTTGACACGACGATGTTGAACAACTCAAACGTCAAGGTGCTAGGAGAGGCCTTATACTGCGGCAGGCGGCGTAAACAACATCACCCTTCTTCTCTGAGGTCATGGGGCTCACCAGAATGAGGTCCAGAATGCTGATAATGCTGTACGGGCTGGCTTTAGTGGATATGTTTCTAGATCAAGCATATGTTCTTACGTTGGGATGAGGCCAGTGTGGATAGTGTAAATTGTGAGCAGGTGAAGCATCCTGTCCGTGCTATAGAACATAGCATGGTTAGACACCGCATCTACTTGGTGGCCATAGTATCTCACTGAGAGAAGCCTGTGCGGCCGCGGTACAGCTGGTAGCAGATTGTCCCGGCGACGACAAGATCGAGGACCGACGTAGTCACGTCTCCCGCCGTTGCTGCCCACTGGAACGTGCCGTCAGCATCCCTGCCTGCCGAAGCGAGAATTACACATACCCCGAGGGTGAGAAGATCAGACCACATGTGACGCCCCCCCACAACCGTCTTCGTTCCAGCAACTACGATTTGCGCCGTCAGATGCGAACAGAAAAGGTTTGATCACGGCTCACCGACTGACAACGCTGGGAAGATCGCGGGGATCGTCACCATGAAGGTAGCCCACAATCACTGATCATGCACTCACCCAGAGGGAGCAAGGAGAACACAGCCTAAGTCACAGTCATGAGCCAACGTTATCCCGCGCGCAATCGCCGCACTCACGAGGCCCGCGACGTAGAGTGTCCAGTTCTTGTTCACTGTGCATGACATCTCACTTGAGCGATATCGACAGATTGCCGTGATCAGTGGCACTCACGGGTCCAGATGCGGAAAATCAGGAATCTGATGGTGCGTCAGAAATGGCGAAGGGCCAGCGCTTCGTGGTACGTACTCATGGACAACGAATGCTACCAGGCCCTGCAGATGACCCACGGTTCAGCGCGCGCGGGGAGCCACGCAAAGGGTAGTGCTTACCGTCACGATTGGCTCACACTACGCTAGAAATCAGCACATCGATTCAAACCAAAGTGGACCACCACGTACTCCCATACCCCTGCAGAAATATCGTCAGCGGGATGTCGGCAGACGCGATGCGGGACCCACCAGTGGACATAAAGAAGTGCAAGGGGATCCATGAAATCAATGACCAGGTACGTATAGATCGAAATCGTGGTCAGCACGAGAGACAGAGTGTCCAATGCCCTGTAGAGGGTCTGAGGTACTTTCGGTAGTGAGAGAAATATTCTACCGACCACAAGACGGCGACCTAGACATCCAAGAGGGTGAGAAGCAGCAACAAGTGAGAGTCAGACTCTCTACTCACCAAGAGTTTCATGAACCACTTGTCCTTCGGGTAAGTCGCGTACTGTCAAAGTAACGCATCGTCGGTACGCTCTTCGGCGATCAAATGGGTAACAGGATTTACATAGAATATCGTTTGCATGGTAGTAATCCCAAGGAAACTGGATGCAATTATCTCGTCAGTACGTTGGTCAGTTAACGACCGCGGCAACCTACATGGCGCCAAAGAACACCCCGATGAAGACCATCCCGAATGTGGACCTGAGATCAACATGGATGCTGGCGAACGGGTTTGCGCCGCTCGGGATACTGCTGGTAGGCGCAGCCGTCGCCGAGGCGTTTGCTGCAGCGGACTCCATTGTTGTGGCGGGAGGTCTCTCGGGGGTGAAAGGGAAGGAAAAGAAAAGGGCAGCCGGAGGGCTACGTACCGCGGCGGGAACTCTTATGTACTGGGCGGCTGAAGGGCCGCCATCACATAAATGGAAGTGATGAGTACCCCAGTCGATCGTGGTGCTTCACATCCCACAATGTCATGGGCATCGGGGCTCGGGTGGGCGCCCATCACAAATGCTCTGCTCTGCAGCGGCTTCCAGATTCATCCTCAACCCCCGGCCCCATCACGCAATTGGAAGATCATCACAATCTAGGCACGCCCGACATGTCATTGCAATCCACCCGCTGCGCCGGTGAACAAGACCACACCATGCGGGTTTGCGTTACCTGTACGCGGTGTCACCAAAGGGCGCTCTCCGGTCGCCCCGGTGACGGCGTGCTTCGAACGGCCGGATAAACTGCGCGCCACGGTAAGCGGGCACCGTGCAGGAACGTGGCCGTCCAGAAGTCCCCGACGAGGCGCGATCTGCATCGAACAGGCCTGCGGGCGGGTACCTGACCTTGGCTTTGATCATGCGCCCACAGCGGAGGCGACGCATTTGCCTCCGATGGGTTTTATGATAGCGCATCGCCGAGGCCTTCGGAAATACAGTGGCCAACCCGTTCTGATATGTGTCAGCTCGAGGGCGGAAATGACAGCAATTACAGAACGTATTACTTCGGCGTCCCGCGGGCAATCGGACTAGGGCTGAAACAAGACTGAAGCCCAAGTGACTCGTACTGGTCTCGTCCTTGGATCTGGCCACGCCCTCCAAGACGCGGGCCTCTCGGTGCCCTACCTCAGTACCTGTCTTACGCTATTTGAGGTCCTTATATAATCCGTCACATGTGCCGTTATGTTCAAATCCTTCAAGAACATCATCGTCGTCAGGGCCGCTGTTATAGCTGCACACTCGCCACTCGAAAGGCCACCGAACCCGGGTCGGCGGCCATACATAGTCAGCTTCCCCGACATTTGACTGAGCCGTTGCTGGCATGAGCCCCACTCGTGAATGATCGTGAGAGCGTTGTGCAGTGGATTGTTCACCGCGATTCTTGCCTCGTAGATAACGGCGGAGTAGTTGGGTGACGGACGTATACCTGATCGAGCAATTCAGCGTGATGATCAAGACAGTGACTAGGTTATCTACAGTTGGAAGACGCCTGTCACCGACCTTACGTGGATGACTGACGAGAATACTCTCACAGGTACTCCAAGCCCGCTATCAGCTCGACATGCGCATGCGATCGGCCCAAGTTGGCGTGTTTGACAGATGCAATCAAAGTATCAGGATCGACTGCATGTGTGGAAGTATCAGCAGGCGAGAGACCAAAAAATGCAGAATGCGAATGTACAGTAGGTAGAGGTTGCGGATCGTTCAGGCGTGTTCCAAGTCACCGTGAATCCACTAAGAGGTGGATCTACGCGCCGTCGATCCTTTCCCACGGCAAGGCAGCGACACGTGGCGAGGATTCAGAATTGGATCAGACCTGACACTGACGGGATCAGTGATGAGCTCACAGCGCGGGCGCAGGTTTATTATATTGCTCCCACGGCGAGCCAAGGCCGGCCTAGACTGCGGTTGCTCTGTATCATTGCGTATCACTGCAGTATGCGGCCCAGGGACCACGGCCATTTATTCACATGTCTAGAGCAGATTCACTGCCATCAGCGAGTTATCGTTGATGCGGCCAGCCAAATACTCCCCGGGCTGTGCGGAGCTTGTCTGACATCCGCCCGTTTCACCTGGCTCTTCTGCTTCACCAGCTCCATAGCACGCGGTTCCGCCACACGTTTCCAGCGGTGTGATAGTCTGACCGTGGCCGGCAGACTTGTCTCTATTCTTCGCTACCGGGCCTGCTGTGCCTAGAGAAAACATGGAATTGTCTGCGACGACCGTCGTCGCTGTCCTCTCCGCTCTTTACTTTCTCTCCTCTGTATTTGGCTTGGGGAAACGCAGCGTGAGTGTATTTGCGTCACGCGTGCCCGATCGCGTCGATCAAGGCTCATGCTTCTCTGTGGCTGCAGCTCAGGCCCATACCCACCGTCGGCGGCCCGTCGCTGCCTCTCTTGCGCCTCGCCGGCTCGGTGCGCTTCTTGTTCAAGAGCGCACAGGTCCTGCAGGAGGGCTACGACAAGGTGCGTGTGCCGTGCGCTGGCTCCGCCGCGAATCCGTCGTTTCACGCGTCTGCGCGCAGTTCAAGGGCAAGGCGTTCAAGCACTCAGAGTACTTCGGCTGGCACGTCTACGTCTCGGGGCCGCGCCTCACGGAGGAGCTGCGCAGGGCGCCAGAGGACCAGCTCTCCTGCTCCGAGGCGATCAACGACGTGCGTCCGGTTCCTCGGTTGCACCTCCCCCTTTGTTCACCGTCTCCGCTCCACAGTCGCTGCAGGTGGAATACACCCTCAGCCCCGGCATCCACCACGACTCGTACCACATCCGCATCGTGCGCACTCAGCTGACGCGCAACCTCGGGGCGCTCTTCTCTCAGCTGCGCGACGAGATCGTCAACGCGTTCGCCGACCAGGTCCCTCTGAAGGGCGATGGTATGTTGTCCCATTAGAGTCCTCGCCGGTACCGCCTGAACACATGCATAGGCGCCGAATGGGTCCCCGTGAAGGGCATGGACGCCGTGATGGAAATAGTGGTGCGGACTAGCAACCGTGTCTTCATCGGTCTCCCGCTTTGTACGTGTAACCTCCACTTGCTTACCCTCATGCACACGAGCGTAGGCTCACAAGCATCCCGACAGGCCGCGATGCCGACTGGTGTGCGCTAAACAAGCAGTTTACGATCGACTGTTTTCAGGGCGCCGCGATCATCAGTCTGTTTCCAAAGTTCCTGAAACCGTGAGTTCACGTTCGGTGCCTGTGGGCCTTGCGCGAGCACAGGCGCATGCCTCGCTTTATATATGCTCTGCCTGCGACGCCGCATACCAGGTCTGCAGGGGCGCCAGTACGCGCGGCGGCTGCTCCCGGGTGGCGTTCCGGACTCGGACGGCTTCCGTATCTGTATCCAAGCTGACCGCCCTCTTATGCAGAATAGCAGCGCGCTTCCTGACCAATGTGCCGAAGAGCGTGCGCCGCGGGCAGCGGCATCTCGAGCCCATCATCCTCGAGCGCTTCCGCATGATGGAGGAGCACGGGAGCGACTGGGCGGACAAGCCGGTGCGTGACTTGCCTGCGGGCTGGATGCGCTGCGTGGGGTCTGACGCGTCTGTCGAGCAGAATGACATGCTGCAGTGGCTGATGGACGACGCGCGCGGGGAGGCGCGGGGCGTCCGGCCGCTCGTGCTGCGCCTCTTGTCGGTCAACATCGCCGCGATCCACACCACGTCGATAGTACGTGCGCGCTCCCTCTGTGTGTGGCCCCAGGCCGTGGACTGACAGTGTGCGCTGCCGGCTCCGTGCGCGGCGTCTGTGCACAGGCCTTCACGAACGCGCTCTACCTCCTCGCCGCGCACCCGGAATTCGCGCCGCTGCTGCGCGCGGAGATCGAGGGGGTCGTCGCGAAGGAGGGCTGGACGAAGGCCGCGATGAACGACATGCGCCGGCTGGACAGCTTCCTCAAGGAGACGCTGCGCTACACGGGGCTCGGCGCGAGTGCGTCTCCGCCCTTCTATCCCGCGCCCACGAGCTGACGTCCGCTGCCCCCTTGCGTGCGCAGTCTCCCTCACCCGCAAGGCGCTCGCGGATTACACCTTCGCCGACGGGACGTTCATCCCGGCCGGCACGACCGTCTCCGCGCCCCTGCGCGCGACGCACTACGACGACGGCATCTGGGCGCGCGCGGCGGTGTTCGACCCGTGGCGCTTCTCGACGCTCCGCGAGGCCGAGGGCGAGAGCGCAAAGCACCACATGGTGAGCACGAGCACGGAATACCTGGCGTTTGGACATGGGCAGCACGCGTGGTACGTATCGGTGTTTCCCATCGTAGTGCAGGGAGTCGTTGCTGACGGGGGTTTGCGGGGTCAGCCCTGGCCGCTTTTTTGCGGCGAATGAGATGAAGGCGATGCTCGCCCATGTGTTGGTCACGTACGACGTCAAGATGGAGCAGGAGGGCGTCGTCCCGCCGCCTACGTGGTTCGGGCCGAATCTGGTGCCCAACTGGAATGCAAAGGTGTTGTTCAGGACAAGACAGGCGTCGTAATGCTGTCGGTATCGAGAGCAGAAATCGACTGGTATATACTCACCGAGTATGTCATGGTAGTAGTCACTGCATATGATAAATTATTATTTGCGCCCATCTATGGTATATGCCACCGCTGTGGCAGAGATGCGTACGGGCGCTGGCATGGGAGTGCAGAAAGACGATCGACTGCTGATCGACTGTCTGGGACGCGTCAACGACGAACCAACTCCAGTGTCTCGAGCCATGCTCAAAGGACGAGGCTTGGGGCTCCCTGCTCTGCCCCACACCATTCGGCAGCTGCTGTTCGCCCCGCTTCCCGACGCCCATGTCCCTGTGAAGATCCACGGCTGGGTCAAGTCGGTCCGCCGCCAGAAGAACGTCGCGTTTGCGGTCGTCTCCGACGGCAGCCACGACAAGGGCATCCAGGCCGTCTTTCCGAATGCGAGCCAGGCGAGGAGGTGCGCGCCTCTCGCGATGTTGGGTAGACCATGCCCGTGACCACGCGCCGACAGCCTCACGAACGGGACGAGCGTGCGGCTGGAAGGGCGGCTCCTCGCGAGCCCGGGGAAGGGCCAGGACAAGGAGCTGCGGGTGGACTCGGTGGAGGTGCTGGGTCGAAGCGACCCCGAGGTGTGTGCGCACGGCCTTGTCTTGCGGTGCGCTGCTGACGCTTTGCGGGTGCCCGCAAGAAATACCCCATCCAAAAGAAGGAGCTCACGGTGGAGTACCTCAGGGAGCACTGCCATCTGCGTCCCCGCACCGATGCTGTTGCCTCAATGCTGTGGCTGCGTCACATTGTGTCTAATTCAATACGTGGTTTCTTCGAGGTGCGCTTAATCGCTAGGTGTTATAGTCATGGCATAGCTCATCTGCTGTAGAACAATGGGTTCTGCTACGTGCACACGCCGATCATAACTGCCAACGACTGCGAGGGCGCTGGAGAGACCTTCCGAATTGCTCCTGACTCGACGCTGGCCCCCGTTCACTCAGGCGATGCCGCACCCAAACCATCCGAGTTCTTCGGACATCCTGCGTATCTCACTGTCTCATCACAGCTGCACTTGGAAGCACTTGCCGCGTCCATCTCACGGGTATACACTCTGTCACCCTGTTTCCGCGCTGAACGATCGCAGACAAACAGACATCTGGCCGAATTCTGGATGCTAGAAGCCGAATGGGCATTTACGCAGACTGTGCACGACGTGTGCAATGTGGTGGAAGCAGCAATCAAGCAGGTCCTCGACGATGCAGCCGACAAGTCGGAAGGCTCGAATCCATGGTCAGAACGGGCCGCGAAACTCCAGGCTGAAATCGCAACGCGCGATTGGCCGAGGATCACATATGCAAACGCAGTGGAAGAGCTAGCGTCGTTCCAGCAGGCTACTCGTGCATTCCACTTTGAACCTGCGTGGGGTTTACCTCTGCAGAGCGAGCACGAGCGATGGCTCGCGGAGAACTTGGCCAAGGGGCCTGTGTTCGTCACGGACTACCCTGCAGAGCTGAAGCCGTTCTATATGCGCCTTAATGACGATGGGAAAACCGTTGCATGCTTCGACCTCCTCATGCCGGGCCTGGGTGAACTCGTCGGCGGGTCACTTCGCGAAGAGCGGGAAGATCATCTGTCGAACGCTATGCGCAAACACGGTTTGCAAACGGACCAGTACGACTGGTACCTCGATCTGCGGCGGTACGGCAGCGCCCCTCACGGAGGATTCGGGCTGGGCTTTGAGCGGCTCATTAGTTGGGTCGGTGGTATCGAGAACATACGGGAGTGCATCGCAATGCCTAGGTGGGCGGGGAGAATGCTGCTATAGCGATAGATGCTAGACTACGTATGTGATGGTGTGGCTGGGCTGCTGTTGGACAGTAACGACGAGTACACTTCTTTCTTCTGCCCGTCTGTAAGTTTGACGGCAATGTTCACGTAAGGTCGAAGCTTAGGCGAACCCGGCTAGTGAGCACAGGAGTTGCGGCGCGCAAGGGGAGACAACTCACGGGTGAACTGCGAATGTCCTCGATCGCAGGGGCCACGAAGACACGGACCTGCTCGTCCAAGAGACGATACTTGGCCTTGCCTCCTACCACATGTTTACCGGGCGCGCCTGTCCGGTGGCCACCAGGGAGGAAGGCCTGCCTCGTCCCTAGACGTCAAATTGCCGGTGGTGAGCGTGGTACGTGAAAATGCGGAGCACGCATACCCTTGTAAAAGTCCTTGTTCCCTCTCTTCGGGGTCAGGGGCCTGCGGGACGCCTTGGAGAGTCGAGCGAGCGTCGGGAACATAGTCGTCGAATGCGAGCCGCGCTCTCGAGTGGCGCCCGTAATCGACCCGCCGTGGTTCCCACGCGTCTGCTCTGCACACCATGGGCAAGAACACTGCCGGCCCATCCTCCCGCGGTTCCAGGGGCAGCAGACGTGCTCGAGGGGCCGCCCGCTCAGCCAGGGGCTCGCGGCAGCACAGAGGATCATCCACGGCAGATGGGTATGTAGACGAAAGGCGGCCGGAGAGCGCTGTGGACGAGGACGGCGAGGAGGACGCTTCCGGCAGCGATGCGGACGAAGATGCAGGTGCGTTGACCGCTCCTTTGAACGCTACCACCGCTCATGCCCTCTCAGAGGTAGAGATCAGTGTGCCCGTCGCTATGTGGGTGGGTTCTCCGCAGCCCTTCTCCCAACAGTCTTGAACGCCGCCCAACAGGATTTCGACCACTGCGACCCGCGCCGGTGCTCGGGGAAACGGCTCTCGCGTCTGGGACTGATGAAGGAACTGAAGGTGGGGCAGCGCTTCCGGGGTATCGTCGTTTCGTGAGTCTGCTTTGCAATGCTCGCGGCTGCGAGCTCATCGGACCGTGTTCAGCCCCAAGGGCACTCAGATCATTAGTCCTGCAGACCGAGATATCATCTTGCAGAACGGCGTCGCGGTGGTGGAGTGCTCCTGGGCCAGGCTGGATGACGTGCCCTTTGGCAAGATTGCCAGCCCGCACGAACGTCTACGTGAGCACCATTATTTTATCAGTGCCGCCGTTTTCACTCAGATTCCTCATACCGCTAGTGCCATATCTTGTTGCTGCAAATCCCGTCAATTATGGGAAGCCATGGAAGTTGAACTGCGTCGAAGCCCTTGCTGCTGCGTTCTACATTACTGGCTTCTCCGCATACGCAGATAAACTCCTCAGCAAGTTTGGCTGGGGCTCATCATTCTGGGCCATTAATGAGTATGTCCTTTGGTGTCATAATGCTTGTGCAGACAGGCAATTGAGACTGTACAGGTCGTTCTTCCTGCAATATGCGACATGCAATTCGGCTTCCGAGATGGACACTACACAACAAAAGGTCATGCAAGATTTGGAAGTGGCGTATCAAGAGTCTAGGGAAACACAATCGACAGGTGTGCTAGACAAAACCATAAGACCTGCCTGTGCTCACTCGTTGTTCAGAATATGGTGCAGATCTGCTTGTTGGAAATCCAAACCATCGCAGTATAGGATCAGACCTTGAAGCACCGTTACTTGATGCTGCAAATACATGAGCTTTGTGGCAAATTTACAGCGGTCATACTGGGCCCGTCTGCCGCTACTGCTCGTCCCAGTCGCATTCTGATCTCTGTGACATATCGTGCAACGACCCAATGCTCTCTTATTGCCAAGAGAATTGCACTGAGCCTGGGCTGAGCGCATGCACGTAAGCCGCGACATCTCGGCCACTGTGACTAAGTTGGCTCGTTGTCACGTTTATTATTTCATGTTTTGCGAACCATTGACAATACAACACAGGATGTCCTCCGACCACTGACTCGCTGATAACGCAGCGGGCATACACGAGTACCAAGCACGTTGTACTCGGTCATTCAACATTTTCTGGAGTTCGTCGTGAAAGGCAGCCGTGACATAATCCGCCCAAATCGGCCAGAATAGCTGCGAGGAGTCAGTCTACGGTCTCACACAACTTGTAGGGCAGGCCGCCGACGCAGAGTATTGTCAGTGAGTCATCCAACTTTGATGCATTCATATGTAGATCCTGGATCTTGAATAGGCGGTGCCCGAAGCTCATCCACGCTTCTCAGTCCTGATTGAATATCACATGTTGCGACTGGTTCTTGGCTCTTGCTCCTACTGTAGGTTAGCCTTACTGTATGGCTTAAGCTCTGATTCTCATCTTTTGTCTTGGGATCGTGATTTAGGCTCTCCTCAAGAAGTAATCCCGTTTGTACGTGGCAGACCATCACTCCCTGCATCATACTAATGTTTCCTGCAGATCGATGGCCATTCTAGATGAAGATACTCTAGCCTTTGTAGTCTCCTATCTCACCGCCAGTGATGCGCGCTCGCTTGCCGCTACTACGAGACAGTTCCATCCAGCAGCGAGGCGCAAGGTGCTCGCCACACTTGAGTTGAGGGAGCCCCAGCGGACCCACGTAAACGTAGATTTTAGGCTCGCCGACAGGCCTCATCGCGCATACTGGCTTCGAGAGCTCAAAGTGAACATCTCTAATCCAAATGCGATCACTGAGCTTGCCCCCAAACTGGCTCAATTTTTCGAACATGCCCATATCCTTCGATCTATCTATCAGCGCTCTGCGGAGGCCTGGATCTACACGGAACCGTACCCGCTGGAGCGGCTCGAGGGGGTGGACGAGCTCGAGCTATATGGGTACGACCGCCGAGGGCTCGGCATGATCCAGCGGATGGCCAGCAAGCCTCGCCGGCTCGTCCTCAGGGAGCAGTCGCCCCGGTTCAAGTTCGGCCTGACTGAGGCAACCCGGGTTGATCCTGCGTACATTATGCAGAGCCTTGCACCGCAGCAGGCTCTGCGGGCGCTCACGCTCGAGATGGTCTCGAGTTTGGCGCGGAGCGTGGCAATCTCTGCTGCCTGCTGGGCGAGCAGTTCATTGACCACGGTGGCTGGTGATGGCATTAAACTAGCCTCCGGTTCACCCGTGTTCGCGCGCATGGCTACTTATGTGAGTAGGAATAAGTCAGTATGTAAGTTCTATTGTCCGGAGTAAGAGACTCGCTCAAGATCAGGGGACTCGTGTACTTAAGGTGGCGCAACCTGAGTGGAGTTCAAGTTGAAGCTACAGAACGTCACACGGTGTGACACAATACAGGTCCCTCTTTGGCGTTGTCACGATCATTATTTCACGTTCCGCGGACCACTGGCATTTACAACACAACACAAGACGCTCCCCCACTACTGATTCGCCGCTAACGCAGCGAGTGCTGAACATGCCGTGCTCGGCCATCCGACATTTCCTGGAGCCTGTCGTGGAGAGCGCCTGCGACATAAACTCGTACCAGCATTCTCGCCCAAAGATCTTTGTTCAAACGATCCATGCTCTATTCCGGAACTCCAGCATTGATTTCATGGTGCATTTCTGCATCTGACATGAGACAGACTACATAACCACTCTTGCATGTTTCAACCAGTGCCTTGCTCTGCGCCTCGCGGTAGGATGTCCGACGTCATCGACGGGATCGCGGTATGAGCAGATGCTTTGGGACTCGGAGGGTGTTCTGTTTCAATAGTAACACAATCCAAGGCGTTCTTACAACCTCCTAATAGTTTAGGTAAGACGGCTTGAGAGGCCTCCAGCCACTACCTGCTAAGTGGAGCCTGGGTGATACGAATGTCTACATTGAAGAGGCCGTTGATCCTTCTGGTTTGCCTCGCGCTTTGGCGTCTCACAGACCCATGACCAGTGTGCGCGGCTATGCCCACGCTGTCGACTGATAAAGGGGCTCGTCCAGGAGAGCTCTATGCAGCCCCCGCTTTCCCTCCCACCTTCGAGTCGCTAGCCCGTATCCAGCGTCTCCAAGGCGGTAGTCCAGCTGAAAGCAGTTGCATCCACAATTCCGCAAGCTGATCAATATGCATTTGCATGTCAACGAGACAAGCACCTACGATGAGACGTTGTCTGCATCTGTTCGTGCACAAGACCCTCTTGCACAACAAGCAATAGAGATCGCCCAGCTCCGGGCCAAGATCAGCAACTATGAGGTGAGAAGTTTGTATCACAGACTCGTATTTGGCGATGTACCAAAATGTCAGAGAGAAAGCGAATACTCGAGTCGGGATGAGTGTCGAGCAGCGAAGGCTGAAATGATGGCGGCAATACACGACATGAAAAGCTTACACGAGGTAATAATATATTCAAGGTCTTTGTTTGCTTCTGCAAGGCTCACTGTGAGGCCTGCAGCATACGATGGCTCAAGAATTGCAAACAACGAAGAACCAGCTAGATGTGTCGCAGGTAGGCAATCCCCGGCGGTCACGTTGCACACGGGCTAAGGTTGAGATGGTATAGCTGCTTGTGAACAAGCTGCGGGAGAATCTCGAAGAGAGCCGCGTTGCCGTTGCAAAGTTATTGGTACGTCACGATCGAAATCCAACCAGCGAGATGGTATCCATTCCACGCTTAGATGGAGAAGCAAGAAGTCGAGAACGAATTGAGATCTACTCGAGGATCTACTCGAGTCCAGCAGTTGTCGACAGACTTCACCATACAGCAGCTGACCGTGGGTTTAATCAAGTTGAAGTGTAGTCTGTATTGAATTCGTATCCGACAACAGGAGCGCACAAGCATGTTGAGTCAAACACATGATACATCGGAGGCAAGGTGCAGGTCTCTGGAGGTGAAGTTCACTCTCCGCATGCTGAACAAAGATTGTCACTATGCACCAATTGACAGGCGGAGAACGAACGCTTCAAATCCGAGCTCCGCGACCGGGATGGCCTCGCCAGCCAACAGCTGGGACAGCAACTACACGATCTAGTGGCGAAGGTACATTCACATCACACGGTTTGTTGAACAGACTGACAGGAACGCTGTGTGTTCTGCGCATGTAGCTGCAGCCTGTTGCGGATATTCACGCCGAGAATCAGCAGCTGAAGGTACGCGCATGCAGCGACCACTAGAATCAGGTCACTTACCTATGAAGCAAGGCTGAACGAGCTGAGCTACGGGAAGACCTCGCTCGCGCGAGGGTATGTGTTCCCATATCACTCGGGAGTCGACTATCATGAATTGTCTCTGTTGTCAGTCAGAGTCTGATTCCCTGCGTGAGGAAACCGCAGACGCACGGGAGGATGCCCGTCGTTCTCGCCAGTACATACACAAGATGCAAATGATGGATGACGAGTTGTGCGAACAACGAGCGAACGTTGCGGTGCGTGGTCTGTCTATCTTTGCATGTCTTTCAATTGGCCAACCTTGCATGTGGACAGGACCTCATTCTGGCAGAGGGTGAGGTCGTGCTCAAGGAATGCATGACCGATCTGTCGTCCGAATTGGCAAAATACAAGGTATTGTTAAGGATAGGACTCCTCCCGATTCAGACTGATAAGGCTGGCTGTCCATAGGCTATGACTGTAACGACGCCGAGGGCCACAGAATCACAGGCGGAATCAGCATCAGACGTCAGTGTGGAGAGGCCGGTGCATATGAGATATTATCTGACTATGTGGAGGGACGCAGGTCTTCCTCACACACCTACAACGCGGAGTCCCGCGTTTTGACTGCTTCAAGGATCTATTCCGGCCTTTTGAGGCTCATACCATCATTGGCCTCCGTCGGGTAAGCATCGATATGTGCTCGAGAATGCAGCGCCTGTGGGAATGCATCTGATGACCTCCTGCTCCTCGTGCCATGCAGCTCGCGTGAGTCGCTGTCCTGTAGCGCAAGATCATTCGGAGACCTGACGCATCATACATAGCGGATGCATCGATATGCATTTCGTTCGCAGGGACAGGTTCATGTGGCATCAGTGCCCAGAAACAGGCTATTTCATCGCACCGGAGCACACGCTTTCAGTCAGCGTCCAGGTACCGTACAAGGACGACCCGCTTCCGCACGCTCCCAGAAAGCGCACGATCGAACTCTTCTGCCAGCCTCTGTCTTTCGGCGCTGTATGGTACACTGGAAGATATGAGGTGGGCAACGCAGAAACGATGCAGTCGGACGAATACAAACTGCTGCCTGAGGAGGTAGGGCGCACCGCAGTTCGTGGTATAGTGGTTGACATGATCGACTGCCCCCAGATACAACAATACGTTGTCGAGAAGACTTCGAGCTCACTGTCGCATTCGGCGTTACAAGACAAGTATCTTGGCGGCCAGATGACGGCCTTGAGGTATCCTGTTCGGCGTGTCGGGTACATGGCAGGATTTGATCATCTGAAGACATCACAGACACTGTAGGAACGGGTGTGTATCTGGTTAGAGCACAGTTGATACGGCACGCAACACATCGAGCGAGCAGAGATGTGAGGATCGGCTCACATGTTTGTCATATTGAACGCAGAAAATGAACGAGTGTCTGAGATACACGCACAAGGAGTATTCAAAATAGAGCACGATCTGATTTGACTTTGTCGCCAGAAAAGGCAAGTTCCCCACACCGCGCTTCTCCGAGCAGAAATATACTTTCTGCACTCCGCGAGCACCATCAAGTACAACGGTGCGTCCCGACAAGGCAGGTCCAAGATAGCCTTTACGTTAACCCCAGATGCAGTGGCAGACCGCTTATGGGCGTGCGTTAGTGTCCTCTCGCCGCCCAGCGGCAGAGGCTGGCTCATCGCCCCATCGATATCCCAGGCTGCAGGACGAAGTGTCTTCTCGGGCCCCTGAATACAAGGTGTGCGAGGTATGTTCTCGTAGACTGAAATGCACAGCGAGCAGTATAAGATGCTGCGCGCGGTTCCCGTCGAGACAGCCCGTGCACCGCACCACAGTCCCTCTTGCGCTTGCCTACCTTATACCAGGCTGCGTGCCGTTCGTTCTTTAGACACCAGCCGTCTAGCCATTCGTCATACCCGCGTCCTGTACATATCGCGCTTTGACCTTCGTTCCTTACACTGCAAACATGCTCCTTTTCCGCAACGCGTTCCTCCCCGCGCTCTCTGCAGCTGCCATCCTAGCTGCCTTGGTGCGTTGCGGTGAGTCCCCGGATTGTCGTCGTTTGATATTGAAGATCTGATCTGACATGGTTGCGTACTAGCTTCCGCCGCCCCCTGGTGGCCGATGCACTTCGTCATGGTGGAGGAGCCGCCCAGCTCGCTGGATGCATTGCCTACCGTCTTGCCTGCGTCGCCCACCGTACCGTCCCTCTCGCTGGCACCGACCGCCACCTTGCCAGAGGTCTTGTCCGCAGGCATAACCTCCCTGTCATCTGCGTATAGCCCTGTCGAAACCATGCCTGCGGTGGGAGACACAGGCATGTCAGACGTGATACCTTCGGATATCACCTCGGACACGAGTGTTCTTGCTCCACAGCCATCGAGTTCTGTGAGCACGATGTCTCACCTGTCCTAGAATGATCCTGACTTGCCTGTGGCTGTTTCCAGACTGGGGGTGCGCCGGAAGGCCTGTCGGCCAACCAGAGCAATGGCGCCGTCATCACGTCTCCCGGACGTGGCGGGGCAGCGCTGCTTATCGGATGCGCCGTGAGCGTGGTCTACCTCGCGCTCTGAGGAACGCAAGCCATGATGCTGCCTCGCTCCTTGCGTTGTCCGTATCTCAACACACCATCGAATGGGCCCAGAGCCCGCCGTCCAGTCCTTACGCGGTAACTTACTGGTATCTATCGCGACCACCCACCTTGCTATTTTCGCTGTCTGTATAGTCCCTGGGACGCTATGGCCTAGCTCATCTCCCGCATCTGTCGTTGTATCACATTGCTATCTGTTTCGCTCGCTGACTTAGTCCGAAGTGTGTATCCCTAGTTGTGCTTAGAGTAACGCCGTTTTAATAAACTCGCGTTCAGATCAATATGCGTTGACAGTCGATTGACTGTGAATGGAGTCATTCGCGCGTGTTCTGCATGCCCCGAATACGTTCGTTGGGAGATGAGGCCCACTGCATGACAGTCGCAACCGGCATTGTGGAAACATTTCTCTTGATGCGCTTTATTTCCACCACATGCAATGTAAAATTCTGCAGGATGGGAGTTGTGAAGAGTGTCGACGCACATGGAGTGTCGTTGTCCCATGTAATTTGGGGTGGCGATGCATTGGTGCTCTCTGGAGTACGCTTGCGGCTTGCTTTGATATGCTGAATGTCAACACGGGAATTCTTCGTGCTAAGTGTACGTATACAAGTCGGACAGATGAGCCTGCGGATGTTCTCCCCATGTAAGATGAACGAACGACTGACATGCGGTGTCGGGCTCTTTCCAAATATGGAGCTCGTTGAGCCCGATATGGATGGGTGCCGTGTCGATCGAATAGGGTGCCCCTTTCGTTCTAACGTACTCGGATGAGCTTCACGTCGATCCGTGAAGCTCGTATATAAGAGGCTTATGCAGCCGAGCCCTTTCGCAGCGCGCTCCATGCTCTTTCCTGTCAGGGCCTGACGCACGCCGGTGCTTTTCGTCATGCCCTGGATGGGCGGTGTGCGCGCACTCATACGACGGGATATATGCGGTGCATATGCGCGCGGATGAGGGCGTTTCGAGTGGGAGTAAGATTAGATGGGACTCGGATTTGGCCGGGCGGTCGCCGTGGTGGCCGGGGATGACTGGATCGAGGCATCGCGACGACCGACGATTCCAAGCAGAGACCCCCATCCTCCATTTCCGTGAGCGCCTCTCATCCTGTTCACCAGCTGTGCGCTGACCGCCATGGCCTCTGCGAGCTGTAGCCGGCATGGACGGCGGGGCAGCCCACGTCCCCACTTTGCCGCTGCCGACATCGCCCGCAGATGCGCGTACTCGCATGGAGGAGTCGCTCAAACGCTCCGTCACCATCGTCTTCTGGTACAAAGTGAGTACAACGTGCACCTGCCCACCTGCCGTCGCTCAATCCGCCCAGCCGCACTCCGCGCCCATCCGCCTCCACGAAGAGGTCCCGACGTTCCCGCTCCTCCAGCTCTCGCAGTTCCCCCAGCTCGTGGCGGACCTCGCGCTCTCCCCGACATCCTACGTGGACGCATACAATCCCCGCGCGCGCACCTGGGAGCAGCAGACCGTCTCCGCCGTGTGCGTCGTGCAGAGCGAGCAGCGCCTGCTCTTCCGCACGCGTATGAGCCTCCTGCAAGGCATGGCCGACGCCGAGTGCCCAGACTTGCATGACGAGATCGCCCTGCAGCAGCTCCCCCCTCTGTCCGGCGGCGTCGGCAAGCGAGTCGCGCCCTCGGACGCAGGTCCAGCGCCGCCGCCGCCGAAGCAGCCCCGCACGGAGCCTGCGCCTCCCTTGCCGACACCGACGCCTGAATCCGAGTCCGCTGGTTCCTCCTCCTCGTCATCAGCCTCGTCGGCATCGACCCGCGCGGGCATCTCCAAGCGGAGCTCAGTCCCGCGCGACCTCTTCCATCACTTCATGCCGCCCGCCGGCGCCGCACTGCCTCTCCCCATCGCGCACGCGTCGCCCCCGCCGCTGGCCAAGCGCTGGCCGAATGACTACACGGTGTGCGAGCTCGCGGCGGGCTTCCGGACGATGGACGCGGTGCTGACGTCGGAGCCGGGCGTGACGCAGCGCGCGGCGTTTGAGCGCGCGTTCGGGTGCCGGTACGTCAAGTCGACGGTGTGCCGGCACCGCGGGGTGTGGCGGCGCGCCGGGCGGGAGCTGCGGGAGACGTACGAGCGCATGGGCGCGGATAGGCGCGCGGTGTGGACGGTGTTTCTGCGGCAGGTGGAGGGCGGGACGATGCGCACGGATCAGGGCCAGAGCAAGGGCAAGGGCAAGGGACGAGGGGGAGGGCGTGCGGACAGACCGTTGGCAGGAGAGATGACGGTGGTGATGGCCCCGCAGATGGCGCAGATGGGAGGTGCTGCGCCGTCGCAGCCATCGTCGTCGTCGTTGTTGCCTCGGCCGCGATCTCCCGCCGTCAGGGGTCCGATCATGGGCTCTTTAGGGCCTCCGCCTCCTGGGTTCGACCCTAGTGAGTGTCTCGCGCCCGCTTCGGCTACCAGATTGATCGTTTCTGTACCCTCAGACAATCTGCGCCAGTTTGTTCCGCCTGTTGAGAAGTCTGGTAAGTAGGGTCGGTATGACGTGCTCTTTAATCACGGCAGCGCTAATATTCAATTAGGGTCGGAGATGAGCAACGGGCTTTCATCAGAGGAAGCTGGAGAAGCCTGAATTAATATGTCTGGTCTGGATATAAGTAGAGTAATATATGGATCGAGTAGTGTGTATTCCCAATCTGAGTGCGTAATCTGTGCGCCCACAAGAGCACACGGAATGTCATATTCACGAGACGATCAGATCGACGCGCCTCTCGGTCAACGCGTCCGAGGCGCGCGACTGTCTAGCGTCGCTCGCCAAATGGGCCACCGTCGCGGGCTAGCCCTCTTTGTTCTGCGCCATTCCGTACGCTCTGGCCCTCAAACCAAGACACCGTGCTTCTGCGCAGCCGCCTCGTTCCTTTCTGCTTTTAAGTCCGGCCCTCACGCGCGACAACCATGCGGCTCATGGACAGCGACGACGACAAGGCGGAGCCCAGCGGCCATCTGGGCAGCGTGCGGCCGCTGAGCACCATACGGCGGTTCAAGGACTCGGTGCATGACTACAGTGCGTGCCGGCCATGACGCCCTTTGTCTCCTGCGAGGGGGTAGTTGACCTGTTTCTGAACTTAGTGCCGTTCGGGCCTGAGGTATGCGCGATCATCGACACGTACGTTGCTGTATCGTCTTGTGCGAGGCGGTCCGAGACTCAGTGCTCAGTTGGCGCATCACAGGCCGCAATTCCAGCGGTTGCGGCATATCAAGCAGCTGGGGACGTCCTACTATGTCTGGCCCGGGGCGTCGCACAACCGCTTCGAGCACAGCCTCGGTACGTCCGTCCTTTACCTCCGGTGCTTTTGTGTGTGCCGGAACGTCGCGTTCGGGAGTGGTGCACCTGTCAAGTCCGCGTCCGGGCCGTCCCCCATCCTCCCCGCGACTCGTCTGCATCGTCCTTTACGGCGTCACGGGAGAAGGTGCAGCGGGTGTGCCGGGCGATGCCCAGGCTGTTGTGCGTTTTACCAGTTGCAGTCGTAACGATTCCAAGCGGCAGTCATTTTGGCCATCCAAGACAGCTCGTGACTGGGTTTCATCATCATCGCATTTCCGGACATTCCACACACGAACGTTGCGCGGTTGGCTTGCCTGGTGTGCTTGAGAGTTATCGCGACTGAATGATCACTGTCCGGTCGCTGGCTAGTCGCTCGAAGGGGCCTGCGTTGTATGAGACGCTGTCTAGAGGAGAATGGTATTTCTAGACATGCGCAGGTACAGGGTGTGTTCTCCTTCGAGGCTATCTTGACATGCCAGTCATCGCAGCAGCCGGACAAACTGTCGCCCTCTTGCTCTCTTGCTGCACAGAACGGGCGGCTGCCAGGAGCACCCTCGAGGGTCTCCCATATACACCTTGTATACGGTAGCTCTTTAGATGACTCATGGTTCGCTGTTTCCTCCTAGCGCTGATCTTGATGTCTGAGCGCTGGAAGTATTTAATAACTTAGGATAAATGCGCTGGATCAGCTCCGTTGTACGAATCAGGCTTCCGGCGGACAGGCTTACGCGCATACATGCACATACGCGACTGCACATTTGCTAATCCGCACATACGTCGACAGGTGTCGCATTCCTCTCAAACCTCATGGCCGAGCACCTCCAGCAGTCGCAGCGCGAACTGGGCATAACGCTGCGCGATATCAAGTGCGTCACCATCGCGGGCTTGTGCCACGACCTCGGGCATGGGCCCTGGAGCCATGTGTGGGACGGGCAGTTCATTCCTCGTGCTCTGTGAGTAGGTCTGCTGTCGGTGGGGACGGAGGTGTGATGTGGTGTTGACTTGCGCTGCGCTTGTAGGCCAGGAAATAAGTGGAAACACGAGGACGCGTCGGACATGATGTTCGACACCCTGGTCAGGGAGAACGATCTTGAGCTGCCTGAGGACGACGTCGCTTTCGTCAAGGCGCTCATTGCGGGCGATAGGACAAAGTGCAAGTGAGTGCTGTCACTGTTGTCGATCGGCCCTTACTGATGGACTGACAGAGACACGGAGAAGCCATTCTTGTTTGACATTGTGGCGAACAAGCGGAATGGCCTGGACGTGGACAAGTGAGTGCGCAGAACAAAACGTTGGCCTGTTGCTCACTGTTATAGATTCGATTACATTGCGCGGGACACTCACGCCATTGACCAGAACGTCAATCTGTCGCTAACGAGGCCAGTCCGGCTGCCCACCTATGCATCCGAATGACATTGATGGCCCACCCTGCAGACTGATCCACTCCGCACGCGTGATCGAGAACGAGATATGCTACGACATCAAGGACGCGAACCAGATTTACGAGCTATGCTACACGCGCTTCAGCCTCCACAAGCGCATCTACAACCACAAAACCGGTGTGTTTCATGCTCCTAGTGCTGACCTCGAGTCCTGAATATTTATCAGCAAAGGCGATCGAGTACATGATCGTCGATGCGCTTCTATCTGCGGACAAGCATATGCACTTTGCGAAAGACATCAGCAACGCGCGGAGGTTTCTCTACCTAACGGACGACATCATGACCCGCATTGAGGCTACTGAGCAGCCTGTACGTCTTCCTGTGCCCCACCGCTCGCCGCACTCATGTCGCTGCACAGGAGCTCGAGGAGGCCCGGGCCATATTTCACCGCGTGCACCGGCGCGACCTGTACCGCTGCGTCGACTACAAGGTCTTCCCGTGGGCGGAGCAGGCCATGTGCCAGTCGTATTTCACGCCCGAGGCAATCGTCGACGCAGCAAAGGGGGACCCGGACGGCGGCGCAGACCCCGCACTGCTCGCGGAGCTCGAGCCTGGCGACGTGATCGTCGACATAACCAAGATGCACTACGGCATGGGCGACAAGAACCCGCTCGAGTCGGTCAAGTTCTACTCGAAACAACACCCGAACAGTGCGTGATCCCGCCGCACTGCGTGCGGTCCGCGCACCGCTGACGCGCAGCTTTGACAGCGTGTGAGAAGGCGAAGAAGGAGGACATCTCGCTCCTCATGCCGGAGGTCTTCGGCGAGGTCCTCCTGCGCGTGTACACCCGCGACGACAGGTGCGGTTTACGGTCTCTGGTTCTCTGCTCGCGGCGATTCGCTGACAGCTGCTCGCGTGCCGCAGGTTCTTCGGAATCATCCAGGCAGGATACAACACGCTCCTGAAGGCGCTCGGTGGCGGGCCCAGCGAGGACCCGCTCCAGTCGCCACCGCGCTCGCCGACCCCGCCGGTTTTTCCTGCGCCGTCGACGCCCCCGCGAAAGACGCGCCCCCTGTCGCGCGTACACAGCGCGGGCGCGCGGCTGCTCAGCTTGGGAACGACACCAACGCCGAACACATTCATGGCGGTCACGAAGGACTTCCAGGGACGCGCGGCGTCGCCCACGCGGCGGAAGAGCGGGAAGCGGGAGCGTGATGCGGAGAAGGGGGAGTCGCCGCCCAAGAAGAAGGCTAAGCCCGCGCCGCCTCCCACGGACGACGACCTGGAGTTTTGAGTGTTCCTGGATGCTGGCAGAGAGACGTCTCAAATGCTGTGCCAGTGCTTTCTCAGCGCATCACATTACTATCTGTGCTATGACCCAACTACCTTGGAGATGACTGACTACTAGTAGATTCCACACCAGTACTCGTCAGTACTCGTAATTATAATCGCCTCTACGGCGTCGATATTATAGTCGTTCCGAAGAACATAGTGTAGAATACTATTGAGCGATCGTATCGTACTTTTCTATATGTGGAGTGGTGGGCTGTCCTAATAAGTAATCGAGCCGATTATAATGTGACGGCGGAGCCCATCGCACTGCGTGTTATTTGGGAGAGGGCTTCTTAGCACGAGTCCGCTCGCGCGTGAGCAGAGCTTTCTTCGCCTCTGCAATCTCAATAGATACTTCCTTAGCCGGAGCAAGAACCAGCGTGGGACGCGAGGCAAGGATTGCCCTGCGCAGGATCCGCTCAAGCGGTGTCACTGCAAACGTTTTGTCCGCGGGCGTGTCTACCACCTCGGCAAGCTGGAGGACAGAGGGCATGTCGTGTTGTTCGGAAACCCGAATGTGTCCTTGGAACTCATGCAGGTCCATTTTCTGCTCAGGGTCACCGCTCTGCACAGCAGGCATGCCGGGGGACGGAGAATCACTCTGTGCCTCCTTTGCCGAGAGTTGCTGTGGAGGAGGCACGTAGTCGAGGCTGAGGCGCGGCTCCGTCCCAATACTGAGAATCTCAATCCACAGGGGCGCATCCACCTCGACGCGTTGGCCCACGGGGTAGCCCGCCATGCCGAGGAAGCGGTACGCCCAGAACGCGGCGGGGTCGTCTGAAGCAGAGAGCGCGGGGAGCGCCCGCTGCACGCGCCTAGCGAGCTCGGCGATGATGATGCGGTACGTGCTAAGCGGCGGCGGGAGGGCGGCGATGTGCATCGTGCGCACGAGCACGAGCGCCGCGGCGTAGTCGTGCGTGCGCATGAGCGTGCCCAGCGCGTACGCGAGCACGGACGGCGTGAGCACAGGCGAGGGTGTGGAAAGGCGCCCACCGGTGCACAGCGAGTGGCACGCGATCATGTCCCCGATGAGTGTGCGGAGGGAGGGTATGCCTGTGAGGCGGCGGTCGGGGTCGCGGAGGCGGAGGCGGCGCGTCGGTGCCCCGAGGCGGTTAGCGCGGAGGAGCGTGGCGAACGTGTATGCGTCGGGCGTGTGCGTGCGTGTGCGGTGCTCGAGGAGGAGGCGATAGATGGCAGCGACCTGCGGGAAGCGGCCACGGGCGACCTCGGAGGCGATGAGCGCGTTGTAGAAGGCGATGTCCGGGATGACGCCATTCGAGTCGAGCTGCTCGAGGAGCCACTGGTAGGTGGAGGTGTCTGCGGGCGAGAGACCGGTGATGTCGCGCAGGATGGAGGTGTACGGGTTGGGCGAGGACGCAAGGGCGAGGACGGGGGGCTGCGGCGTGTGGCCCTTGTGGTACTCGATCCAGCGCTGGGCGGTGAGCGGCGAACGGGCATTAGTGTGGATGCGCACGAGGTCGAGGACGGTCTGGTACGCGAGGACATACTTGGGCCCGTGCGCAGCGAGGAACGCATCGACCATTTTGTCAACGAGGACCGGCTCGGCGCCCAACCCTTCTGCGAACAGCCGGAGGACATCGCACAGGGCGCTCTCGTCAAAGCCCTTCTGCTTGAATTGCTCGTGGAGTGCCTTGAGGATCTCGCGCTCGCCCGGGCTGCGCTGCGCAAGGGCTGTGAGCGCGAGCTGCGTGCGGATGGAGGCGGAGGGGAGGAAGCCGGCGGTGGACATGCGGCGGTAGACCATGGATGCCGCGAGCGCGTAGCCGTTGCGGAGAAAGAGTGTGATGGCGGACTCATAGGCATAGAATTGGTTGGGGTTGCTGACGGAGCGGCGGATTTCATTGTTGAGGAAACGAAGGGCGTCGCCGGGACGCTCTGCCTTGAGGAGCTTGGTGAGATTGTCCATCAGAAAGACAATCCAGGGATTAGTCGCCAGGTTGACCCTGTCCTCGTTCTTCTCGATGCGCTCGGTGCTGGGCTCAGGTTTGCTGAGGAGTGCGCTCGAGGACGATGGGCGAGTGCCCAATGTCGCTATTGTGACATTTGCTCGTGTGAGCCATGTATGAGCGGGTCGCAAAGGCAGTGAGCTCCGTGCCAACGCGGTGCGAGCCGCGCGAGGTGCATGGGCGGGATGGCGGTGAAACGTGATCCAACGTGCTGAAATGTTAGCCTAGACATTAAGTCAAGGCATTGCACAGAAGTCATTATGGTTTTTCGCGTACCAGGTCAAACAAGCAGCCCGTGAAAATAGGGAGACCGAACGATGAGTAAAAGGCGCTACACGACGAGCGGCGATGTTGGCACGACGAGCAAAGTGGGGAGAAGGCGCGTGACGGCGTGTGACACATGCGGGGAGTGACTTGACAAAAGCCCGAAAAGGGCAGTGATGTCACGTCGCGCCTGGTACGACGGCGGGGACAGGCCAGAGGGTTGTCCTCCTGCTCTTGCTTTCCAACTTCCACCATCCTCTACGGCCAGCGCAGCGGGCTGAACTAGCCATTGTAGAGCGCTGTAGCTTAATTCTGGTAGCATCGCATTTCTGCTCGAAATGGACTCGTCTCGCTCGCCCGACATCGAGTCCACCCCGCCGCCCGCCGTCTCTAGTCTCCGTTCCCGCTTCGAACAGCTTGCCGCAGAGACCGCTGCAACTGCAGCTGCAAAGCGGCCATCCAGCACCTATGGCCTTCTCACCCCGGACCCGCCCAGCCCGCGCCCCCGCGCGAGCTCCGGCTTCAGCGACCCAAAACCCGACGCGCAGTCACTCCGCCCCGCGTCCTCTGCCTCTGATCTAAAGGCTTCTGCAAAGAGACCGCCACCGCCGCCACCAGGTCGCTCGTCTCGCGCCCCCTCACCCGCTCCCCGCCAGTCCAGTCCCCTGCTGCGGCCCGTGCCGGTGGCCGATCCATCCTCGTCCCCCTTGATTCACCCTTCTTCCTCTCCTCTAGTCAACGAGGTCTCTCTGCCGTCCATTCCCCGCGCTGTCTCTCCGAGCAAGCAGGCTTCTCTATCTCGCAAGCCGCCGCCCCCTCCACCGCCCCCTGTGCACCATGACACCAAGCCCGAGGTCCCCGCCACCGACGTTTCTTCTCTCATCAGTAAATTCGCGTGAGTGCTCAATTGATTCGTGCCTCGACTGCATGCGGCTTGTTTACAGCATGTCCACGATGCATGTTCTGTCAATCATGACGATCGTGGGGACTCCGGACAATGCGGGGCGTTGTCCGGAGACCCTAGCGACAAACTCAGGCCGGCATATTCCTTCTGTGTAATCAACTTATGGTTACAGCTCGCTTCCCATGGCTTTGACAAGCCGCATAAGCTGGCTTATGCATACAGGTTTCAGCCATACTTACACTGCCAACATCAAGATGTTAGACATAATGCCGGCATAATCTCAGTACCTGTGCTCAGGATAGAACACTATCCCCATTAGAGGCCTCGATGCTCTGGACATGTCGCAACCAATGTCTCGTTGGCTTTGCGCTAGTGCGCAGCACGTTGTGAAATCGTTTGTCAGCATGCAGATGGAAGGATAAATCGAATGCTGACGCAGTGTCATTGCAATTCTCTGTACGGTCTCCCCTTAATAGCAGCTGATCCTGCAGCACTAATGGGCCCTGAACACCGCTGTCGGCGGGTGTCGCGACGAATGTTGTTATGTCCGCATGCTTATTCACAGCCCCATGTCGCGATCGGCCAGCCTAAGGTCGAAGAGCTGACTCCCCGAATGTAGGAACGGATCAACGCCCTTGTCTTCCCCGTCGCTCCCTGCAAAGCCGCCATTGCCTCCGAACCGAGGCCATTCCCACGTCTCCTCCTCTGTCTCCGTGACCTCATCGTCTGTTGTTTTCGTCGAAACAGCCGCCCCGTCAAGAACCCGACGTCCTTCTCCCACGTCAGACGCCGGTTATCTGGCTAGCTCGTCGTCCTTTGCGAGCGCATCATCAGACTCATTGTCCTCACGCGATCCCTTTGGCTCCGATATTTCAGACTTGGAGTCGGACTCATCCGATTCGGAGGGCACCGTCGCTGGCGATCCACCGCCACTACCCTCCCGTAGAAGCGCGCTGAACGGCTACGCACACCAGGAGGTTGCGAGCCCTGATCAAGAACCGTATCTCGATAGCTCTGCGTCGAGCAGCGTGAGTGACGTCAGCGTTGCGCACCTTCCATCTCCTGCTGCGCACCTTGCGCCCTACTCGCGGCCCTTCGTGCCCCCACCACGCCCCCCACCGCGCCATAAGGCCTCTGCAGCATCTAGCACAGCTTCCTCAGCGTCTCCTCCCCCTCCCCTTCCCGCACGCAAAACCACCGCACCCACCGCTGAGGAGCCACCCCGACGAGGACCATTTCGCAGCCTGCACGAGTCCGACATGCATCTACATTCTCATTTACACATGCCACCGGGCTTGAGTGCATCGGTGTCGCCGACGACGGAGCGCAAGACGTTTGGGTCTCACCCTCCGCCACCGACGCGTACCATTGGCCTGGGTGACAGGCTTCCACCTCCGAGACGGAACGCGCCATCTGGTTCGTCAAGCGAGGAAGAGGAAGAGGAGTTGAAGAAGGTCGAACTGCTCCCAGACGCGAGTCGAGCGTCGCGGCGGCCCCCGACCGTCGACTGCTTTAACTACTCCGAATTCAATATCCACGTGCCGGCTTATACGAGCTCTGTTGCGGTGTGTGGACGTACGGTAGCGGTTGCACATACCCACCGTGTAAAGGTATACAACCTAGCGGTGTCGGAGGCGCCGGTGATTGACATAGACACGAATCATATCGGCCTGGAGAAGCTCAATGGATTCAAGGTTACTGCTATGGATTTCCGGACGGCCGAGCACGAAACGGAGCGCGGGGCGTACCTGTGGCTCGGCACGAAGGATGGGATGCTCGTCGAGCTCGACGTCCGCGCAGGGACGGTCACGGGGATCAAGGCGACCGCGCACGCACATACCGTGACGCACATCCTGCGGCACGGGCGCGCCATGGTGACGCTCGACGACACCGGAAAGGTCCTCGTGTTCTCGCCGGATGTAGAGGGTGCAGAGCTGCAGCTGTCACTGGCGTCGCCGCGCGTGGTGCGCATTGCGGAGAAGCAGGAGTTTGCGCGCATACTCGGCGGGCAGCTGTGGACGTCCATGCGTGACTCGGGTGGGGGCGCGAGTACGTCGCGCGGGCCGATTGTGCGCGTGTACGATGTGTTCTCGCCGGGGAGCACGGGACGCTCGCTGCTGCCGACGGAGCACCTTGGCGCGGTGACCGCAGGGACGGTGCTTCCCACGCAGCCGGGGCATGTGTACCTCGCGCACGAGGGTGGGCACGTCAGCGTGTGGGCGCTGGAGACGCATGACGGCGTGCCGCTGTGCGAGGAGGTCGTGAAGGTGTCGACGTCGGACGTGCTGAGCCTCGAGGGCGTGAGCGACCGGCTGTGGGCGGGCGGGCGGAGCGGCGCGGTGTCGGCGTACGATGTGGTCCCGCGGCCGTGGCTTGTGACAAATAGCTGGCAGGCACACACCAAGCTGCCTGCGCTGAAGATCGCGGTAGACCCGTGGAGCATCGAGAAGCTTGGCCGGCTGACGGTGTATAGCATTGGCCGTGACGAGCGGCTGCGTTTCTGGGACGGATTGCTTGGCATGGACTGGGTTGGTGAGTGTCTGGTTGGGGTGTATGTTCGCTTGTGCGCACGAGACTGACATGACTCTATGCTAGACCATGCTCTTATGAAACGCGAGAGCGAATTCAGCTCGTTCCGGAACATCAACGTGCTGGTCGTGTCGTGGAACCTGGATTCTGCGAAGCCGGACGTGCTGACGGGCCCGGAGAACGCGAATTTTTTGCATGAGGCGCTGACAAGCGTGGCGGACCCGGACATCATCGCGTTCGGGTTCCAGGAGCTGATCGACCTCGAGAGCCGCAAGATGGCGGCGAAGACGGTGCTTCTGGGGGGCAAGAAGAAGAACGAGGACGGCGGGATCAGCCAGAAGGTGTCAACGTCGTACAAGAAGTGGTACGATCGGCTCGTGCTCGCTGTGAAGCAGGCAATGCCACCAGACGTGCCATACACGGTAATCCATACAGAGAACTTGGTTGGGCTATTCAGCTGCATCTTTGTGAAGAACACAGAGCGTATCTCGCTCAAGCAGGTCGCGATCACCACGATCAAGCGCGGGATGGGCGGCCGGTACGGGAACAAGGTGCGCTGTGCTAATGTTCGAGAAGTACGGGCGGGCTGTTAATGCGGGGTTGGGACAGGGCGGCATTGTTGCGCGTTTCGTCATTGACGACACGTCGATATGCTTTATTAATTGCCATCTTGCAGCTGGTCAGCACCATGTGCGGCAGCGGAATGCGGACGTTGCGGCGATGCTCGAGGAGAAGTCTGTGTTCCCAGAGTCGGATGCCGTCGAGGAGCCATTGGCGTACGTGAACGGTGGCGATGGATCGATGGTCCTCGATCACGAGATGGTCTTTGTGAGTATTTTCGCATGCGGTAGGGCCATGTCTAATTTCGCGCAGATGAACGGAGACATGAACTACCGGATCGATCAGCGACGCGAGGCCGTGGTTACAGCGGTCAAGGCAGGCGAGCTAGAGAGCCTGCTCGCGCACGACCAGCTGAACAAGGAGATGAAGTTTAACCGCGCGTTCCGGTTACGCTCGTTCGCGGAGGGGCCGATCACGTTCGCGCCGACGTACAAGTATGACCGGCGCTCAAGCGAGTATGATACGTCGGAGAAGGCGCGGGTCCCGGCGTGGTGCGACCGGGTGCTGTGGCGCTCGCGCGAGCCGTCGCGCGTGGAACAGTTGCATTACCAGCGGTACGAGGCGAACGTGTCGGACCACCGGCCGATCTCTGCGGGCTTCAGGATGACGGTCAAGGCGGTACAGCACGAAGCACGGGCACGGATCCGGGCGGACGTGCATGCAGCGTGGAAGGCGCACGAGCAGAATTTGCTGCACGCTGCACAGACGTTCTACGTTGAGCAGGCGATGGTGTAACGGATTGGCGTTCACGTTCAGGAGGAGAATTGACGCGTTGCATGACAAGACATGAACCCGAGATGATAAGGACTCTATGCATGGACAGTGTTACTGCTGTAACCATTTGAAATGTAGCGTACAGATAGACATTTTGTAATACAGCTTCGTCTTGCCAGAGAATTCATGTCCATCCACGTGACCTAATGTTACCGTGACGCAATGCATCTGGATTCTGGAAAAGGCGACGGTATGTAATCCAAGCCAAAGCAGCCACTGCTCATCCCTCTCTCTTTACCTTTACTTAATCCTTTCTCATTCTGCCCGGCATGCCGCCTCGACTGAACAAACGACAGCTGAGGGAACAGGAGGAGCTTCTATCCCTCGAGGCAGCACGAGATCCAGAAGGCAGCAGCGGCGAGGAGAGCGAACCAAAAACTAGCGTTCCTGCGAAACCATCTGGTTCTGCCTTTGCAGCAGTACGCACCGCAATACCTCCAATGTAGGGTGTGTGAACTAAGGGATCGTGCAGCTGATCGTCTCTGCCGATGCTGATACGGAAAGCGATGAAGAGGAGAGCACGCCTCGCGCGTCGAAATCCAAGAAGGCTCGTGAGCATTTCACCTTTTGTTTCCGGTGGTGTATGGGCGCAATCGAGCGTTATGGTGAACTCCCTCCAAGCATGTCTGCGTTCACAACTCGACTCGGTGGTGCACTCTTAAGCCATTGCCCACGCAACACAATGCCCCCTTAGAAACTGTCATGTTCTGACATCGTGTTCGAGCAGAAGAAGAAGAAAAAGAAGCCCGCCGCAACCGCGCCTACGACTCCTGTAACTATTTCGCAGGGGGCGTCGGGCAAAGTCGACCAGGAGCAACCTAGCTCGTCCCCGGGACCATCCAAGCAAGAGAGGAAAGCGTTGAAAAAGCAAAAGCAAAAGGCAAAGGACAACAGGGACGACGTCGACAAGGCCCTCGCGGAGCTCTCGATCAAATATCCTGACCTACGACAGGTCGTCGCGGCAACGAGTGCATCGCCCGCTGAGAGGTCTGCGTCGAGCGCACTCGCAGAGCTCCTCGCCGTGTCCCTACAGCACCTCGACGCCGAGGCAGAGATGCGCAAGTTCTTCGGTTCAAAGGCCATTTCTGCCGCGAAGGCCTCCGGGTCCGGGTCGTCCTCATCATCCCGCCGCACGGCCATGCAGCGCTCGAACCTCACGCGCCCACAGTCGACTTGGTCGCCGGCACAGATGCGCGACGGCCTGTCTGCGCGGGTGTATGCGGACGAGGAGGTACAGGAGATATGTACGCGACATGGATGGCAGCCGCTGCTTGAGGAGCGGGTGTGGACAGTCGAGTATAGCAAGAAGTATCGGGGCGTGACGCTTGCGTTCATGCAGACTGTCATGTCTGGCGGTATGCACTGATCCAATCTAGTGCGGGCCCTGAACCTGACGTGACGTGCAGACCCTGAGGGATTTTGGCAGATATTGAGGCTTCTGCCTTACCACGCTGACACACTCTTACAATTGTCCGAAGTCTATTTCCATCGCGAAGGTAGCTGCGAAGCGCGTACTCCATTCAGCGCATGATTGATAACTCGTCATAGAGCACAGCACAGCAGCCGATCACATCGATCGCGCGTTATTCGCATACGAGCGGGCATTCGTGGGCTCTTTTAATTTCACAAGTGGTGTCAATCGACTCGACTTTGACCGTGTCGAGAATCGGCCGTTTTTTCTTGCGCTGCATCGGCAAGTGAGGTAAGCACTGATCTCGATATTTTTGAAACAGCTGCTTCACCCTTCCGCAGTGACTTGCAACGACGAGGTTGTGTGCGAGCAGCGTTCGAGTTCGCGCGGCTCCTCTATGCGCTTGACCCGTGGACAGATCCGCACGGTGCGTTGCTGCACCTTGATTTCCTCGCACACAAGGCGGGCATGAGCCAGTGGCTGCTGGATGTGTGGGATTTCTTCGCTACGCATGCGAGCAATGAGAAGGCGTACAGCGGCCGCTTGGTCCCAACTGCGTTGCCCGGCTGGGCGTATGCACGGGCATTGGCGCTGTACGTGCGTGAGGAAGAGCACCGCGATAAGGTGAGCGGTTGTTCGCACTATATGCGAAGCACTCGCACTGATACATCCAATAGGATCATGGAGAGAGCACGAAGGCGCTGCAAGACGCGATTATCGCTTTTCCAGCCGTTGTTCCAGTGCTCGCAGACAAAGCAGACATTTCGTTGTCGGCAGACGTGCGAAGGCACTCCGCGTTCCGAATTCATCCTGATGCAAGGCATGTTGCTCTAACGCTATTCCGATTAGCTTGAGCTGATTAGTTATACAGTTCACTGCCAGCTGAATCAGCTGCCGTTCTCCATCTCCTATCCCACCTCTACGCACAGCGCTCATTCTCGCTCTGGAAGGTCCCCCAGCGCACGTCCTGGTTCGCCAGGACCGTTGTCGCAACGCTTGCCGACCTCCCGCCCTCATACGACAACACATCCTCGCCGTACCGCGGCTTCGTTACGCTCTTCAGCAAGCGGGAGCTCACGTACTCCGTGTACCGTCACACGACTGTGCTCGAGGCATCATGCCGCCGGCTGTTTGGCTTCATTCCCCGCGCGGTTACGGATGCGAAGCATCTCGCGTGCGATCCGCTCCCGCCGCCAACGCGCGTGAGCGACTACGATGAGGAGTTCTTCCGCGGGGCGGAAGACGCGCTGAACGTGCGGCCGCGGAGTCGGCGGGCAAACGAGCGGCTGCTAGAACGCTTGCTGCCCGACCCCGTTTTCCGGGGGCAGCTACAGGTGCGTGTCTGCTGTCGATGTCCAGGACGCCTGACAAACACGTATGTTTTGCCGTCGTGAACAGGCATTCTTCCAGGCGCACCCGGACTTCGCTGCGCGCTTCCCGGGTGGGCTAATCCAGTTCGCTCAACTTGCGGGACAGCTCCCGGAGGAGGTGCTGGAAGACTTGATGGTCGCACATATGGAGGGAGGGGACGGCGTTGGTGCGATGGGTGGTATGCCTGGTCAGATGCCCGGAGAGGAAGGGATGCTTGTCGATTTTGGCAATGCTGCGGAGCACGCGAACGCGCCTACGGATGCTGTGCACCATCTTGCCGACCAGGGGCACCACGAACAGGATGATGAAGAGGATGAAGAGGATGACGAAGATGAAGACGTCGATGTGGCAGTAAGCAGTCTACAGCCGAGTATATTTGAAACAATGCTGATCTCGATGCAGCCATTGCCTGTTAGGCTTCTCCGCAACATTGTAAATCGCTTCTGGGGAAGCAACGCTCATGCCGAAGAGTCCAGTGAAGATGAGGACGAAGACATCGCCGGGCAACGCAGGGCTGAGCCTGATGACATAGACTAATCATGGAAATGTAGAAGAGATCATATTTGTATCGGTGTTCCTGTTCGTGTATTCTCTGACGCGAGTGCGCATAATACAAATTGGAATTTAAGTCCTTTGGCCATATACATCGATCAAGGGCATCTGCAATCATTTTTAAACGTCGTAGGCCACCCGTGCGCCAACCCACGGGTACGGATAATTGTGCTGGTAGAAGTTGCGGACGGTGCGGCGGTCGCCCAGCCGAGGTATCGTAGCGTATGACGCTCCAAGCTGGGAAGAGGGGCATGAGCGAAAGCGGAATGCACAAGTGTCAATATGACTCACCACAACCTGGTGTTTTGTGTCGAAAAAGTCCGAGGTATATCTGCATAGAATATATTTAGTGCCGAGTCAGCTGCCAGGGCGCAAATTCACCCACCCAGGGAAGATCGTCGTCCCTGCGAACCCTTCGTGCGTGTCCAAAACCGTCGACGTCCACTCCCAGACGCCGCCGTTCGAGCCCCTCCCGCCGTTCGCTGCGCAGCCAGCCGTCGCCCTGCATCCCGCACACACGGTCAGCGCCCCCGTCTCGCCGACAAAACAAACAGCACCAGTACTCACGGCAGCGAGTGCCAGTTCCGGAAGCCCGTGTTCGCGCCCTCCTCGTAGCCGACCTGGTACGTGTCCAGGAACAGCCGCAGCTCCGCCTCCGTCGGGATGCGCCCGCCCTGCGCGCGCGCGTACGCCGCCAGGTCGTCGTACGCCGTGAGCACCGGCCAGTCCCGCGCCACGTCCATCGGCACCGCGCCGTACAGCGTGCGCACGCGCACGCCGCCGTCGCCGTCGCCATCTTGGTCCTCGACCCAGCTGACAGGGCACGCGACCCGGCCGCGCCCCGCGCCGCGGTAGAACGCGAGGAACTCGCCGTTCGTGACGGGCCGCCACGCCACCGCGAACGCGCTGACGCGCACCGCGCGCGCGGGGCTCTCGTTGTCCCACCCGAACGCGTGCCCCGCGACCGCGCCTTCGTACGTGGGAAGGATGTCGTCCGACTCGGCGTCGTCGTGGCCCATGGGCAGCGTGCAGGCCGCGAAGACCGCGCGGGGGGTCGCGGGCGGCGGGGTCGCGGCCCACTGTGCGGCGAGCGCGGCCCAGGGGGGCGGCGCGAACCCGGGCGGGGGGAGCATGCCGATGTCGGTGCCCTGGATGAGGATGTAGAGCAGTGTCTGTTTGAGGGGGGGGGCGGGTCAGTCAGGGTCAGCGCGGGCTGCGGCCGTTATTCGAAACAGCATGCGCACCTCGATGTGGAACCCGTCGTGCTCGAGCACCATCACGAGCGTACGCGCGAGGCGGCGAGTGAGGACGCGCTCGCCGGCCTCGAGCTCGCGGTAGAGCGCGGCGAGGCGCGCGCGCACGCGGTCGCGGTACGCGAGGACCTCGCCGAGCGCGGGCCAGTCCTCGTCGCGCTGGGGCACCTCCGAGTGCGCGTGGCAGTGCTCGGGGTCGTCGACGTGCGGGTCGATGCCGCGCTCGAAGATGGCGGCGAAGCGCGCGGGGCCGACGGGTTGCTCGTTCAAGGCGGCGCTGAGGAGGAGGTTGAGGAAGGTGGGGAGGTGGCCGAGGTAGAAGAGCGGCTTGTGGCGGAGGTCGATGGGCTGGGCGTGCAGCAGCGCGGGCGGGACCATGCCGAGGGTGATGAGGTCCCAGGCGCGCCAGCCGTCGCGGAAGGCGGAGAGCGCGGGCGCGGAGAAGGGGTGACCGGTTGGGTTGAGGGTGGTGCGGGGCGTCAGGGAGAGCCGGGGGAAGAGCACGGGCGGGCGCTCGAGGACGTGCAGCACGGTGGAAGGTGCGGAGTGGGAGACGACGAGGCGGAGCGCACCATCAGCGAGGAGGTTGAGCGTTGCAGCGGGACTCTCCTGTGAGCAAGTATGTCGGTGGTCAGTCAATGGTGCTCGATGGGTAAGGAGCGCGGAATGGCCTACGATCTCGGTGTCGACATTGATGGTATTGAAATCAACCTCGCCCGGAGCCGCGCCGAGACTGGATAGGTCGCTCTTTGTCCTGTACCAGACGACAGCGTTGCCTTCGTCTTCACCCTTGGCGCATTCCCACTGCGCTGCGCTGACGAGGGACTTGTCCTCGAGGATGTTCGCTGCCTGGGTGAGTAAATAGCCAATGGGCCCCTTACCAGTGCAGAGCAGCACACGGTCGGCGCTGCCCTTGCGGACGGGGAGGGCCTTGAGGAAGATGGCACCCGGCTTGTGGGTTAAGAGGAAGTACACGGGCGCGGCATCTGTAGATGGCGTGGAGGGAGCCGTAGAGAGAGGAGATGCAGGAGTCGAGGACGCGGCAGACGAAGACGAGGAGAACGACATTTTGCAAAGGTTGAAAGCGAGACAAAGCGACTCAGATCACACTGGGCAGCATCCGGAGAGAACACATGCATTTATAGGAGAATAGCGCTACAAACAAGTACATGCAATGGTACAACCGTAATTGTTGAAAGAGCAGGCTAGAATGCACATACCGTGAATGCGACACGGAGGGAATAACGGGATTTGACGTGATATGACGTCCCCGCGCGTCGCTGCCCCCGCTCGCGGAGTGCTCACAGGCCAATCGGACTCTGGCCGTCCAAGTCTGACGTCGCGGTCCAGGACCAGCCGACCGAGCAGCCTCTAGAACCGAGCCTAGCAAGCGCGAGAAGACATCAGAAAAGCTGCGATATCGGAATAGGACAGGAGAGCGGTGACGACAGGGGCAAGGCAGCAACCAGGAGTGGCAGCAATTCGGAATGCGAAGCACGGGGATGCCCAGAGCCGGGTGCGCGATGCGGGTAGAGATGAGCCGCGGGGCCATCATGACATGGGATGCTACGATAGTCGCACAACGTGGGAAGCACAGGCGGAATTCGACCTTGACAAGACCGGAGGATACAATGGAAGGCGACCAAACTTTGTGGGTGTTGAAGTAACGCAGCGCAGAGAACGAATGTAGCATGTAGAAAACGGGAGATGGCCCTTCCAGATATAGGAACCAGCGCAGGAAGGTAAACCGATAGGCAGAGCGTAGAAGTGCACGCGAGATATGGCGGGATCGATACGATAAGCTAGCCAGCATCCAACGACCATCAGCAAGCGCGAAGATGCCAGGGGCGTGCGACAGGGTAGAGTGAAGAAGCCGCATAGCACCATGGAGCAAGACGTGCTGGAGGACTGCGTGAATGTCGGGCGAGGATGGCGTAGTCGCGCAGCGGGCAATTACGGGAAGCGACCAACCATGGCATCCCAAAGGGGATGAGAGGCGATAAGTGGTGTGTCGCCGCCCGTGTCCTCACGGCTGCGACCCATTCTGCGGGACACAACACACCTTCGCCCACTCGTACCAGGCCGCCCGACCACGCTCACGCACCACAGACCTTCCGTCGCTCTCCGCCATCACCCACATGTGTTACGTGAGAATGCCTGACTTGTCCGATGGCTATAAAGCAAAAGAACAACGCGGAATGCACGCAGGTGGGACAAGCAGCGACCAAGGACCTCGAGGTGGAAGTGGTGAACGAAGATGAAGAGAGGAGAAACGACGAGGAGCATTCGTTGCCCAGCATTGGAGGTCCGACGATGGCGTGCTCTTGCGCTACTACATGCCGTCACGTGCTCTCCCCGACGCCCGCTCGCAGGCGCAGCGACATGCTCCTCGGCGATGACGACAGCCAGCTCGCCATTCACCTCAGCCTGTGCGACACCAGGAGCCATCTCACCGGCGCACGCCTGCCACTGGCTCTGTGCGCTTACAAACGGCGCTGCATGCCTTCTCATGATCACCAACGTTAAGACATTGCATTGCCCCCAGATCTTCCGATTAATCGGTTAGTACTCTCGATTTGTGGTCTACGAATAGCAAACCTCGCGTCACAGCAAGGTTATTATATAGCCGTTGTACTCTACACATAGTACTAAGGTTACACGTCCGACACAGTCAGCGAGCGGGGAGTACGAGAACGAGCGCGAGCGAATCAGATAGCAATGCGATACAACAACGACAGATGCGGGTGACGAGCTATGCTACAGGACAAACAGCGAGGTAGGTGGTCGCGATAGATACCAGTAAGTTATCGCGTAAGGACTGGACAGTGGGCTCTGGGCCCATCGGGTGGTGTGCTGAAATACAGAGTGACAGTACAAGGAGCGAGGCAGCATCATGGCTTGCGTTCCTCAGAGCGCGAGGTAAAGCAGGACCCCGGCGAATCCCCTAAGAGCTCTGATCCCGCGCAGACCCCATTTCGGGGGTAGATAAGATAAGATTTGTCACGATCTAAGCGTGGGAACTTCAGGCACATTGCATATTTCGATGTATCTTGGGGGGAACTGTCTACTCACCGATTCTGGGGGTGATCCGTGACAAAATGATCTCGTAAAACGCAAAATACTGCCAAAAGTGGGTCATTTTTAGTGTCATTTTCGGGGTTTTGAGGGATCGGACCTCTGGGGGGACTTTCCGGGGTCCTGGTAAAGCGCGCTCAGGGCGCATACAGAAAGCAGCGCTGCTCCGCCACGTCTGGGAGATGTGATGACGGCGCCATTGCTCTGGTTGGCCGACAGGCCTTCTGGCGCACCCCCAGTCTGGAAACAAACACAGGCAAGTCAGGATCATTCTAGGACAGGTGAGATGTCGTACTCACAGAACTCGATGGCTGTGGGACAAGGACACTCGTGTCCGAGCTAATATCCGAAGGTATCAGGTCTGGTATGTCCGCGTCTCCCACCGCAGGCGTGGTTTCGACAGGGCTATACACAGATGACAGGGAGGGTATGTCTGCTGACGGCACCTCTAGCACGGCGGTAGTCTGCGCTAGCCAGGTGGACTGCAGGGTGGGCGACGCAGCCAAAAGGGTGGACAGTGCATCCAGCGAGCTGGGCGGCTCCTCCACCATGACGAAGTGCATCGGCCACCAGGGGGCGGCGGAAGCTAGTACGCGACCATGTCAGATCAGATCTCCAATGTCAAACCACGACAATCCGATCACTCACCGCAAGGCACCAGGGCAGCTAGGATGGCAGCTGCAGAGAGCGCGGGGAGGAACGCGTTACGGAAAAGGAGCATGTTTGCAGTGTAAGGAACGAAGGCACGAAGGTCAAAGCGCGATATGTACAAGACGCGGGTATGACGAATGGCTAGACGGCTGGTGCTTAAAGAACGAACGGCACGCAGCCTTGTATAAGGTAGGCAAGCGCAAGAGGGACTGTGGTGCGGTGCACGGCCTGTCTCGACGGGAACCGCGCGCAGCATCTTATACTGCTCGCTGTGCATTTCAGTCTACGAGAGAATACCTCGCACACCTTGTATGCAGGAGCCCGAGAAGCCATACCGTGCTGCAGCCTTGGATATCGATGGGGCGATGAGCCAGCCTCTGCCGCTCGGCGGCGAGACAACACTAACGCACGCCCATAAGCGGTCTGCCAGTGCATCTGGGGTTAACGTAAAGGCTATCTTGGACCTGCCTTGTCAGGACGCACCGTTGTACTTGATGGTGCTCGCGGAGTGCAGAAAGTATAATTCTGCTAGGAGAAGCGCGGTGTGGGGAACTTGCCTTTTCTGGCGACAAAGTCAAATCAGATCGTGCTCTATTTTGAATACTCCTTGTGCGTGTATCTCAGACACTCGTTCATTTTCTGCGTTCAATATGACAAACATATGAGCCGATCCTCACATCTCTGCTCGCTCGATGTGTTGCGTGCCGTATCAACTGTGCTCCAATAAGATACACACCCGTTCCTACAGTATCTGTGATGTCTTCAGATGATCAAATCCTGCCATGTACCCGACACGCCGAACAGGATACCTCAAGGCCGTCATCTGGCCGCCAAGATACTTTTCTTGTAACGCCCAATGCTCCAGTGAGCTGGAAGTCTTCTCGACAACGTATTGTTGTATCTGGGGGCAGTCGATCATGTCAACCACTATACCACGAACTGCGGTGCGCCCTACCTCCTCAGGCAGCAGTTTGTATTCGTCCGCCTCGATCCTTTCTGCTTTTCTCACTTCGTATTTTCCAGTATACCAGACAGCTCCGAAAGACAGAGGCTGGAAGAAGAGCTCGACCGTGCGGTTTCTGGGAGCGTGCGGAAGCGGGTCGTCCTGGTATGGTACCTGGACGCTGACTGAAAGCGTGTGCTCCGGTGCGATGAAATAGCCCGTCTCTGGGCACTGATGCCAGATGAACCTATCCCTGCGAACGAAATGCATATCGATGCATCCGCTATGTATGATGCGTCAAGTCTCCGAATGATCTTGCGCTACAGGACAGCGACTCACGTGAGCTGCATGGCACGAGGAGCAGGAGGTCATCAGAGGCATTCCCACAGGCGCTGCATTCTCGAACACATATCGATGCTTACCCGACGGAGGCCAATGATGGTATGGGCCTCAAAAGGCCGGAATAGATCCTTGAAGCAGTCAAAACGTGGGACTCCGCGTTGTAGGTGTGTGAGGAAGACCTGCGTCCCTCCACATAATCAGACAATATCTCATATGGACCGGCCTTTCCACACTGACGTCTGATGCTGATTCCGCCTGTGATTCTGTGGCCCTCGGCGTCGTTGCTGTCATAGCCTATGGACAGCCAGCCTTATCAGTCTGAATCGGGAGGAGTCCTATCCTTAACAATACCTTGTATTTTGCCAATTCGGACGACAGATCGGTCATGCATTCCTTGAGCACGACCTCACTCTCTGCCATAATGAGGTCCTGTCCGCATGCAAGTTTGGCCAATTGAAAGACATGCAAAGATAGACAGACCACGCACCGCAACGTTCGCTCGTTGTTCGCACAACTCGTCATCCATCATTTGCATCTTGTGTATGTACTGGCGAGAACGACGGGCATCCTCCCGTGCGTCTGCGGTTTCCTCACGCAGGGTATCAGACTCTGACTGACAACAGAGACAATTCATGATAGTCGACTTCCGAGTGATATGGGAACACATACCCTCGCGCGAGCGAGGTCTTCCAGTAGCTCAGCTCGTTCAGCCTTGCTTCATAGGTAAGTGACCTGATTCTGGTGGTCGCTGCATGCGCGTACCTTCAGCTGCTGATTCTCGGCGTGAATATCCGCAACAGGCTGCAGCTACATGCGCAGAACACACAGCGTTCCTGTCAGTCTGTTCAACAAACCGTGTGATGTGAATGTACCTTCGCCACTAGATCGTGTAGTTGCTGTCCCAGCTGTTGGCTGGCGAGGCCATCCCGGTCGCGGAGCTCGGATTTGAAGCGTTCGTTCTCCGCCTGTCAATTGGTGCGTGGTGACAATCTATGTTTAGCACGCAGATAGTGAAATTCACCTCTAGAGACCTGCACCTTGCCTCCGATGTATCATGTGTTTGACTCAACATGCTTGTGCGCTCCTGTTGTCGGATACGAATTCAATACAGACTACACTTCAACTTGATTAAACCCACGGTCAGCTGCTGTATGGTGAAGTCTGTCGACAACTGCTGGACTCGAGTAGATCTCAATTCGTTCCCGACTTCTTGCTTCTCCATCTAGGCGTGGAATGGATACCATCTCGCTGGTTAGATTCTCGATCGTGACGTACCAATAACTTTGCAACAGCACCGCGGCTCTCCTCGAGATTCTCCCGCAACTTGTCCACAAACAACTATACCATCTTCATTCTAGCTCGTATGCAACGTAACCGCCAGGGACTGCCTACCTGCGACACATCTAGCTGGTTCTTCGTTGTTTGCATTTCTTGAGCCATCGTATGCTGCGGGCCTCATAGTGAGCCTTGCAGAAGCAAACAAAGACCTTGAATATATTATTACCTCGTGTAAGCTTTTCATGTCGTGTATTGCCGCCATCATTTCAGCCTTCGCTGCTCGACACTCATCCCGACTCGAGTGTTCGCTTTCTCTCTGACATTTTGGTACATCGCCAAATACGAGTCTGTGATACAAACTTCTCACCTCATAGTTTCTGATCTTGGCCCGGAGCTGGGCGATCTCTATTGCTTGTCGTGCAAGAGGGTCTTGTGCACGAACAGATGCAGACAACGTCTCATCGTAGGTGCTTGTCTCGTTGACATGCAAACGCATATTGATCAGATTGTGGAATTGTGGATGCAACTGCTTTCGGCTGGACTACCGCCTTGGAGACGCTGGATATGGGCTAGCGACTCGAAGGTGGGAGGGAAAGCGGGGGCTGCATAGAGCTCTCCTGGACGAGCCCCTTTATCAGTCGACAGCGTGGGCATAGCCGCACACACTGGTCATGGGTCTGTGAGACGCCAAAGCGCGAGGCAAACCAGAAGGATCAACGGCCTCTTCAATGTAGACATTCGTATCACCCAGGCTCCACTTAGCAGGTAGTAGCTGGAAGCCTCTCAAGCCGTCTTACCTAAACTATCAGGAGGTTGTAAGAACGCCTTGGATTGTGTTACTATTGAATCAGAACACCCTCCGAGTCCCAAAGCATCTGCTCATACCGCGATCCCGTCGATGACGTCGGACATCCTACCGCGAGGCGCAGAGCAAGGCACTGGTTGAAACATGCAAGAGTGGTTATGTAGTCTGTCTCATGTCAGATGCAGAAATGCACCATGAAATCAACGCTGGAGTTCCGGAATAGAAGAGGGACCTGTATTGTGTCACACCGTGTGACCAACTTGAACTCCACTTAGGTTGCGCCACCTTAAGTACACGAGTCCCCTGATCTTGAGCGAGTCTCTTACTCCGGACAATAGAACTAGTATACTGACTTATTCCTCCTCACATAAGTGTTGAAGCACGCATTCAGGAACGAGCTCGCAAGCTCGGGCGCGCGAGTAACCGGGGGCCGGAGGCCCCTATCGTAGTATATAACGACCCCGCGCGATGTACGTACCGCACGCGATTGTCCCTTACGGGCATCGCTACGCCCGTGGACAAACGCGCCCCGCACCGTTCGCACCGTTGTTCCAACACAATCGCGTCAGCCCGCTGGGGGGTTTACTACCTAGCAAGGCTCTGGGGGCAGCTTGAAGCCTGCCGCTCGCTGCGTCGCCGGATCCCGCGCGCATGCCGTCGCTGTCGACGCTCTGCTGGTCGCCGCTGCACCGCAGAATATTCCCGCCGCCGTCGCTGCCGAACCGCTTGCCTGGATGGGGCCGAAGCCATCTCGATTGAACCCGTATGATTGCTGAACCTTGACGCGGACCCTGATTGAACCTCGCCGTCGAATGTCGAACCGCCGAACCGTCGAACCACCGAATTGCTCGCCGAGAGCACCGTTGAACCGCTGTACCCGAACCGCTCGCCGAGAGCACCGTCGAACCGCTGGACCGCTCGTCGAGAGCACCGAACCTGGAGTCGAGAAGTTGATGCCGAGCCGAGGAGTTGATGAAGATTGCCGCATGTCGATGGATGCTGAGTTTGAGGGAGTGCTGAGTGCCGAGTGTCGAGAAGTGGGGAGTGCGCGCGAGCACTCGCTTGCTTCGCTCGAGGGAGTGTGTTGAAGCACGCATTCAGGAACAAGCTCGCAAGCTCGGGCGCGCGAGTAACCGGGGGCCGGAGGCCCCTATCGTAGTATATAACGACCCCGCGCGATGTACGTACCGCACGCGATTGTCCCTTACGGGCATCGCTACGCCCGTGGACAAACGCGCCCCGCACCGTTCGCACCGTTGTTCCAACAATAAGTAGCCATGCGCGCGAACACGGGTGAATCGGAGGCTAGTTTAATGCCATCACCAGCCACCGTGGTCAATGAACTGCTCGCCCAGTAGGCAGCAGAGATTGCCATGCTCCGCGCCAAACTTGAGAGCACACAGGTGTGCTCTGTTCTCACTCTAAACTTGCCCGTGCAGCTCACGCGTGCGTGGATGCAAGCGAGAGAATGAGCGTATACGTGGCGAAGAACATAATGCCACCATGAACAACATATTGGAGGCGATCAGAGACTTGAAGTTATCACCAGAGGCAACGAATCTCTATGTCGGTATCGCCGCTGCTCACATGTCCCTACTGCAGGTTTATATTCGAGCCGAGCTTAGTGCCGTGCAGGAATAGTCATCGGTGTGCAGTGTTCACATTTAGGCAGTCTCCTTTCTGACGATATTATTGTGGCCATTAATTCAGGCAGAGATCACGATCCTCAAGGTCGAATTGGCCGAGCTGAAGATGCAACATTTGGTGAGTTGTCAGGACGCAGCCTGGAGCTTTCGCACGACAGCAACAATGAAGAAAGAACAAGGCACGGAAGTGAGCGACACCTTTCCTTGACTACGTTCCGCAATCGCTGACTACTTTGTAAATAAGCAGCCTGAGCTTGAACGCGCCCTGAGCGAGCTCAGAGAACAGCTGGATGCCGAAAGAAGCGAGAAGCGAGAGCTGCAGGAAACAGTCAAGAAGGTGATTCCGTCGTTCGTGAGACACGTCGCATGCAAGACCGTACTAACAAGAGCACTTCCTATTTTCAGCTACAAACACTTGTGAATGTCCATACTGAACTAGAGGCCATCAAAGTAGGTATGCAATATTGGACCCTTTGAGCGTCGCTGATGCTGGTGGTGTCAGAGTGAGCGAGACCAACTTCGTAGGCAGCTTCAGGATGTTACTGTGATATCACCCGAAGTGCAAGTGCGCAAATTGGGGATTATGCTTTAACGAGTAGCGGCTGCTGAAGTACTGATAGAAGAGCTTCGAAGTGGATGTGCAGGAAGTGGAAGTGCGCATTCATGGCAGAGAACTTCATATGAAGCACCTCGAAGTGCGCTTTTTCTCGATTGTGCTTGCACGTCAATTAATACATAGCTCGTAGAGTGAGGGAGTACAACTCATCAAGAAGTCGTCTACCTCGGAGGTGGGTTATGGCCGACCTATTAGCTAGTCTCTCCAAGCTGGCAATTTTCCTTTTAGCCCTCTAGCTTGATGAGCCTGCTCAAGAGCGGGGCTCCTCCTTTCGACATTTTCAAGGAAATGTTTTTACCGTACGGTACATCTCTGAAGGTATTCTAAGATCTTATTTTTGTCAGCATTAACGAGCACCTTACCACTTGCTGTTACCGCATTTTCCAGTTCTCATGAGTCATTTGCATAATTATCTGGTGTGTGCTCTGGGTCTCATGCTCCACAGCCAGCACTTTACCAAAGGCATGCATCTCCTCCAATCGGTAGACTTCGTGTGGTGTCAAGCCCCGTATACCGGATATCTTTTCCAGCCAAAATGGGTCAACTCATCGCGTGGATTCGTACAATATGAGGCTGAGTGGGATCATGTAATCCATCACATCAGGGCGTGGCGGAACTCTTCCCTATGTTAACAAATGAAACTTTGAATGTCGACGTTTGGTACACCGGGTCTTATATTATCGATCAACCTGAGGAACTGAGCGCAGAAGCTTTCGAGCTTCTTTCCGAAGAGGTAAGCGATATGGTTTTGGTGAAGGACCGACTGATATCTGTGGGCGTCAGATCTAGAAGAATATTTCCGAGAAATCCTCCTCCTGGGACTTACCGCATGAGGAGACGAGGGCAATGTATCTGCGTGGCGAGTTGATTGTTCTGGCATATCCCGTGTTATGCGTTGGCTACAATGCCAACCTCAAGCGCTTAGTGAAGTCGCCGCAGACAGCGGTCTCGTCATCGTGATCTCTCCGGAGACAATATCGATGGTCATGGCGTATACTGTCAGGCCTGTCTTTGCGTAAAGGAGGTACACATGCTACCAAGACGTCAGAAATATACGTGACCCATTGCTGTTCATGCGCTTGTGATCTCGGGGCATACTTGCTATGCCCTTTGCCAGTGTCCCAACCACTACGCTGCACTGTGAGTCAGTGTGCATCAGCGATGGATCTTGCCAGACACTTGCGCAGCGGTACAGTACGCTGTAATTTTACGTTTGTGTTCCTCTCATTCGCTCGCCCCAACAGCGTCGCGCTCGCGACTCCATGTTGGCGTACGGTATGCATCTGATATTGTTTTTCATTTGGTATCGCAGCGTCCATACGAACTCTTACTGCTGTCGTCGGGTTACTGTATCTGGGATGCGATGCTGCCCTTTTGCCCGCAGAGTAGACGAGGATGATGACAGCCACCGCTTTGTTGCATCTTGCTGCGACGATGAAAAGACAGTTGTAACGACCGAATATCTGTGACAACTTAAAGGTGGGGATTCATCCAAAGGCCATCTGTGATGGCGGAGGGCCTCCGCGCCACTACCGTGGTACAACCATGATCTCGTCATGAGATTCCTGAATGGGATCCAAAGCTCTGCTTGTCCCCAGTCTGTTCGGCTCCAACCTACCATACTCCACTCTGCCTGGTTGGAACACCGATACAGGCCACGAGGTCTCCGTCGCATGCATCTGTGTGACAGGTTCGCTGTCTGCCGGCCCTCCAGCGAAACGTCAGCTCGAGAGACGCAACATGAATACGCGATGTACATGTACCTGAGTCAGACGCAGTATGCTCGTCGCGCCGCCGCCGCTGACGCCGCCTGCGCCAGTACCACAGGGACGACAGTAGCGCGAGGATGAGCAGCAGCCCGATGAACACCCCGATCTGTGCGCACATTTGTGACTTCCGTTCTAAGGCATGCGGACGGAGGGGGAAGACACACCAGAATCCCGGCGACGTTGCCCGAGACAGACGACCCCCTGCTCTCGGCCGCGATTGGCGAACCGGACACCGCTGGCGCTGTCACCACCGCAGTCGCCGTCGTAGTGCCAGACCCGCTGCCCGACGAGGACGTCGAGCTGCCCCCGGTGGTGCTAGAGTTCACTAGTCACTTTGTGTCAGCGGCTTTGCCGCGAAGACACTATACGCACCTTGTGACTGCCTCGTACACTACGAGCTCCGCCAGGTTGAAGGTGTTGCCCAGGTTCTGTACCTCGACCTGGTATGTTTGTGTCTCGTCCAGGCCCGCCGCGACATACTTCATCTGCGCGAGCGCCGTCCAACGTGACCGCGGGCTGTATTGGATGCTCGCGCTCGGCAACGTGCTAATCGCGTCGTCGCCCCCGGTGGACACCGAGACTGTGAAGAGGCCCTGCGTCCAGTCGTCGCTGCCGTAGAGCTCGAAGCTCACTGCGCCGGAGATGGAGAACGCAAGGGCACTGCCGTATGTGTATGTCGCGAGCACGGCATACGGCTGGCTCTGATTGGCGTAGAGCGTTGTCGGAGCATATGTATCGTCCGTGACAAAGAACGGGTTCGCGGAGGTGTTTGGGAACACGGCAGGGACGGTACGCGTCTGCACGCTTGTGCTGTGGGCGTATGATGTTACCGGGATATGGCGGCGGCACGACAGAAGGGCACACGCGACGACTCACCCGCTGCTGCCCAGGCCGACTGTGATCGTGGCACCGGTGATCGAGACCTCTCCTTCAACCACCACGAGGATGGCCTGGTGCAGCCCGTATGCGAGGCTCGACTGCTCGAAGAGTATGCCGTCTTGCGCGCCTTGACCCTCGACGATCGCCCCGCCATCGAGCTGCACCGTGTACGATCCCGCGGCGGCCACCCCGCGCAACCATACAGCGGTGCCTGCCCAATCGAGCAGGATATACGCGTCTTTGAGCGTCGTGACATGCGAGCTCGTCTGATCAACGTGTCAGCTCATAAAGTATGTGTCTTCGGATCTGCTCACGCCGTCGCCGAAATTACTGTCGTACGTCCATGCCGATTGTGAGCTGCGAGAGTAAGTGACGTTCCACTGGGTATCTGTCGGGCCATCACGATAAGGGAAGAAACGGAGGAAGGCAGACTGGTCGGTGAAGGAGACGTTGTACGGCGTCAGATCTGCGGACATTGGGTTCGTGGGCCAGAGCAGCGCGAGCCGGAGGGCTGAGGAGCCAAGACGAGCTGCATATCAGTAAATTGGCGTTTGGATGGGAGCGAGCGTCCGAACCAGAGCGGCCGTCGCGATCAGTACACACGCACACAAAGAGGACAAGAGACTGCTACGAGAAGAGCATGCGAGGGCACAAGGCGATGCGGGCAGCGCATGTCCAGGGCCCGACGAACAACATCATATAATTACAACCCATCAACCAGCGGCTCTTGCTCTTTGATCGTCCCTTGATCCCCCGCCCAGCGTCGATAGCATAAGCATTATACCGACCTTATAGATACATCAACGCGTACATTATGGGCGCTAATATGCGAAATGCACTTCTCCACTCAACGTTCAGAGTCCATGTCGCAACATTCCGTCATACCGAATGTTGATCATGTCTTTTTGAAGTAGGAATGACGCAGCGGGTACTACGCACTCTCCTTGTATGGGTGTTTGTCGTGCCAGTGATCGACGGGTAGATTCAATGTTCTGCCCGATCGACTACTCTCTTTCATTGCGTTTCCGACCACTGGTCTCTAATCCTCGAGCTCAGCCCGTGTCAGCCTGGAGACGGCCTAGGTCCTCGGTCGATCTGCAGAAACGCGATATGGCACCGCACTCGCTCTGTCTACCTAACCTCCATCCATTCGCATCATGTCGCAGCCTGCGCCCCCGCCCGCGTCCTCAATCACCTCGAGAGAGTTCAGACCCGCAGGCGGCTTCTCACTGGCGTATGCGATGCACTGGCCTGCGTGTCCAAGTCTGTCCGACGTCAGGGCCGCGCGCACTTCTCACTCGCTCAAGCCTCAAGAGGACACGGAGAATGCCAAGCGAGGGAATGGGCCCGCGCGAGATGGTGAGGCCAAAATAATGCCCTCAGGTGACACTCTTGCACGCGTTCGTGCACTCACAGTCGATCCCGGCGCGCCTCCGGGTACATCTGGCTTTCAAGACCGCGACGGCGAGCTGGTGACGACAACACGCGCAGCCGATGACGACCTCTTTGCGATCGACGACGAAGCGTCCACGTCTCCCGCAGTCGGCATCACCATCTCACCGTGGCTCAAGTCCCCGCCACAGCCGGGTGCGACAATGCCAACGCTCGAGTCCTGCCATCCTGGGTGCAGCCCGACGCGCGTGCGCCTCGCGCGGGGCGCCGCACCTACCTGGATATGCCGCAACCCTGAGCCGGTGAGTACGCGCTGTCCTGCCTCTCCAGCATGGAAACTCGACTGATCGGCGGCGGCATACAGCTGCAGACCGTCCGCAAGGTCAACATCCGCAAGCGTGGCAGCACGCCGTACCAGATGAAGCTCCCTGGTATGAGCGTGCGCGCAAAGGTCCGCGATGGCTCCGTCGTTGCCATCCAGCACGTCCTGCCCACGTGTTCCCACACGCCCGCACGCCCTCCGCCCTTGCCAGTCCTTGCGGCTGCTTCTCCGCGCCTGCATTCCGCACTCAACCCCGCCGCGCACTCGTATGTCTTCCAACCACGGGTCATCGTGGGCTCCCGTGGACGCCCTGGCGGCACAGGGGTCCGCCCGCCTCCCCTCCCGGCTGCGCGCTCCGACGAGGCGCTGCACGAGTGGGCGCGCACACATCGCGTTGGCCCCTTCCACGTCCTACGCCTTCGCCAGGGCGCCGCGCTCGCGCACCACCGCGCACACATGCAATGGACCGCAGCACCCAATGCGACCCCAAGGCCGACGCCGGTGGCCATGGCCGTGCCTCTATCGACGCTCGTCCAGGGACGCACGCGTGTCTTGCTACGAAGCCAGCCCCACACGCCGTGCGTGGTGGTGTCTGCGTCGACACCGGCCGTTGCGCAGGAGCCGGGGGAGGATGCAACGCCATCGGAAGCGGAGACAGGCACGGCGCTCGGTGCATCGCGCTCATGGGACGAGCTCCTCGAGGACCTGCTGGACGCGACTGCGGAATTCAGGCGTGCGCTGGCTGCTGGATCGCCAATTCTGGGTAGTTGGCAGCGTGACCCTGCGCATGCGGGAGATTCGGAGCCGGCGCATAGGTTGAATTGGGCGGTCTGGGAGCAACGCGTACTCCTGCCGGCGGTGCAGCTGCGCAAGTGACAAACTTGTCGTCGACCGCTCCATCACGCACGTCGTATTTGACGTTGACGTAGCCGCCTATCCGGCGATGGTGGGGACAACGTGAGAGGAATGTATGTGGTGGTCAGATATCTGTGTATCCTTCCTCCTTGGGACTTGTGTGGTTTTATAGGTTCCTCGCGGCGAGTTTGTTGTGCAGTTAGATGCTGCAATGTTCTTTTGGTCCATGAAGGCTTCTGCACACGTTGTACCATCGCAATTGAGTTCGAACAGACTTACGGATTGGGTTTAGCTCCTTCCACCAGATATGGTTTGCGCAAATGCATGCGAGTCAATCTCTTTGGTGGTCAGAGTAAGTCTGTGTGACTCAGCGGGTTATTTGAATGTCCGCGACGACTGTGGAGAGAAATGACAAGCCGTGTCGTTCACGCGGCCCACTGGCATGAAGCTCTCACATTCAAGTTGGACGTCTTGTTTATAAGTGCTGTGAGGATAGTGTCAGCTTCACAATACCACTTGACAACATGGACTGGTCCACTTACAACGCGGCTCTCCCCACTGTCGGCGTCGTCAATGCGCTGGGTGCGCTCATAGGACTCTGGGTTGTGTACGCCATCGCGCAGCATATGCGCCGTCGTGCGCATTGTACGCCCCTCGCCAGCCCCCCAAATCCGAGCTTCCTCTTCGGCATTGGACGCTCTCTATTCAAACATCCTGACCCAGCCGCCGTCTACGAACAATGGGCGGAGAAGTATGGCTCTGTCTTCCGCATCCCGGCGACCCTGGGCTACTCGCGTGTCGTCTTGTGTGATCCCAAGGCGATTCAGCATTTCTACTCGCACGAGACGTTTTTGTACCAGCAGACGACGCTCACGAAGCAATCTATCGAGAGCCTGGTGCGTATCCTCACCTGTCTGCTTGTAGGACGTGGACGAGCCTGCTGCAGGTCGGGAGGGGTGTGCTGTGGGCGGAAGGGGAAAGCCACAAGAGGTGATATTCGTCTCATTTCTGTCGGTGATTTGCTGACAGCTCTGCCAAACAGACAACGGAAAGCGCTTACGCCAGCCTTCAGCAACGCCGCCATCCGAAGGTTGACTTACATTTTCTTCGACTCCGCCTATAAAGTAGGCGCATATTTCCAGATCTCGAGAACTGCATCCTCCCTGACGCTCCATGCTTGTAGATCAAGACGGCTTGGGACAGCATCATCGCAGCTGAAGGAGATGATTCCGCCATTATCGAGGTGCAGGCTTGGTAAGTGTAGGCATATTTTTTGCGCGAACTCCAAGCTAAATGTGCGCAGGATGAACCATGTATCGTGCGTCTTTCTTCAAAGTGTCGCTGGATTGACCTCGTTGCTCCAGTGGATGACGCTAATAAACGTTCCTTGACGTGCAGATTAGACTCCATCGGCATCGCCGGCTTCTCGCACGACTTTGGCACCCTTCATGGCAAACACTCGACTGTTGCCGAAACCTTCGATTCATTTAGCTCGCTCAAGCCGACACTCATCGGGGTGGCTGTGTTCATCGTCGGTCTCGCGTTCCCCAGGGTCATGATGCGGATCCCGACTGCATTTCGCATGCTCGTGAAGCAGCTGAACGCGAGCATGTCCGAGGTTGCGGACGACCTGCTCGCCAATACGCGCAAGGAGAGCGAGGGCGAGGACAAGGCGGAGGACAAGTCGATCATTGGGCTGCTCGGTACGTGCCACGTTCGAGCTCGGTGTGCTGGACGTTATGCTGAGCAGGCTGTGTCTGCCAGTGAAAGCCGAGAGCAATCAGTCTGACTTGCACATGTCGCAAGACGAGGTCATGGCACAAGTCTGTGTTTCTCACTGATTTTATCGGGTCAGTGCTGATGGGCATGCATTCTACAGATGAAAGTTCTAATCCTGGCGGGCTACGAAACGACATCCAGTAGGTCCCTCTCGAAAATCGGACATGAGCGCGCTCGCGAATTGAACATTAATATTTGAATCTGAATCCCAGTCAGCTTGACGGTATGTTATTGAGTATACAATGTTCGCCTCTGTTAATGATGCTTTCAGTGGTGCCTTGTTGAGCTATGCAAAAAGCCGGAGATCCAGGCGAAGTTGCGTAGCGAGCTCTCGCAGATTTCCAGCGGAGACCCGACCTGGGACCAGCTCACGAACGGGTTCCCGTACCTTGATGCCGTCGTGCACGAGACACTACGGCTGCACCCTCCTCTTGGCGAGACAACCCGCATAGTACGCACTCGTGTATCTGACATGTGCTGTACTAAACGGACTGTGCCCACCGCTACCAGGCAACTGAAGATGCCATTATTCCACTCTCGACTCCCTTGAAGACACCCACAGGTACCGTCGTCGATAACGTCTCGATCGCGAAGGGTGATATTGTCACGGTTCCGATCCACCTCATGAACTCCTGGCCGGAAATCTGGGGGCCGGATGCAAGGGAGTTCAACCCCGAGCGCTGGCTGGCAGAGGATGGTGTGCCGAAAAAGGCACAGGAGCTCCAGGGGCACAGGCACCTGCTGACGTTTGTCGATGGACCGCGAATCTGCCTCGGGCGCGGGTTCGCGTTGGCTGAGTTCAAGGTGCGTGTGTATCGGTGCGCTTGCAGAACACTTGCTGACTGTTGAGGGCGGCGTGTAGGCTGTGCTGAGCGTGCTCATACGGAACTACACATTTGAATTCAGGGACGGGCCAGACACGCAGATCGAACGCGTGCGAGGTATTCTGCCGCGCCCTGGAGTTGCTGGCGAGAAAGGGGCCAAGATTCCGCTGCGCGTGCGAAGGCTGGAATGAGCGTGAGCGGTGGCATGAAGATGTGCTTTTATTGTATAGTGGGACTTCAGCGTTGACATGTATCATGTATTATTGTGGCCATGCAGCGGGAAAAGGGGCTGCGTGCTTTTGGACTCAATGCGTGAATCACTTGCCACGATCGACCACCGTAAACGCAAATGCCGCATCGTGTTAGATCTTTCCCAAGTTCGGCGGGCTCGTAAGTATAAGCCCAGTGCATCCTCGCCCTCGCGTTCCTGCTTGATTTCGACCTTGCGTTCTTAGGCTTCCTCGTTGGCTTCTCCTGTGAGCTTGTGCAACTGCTCGCACTCAGAAACTTTCGGCTGCAGAGGCAGGATGACAGTCGTTCTCTTGCGCGCTGGACTGTATGCAGATGACCCCAAGGCTTAGGAAGTAAAAGATGCATTGACGCGAGAACAGGACAGTGGACAGCGAGACGAGAGAACATGCAACAAAGTTTAACAGCGCTGTAGTCCGCGCCCGAGACTTGGGTATTACCGGGATGCATGCTTTCAAAACGATACTGCAGGAGACAACGTTATATGCAACGAACAGAGAAGGTGGTAAGTCAGCGTACCATGAGCAAGCGAAGTCCCCGCACAACCAGCTCAAGGGTTAGGTTAGGTTAGGTTAGGCGGTTTAGTGTCGACCTGCCTTGCTGAAGGCTTGAAGGCTGACTCGGATGACTTGGGTGGAATGCCGTCCACCCCCAAGTTTCGCCCGTATTTATGGGCTCTTCAGATCCGCTTGGTCAGCTGAGTCGCACGTCGCGAGGAACGAGCGACCGGGGCGCAGTAGGACGCCTGAGTAAGCAAGGACTCGACTGAGAAAGAACTTGCCATGAGACTTGTAGAATGAAACGCCCCTCATTGGTGGGACGTTATGCTGATTGCTAAGAGGCCCGGCATAGGCCCGTGTTTGTAAGCGAATATCAGCAAAGATGACTCAACCTGTTAGTAACAGAGTTTAAAGAAGCTTGGCCACCTTCCGCGAACAGACCGAAGTCCGCCCGAGAAGCATACCATGCGGACATCCCGAAGGCACCGTCCGTTTCCACTTCTATCAAACCTTCGAGAATAATCCGAACTTCTTGCGAAAGAAGACTTCTATGATCCGTGATCGGATCAAAGAACTCGGACCCGTCTAGACCGTGTCAGGTGACCATGACGTCATATCACGAGATCTACTACGTCATGACCATAAGCTAGGGTTAGGGTCTGTTAGGTTAATGGGACTGGGTAGGGAAGACTAGGTTAATGGGACTGGGTAGGGAAGACTAGGTAGGGGATTCCACTAGGGAAAACCCTAGGGAAGGCCGTAGGAAAGGCCATAGGGAAGGCCGTAGGGAAGGCCATAGAAAAGGTGTAGGAAAGGCTGTAGGAGAAATCATAAGAAAGGCTGTAGGAAAGGTGTAGGAAAGGCCGTAGCAAAGGCCGCAGGGAAAGCCGTAGGGAGAGTGTACAAAGAGCGAGTGTAGGGAAGACACAGAAAGAGGTGCAAGAAAGAGGGCAAGAAAAGGCCTAGGGGCCGTGCATGTACGTCCCGGACGCATAATGCCAGACTATGGATGGAAAGAGTCGGAGGCGGCTTTCTAACAAGTGTCGTTCGTGAGGGCATGCTTCCCGGACGCACACATTCTGCACTGGCCACTACTCTCAACTTACATGAGCCTTGCCCATGAGGGTGTGCTTCCTGGACGCACACATTCTGGACTGGCCACAATTGTTGACTTACATGAGCCTT